TTTGAATTATTTCAAATTTTTTTTCAAAATGAAGTCTTAGAAAATAACTGTCAAAAGTGGTCGTCTCTGAAACTTTGGCAACACTTTTATTTTAACAATACATTTAACCAATCAACTTAAATTTTAAACAGTATATGTTATCCTTGAATGTGCACGGAAAGAAAAAGTCCGTCAATCATTAATAGACTAGTATATTACTTTGAGACGGGACACAAAATCATTCAATGGATAACATACTTTGAGTCACAATCAGTGACGAGTTGCTTGCTAAAATTTAGAAAACTGTCATCAATATATAAAACTCGTTCACTAAAATTTAGAAAACTGTCTATTAAATTTTCTATGACTATCAAAAGCATTCAAAAAATTCAACTTCTTTCAGAATTATCCCTAATTTTAGACACTATTTGGTTCAGAATGAACACATTTTTTTCGTTGCACAGTTCCGATATTTTATTTACACTCTTAGACGCTTTAGACCAACACATTTTCCAACACATTTTCGCACTTATAATAACTACACGTAGAAACGCACACTTATAACACTTTAAGTTTAGAAGCAAACTGTTCTTATATACCAAATAACAAAATTTTTCACAACTTGTGAGAAATGATTTTGCACTAATAACTACTTTTTAATTAGCGAGAAATATAAAAGAAAATATATTTTCATCGAGGTCAATTTCTAGACGCAATTCAACTGCAAATTGTTAGTTAAGTTAAATATTCACATTACACATAATAGTATATAGGGATATGTATAGCAGACAGCAAAAACACATGGACTATAGAGAAACCGGAAGAAATGCGCATCGGTACACTGCGCAACAATGCGCTAGTGAAGAGCGCCGATTTAGAATACGAGTCAACTAACGTTTCACAAACTTTCACTAATGATTCGTAAACATTCAAACAGCCATTGATAACAATTCAGCATTAAATCTAAAACAATTGGTCACATACTGGCATTCTAATCAATCCATGACTCGTTTTCAATCGTTAAGTAAAGTTAAGTAACCATCAACGGAAAAAGTGTCCCGTCTCAAAGTAATATACTAATCCATTAATGGTTGACGGACTTTTTCTTTCCGTGTATAATAAATAAGTAAAGTATTTTCCAAAAGCACAAAAATAATGAAGCTAAATCCTATAAAAGAGAGGAAAAAAAGTTGAATTTTAAGAAAATCGGATTTTTGAATTTTTTCGAATTTTTGATAATTTTAGATTTTTTACCAAAGAGTCGAAACTATTAAATAAGTAAAGTATTTTCCAAAAGCACAAAAATAATGAAGCTAAATTCTATAAAAGAGAGAAAAAAATGTTGAATTTTAAGAAAAACAGATTTTTGAAATTTTTTTAATTTTTGATAATTTTAGATTTTTTACTAAAGAGTCGAGACAATTTAGTAAGTAAAGTATTTTCCAAAAGCACAAAAATAATGAAGCTAAATCCTATAAAAGAGAGAAAAAAATGTTGAATTTTAAGAAATTCAGATTTTTGAATTTTTGATAATTTTCATTAATTTTAGATTTTTTACCAAAGAGTCGAGACAATTTAATAAGTAAAGTATTTTCCAAAAGCACAAAAATAATGAAGCTAAATGCCATAAAAAAGAAGAAAAAATGTTGAATTTTAAGAAATTCAGATTTTTGAATTTTTGATAATTTTCATTAATTTTAGATTTTTTACCAAAGAGTCGAGACAATTTAATAAGTAAAGTATTTTCCAAAAGCACAAAAATAATGAAGCTAAATGCCATAAAAAAGAAGAAAAAATGTTGAATTTTAAGAAATTCGGATTTTTGAATTTTTGATAATTTTCGATAATTTTCGATAATTTTAGATTTGTTACCAAAGAGTCGAGACAATTTAATAAGTAAAGTATTTTCCAAAAGCACAAAAATAATAAAGCTAAATCCCATAAAAAAGAAGGGAAAATGATGAATTTTAAGAAATTCGGATTTTTGAATTTTTAATAATTTTCGATAATTTTCGATAATTTTAGATTTGTTACCAAAGAGTCGAGACAATTTAATAAGTAAAGTATTTTCCAAAAGCACAAAAATAATAAAGCTAAATCCCATAAAAAAGAAGGGAAAATGATGAATTTTAAGAAATTCGGATTTTTGAATTTTTAATAATTTTCGATAATTTTAGATTTGTTACCAAAGAGTCGAGACAATTTAATAAGTAAAGTATTTTCCAAAAGCACAAAAATAATGAAGCTAAATCCCATAAAAGAGAGGAAAAAATGTTGAATTTTAAGAAATTCGGATTTTTGAATTTTTGATGATTTTCGATAATTTTAGATTTTTGACCAAAGAGTAGAGACTAATAAATAAGTAAGGTATTTTCCAAAAGCACAAAAATAATAAAGCTAAATGCCATAAAAAAGAAGAAAAAATGTTGAATTTTAAGAAATTCGGATTTTTGAATTTTCGATAATTTTCGATAATTTTAGATTTGTTACCAAAGAGTCGAGACAATTTAATAAGTAAAGTATTTTCCAAAAGCACAAAAATAATGAAGCTAAATGCCATAAAAAAGAAGAAAAAATGTTGAATTTTAAGAAATTCGGTTTTTCGAATTTTTGATAATTTTCGATAATTTTAGATTTGTTACCAAAGAGTCGAGACAATTTGATAAGTAAAGTATTTTCCAAAAGCACAAAAATAATGAAGCTAAATCCCATAAAAAAGAAGGGAAAATGATGAATTTTAAGAAATTCGGTTTTTTTGAATTTTTGCAAATTTTCCATAATTTTAGATTTTTTACCAAAGAGTAGAGACTAATAAATAAGTAAGGTATTTTCCAAAAGCACAAAAATAATGAAGCTAAATGCCATAAAAAAGAAAAAAAAATGTTGAATTTTAAGAAATTCGGATTTTTGAATTTTTAATAATTTTCGATAATTTTAGATTTCTTACCAAAGAGTCGAGACAATTTAATAAGTAAAGTATTTTCCAAAAGCACAAAAATAATGAAGCTTAATCCCATAAAAGAGAGAAAAAAATGTTGAATTTTAAGAAATTCGGATTTTTGAATTTTTGATAATTTTCGATAATTTTAGATTTTTTACCAAAGAGTCGAGACAATTTAATAAGTAAAGTGTTTTTGAAGAGCCCAAAAATAATGAAGCTTAATGATATAAAAGAGAAGAAAAAAATGTTAAATTTTAAGAAATTCGGTTTTTCGAATTTTTGATAATTTTTTATTTTTTGCTAAAGGGTGGAAATTCAATTACATAGAGTTGCATTTTAAACTACAAGAAATAAAAGTAATCAAGTTTCAAAAAATATCTTCATCTCTTAATTGAACTACACCCTAAACGACTTTTTGTAAGAGGAAAATTTTTTCAGAATTACATTTTGAGTCTTTCCTGAAGGTTTCAATTAATTTGATCCAAAGTTTTTCTCAATTTATTTTGTGCGGGATCCTTCATATTTATTGTTTATTTTTAAAATTTTATTGTGAAAATGGATTTATTTATTTATTTCTAAAAATTTTAGCTGCAAGTGGATACACAGTATCACATCGGGTTGTCAATATGCAGGGGGAAAGAAAACAACCCTCATTTTAAAGGGGAACGTAGTCTTTTTGAGGGGAACCACAATTACATATTTACAGGGACTTGCAGTAAAAAATATTACCATCTGTCGGTAAAACTATATGTTACCAAGGAAATGCTTCTTTACCTATGTTAGGTTAGTGGGTAACACTAAAGATGACCTGTTATTTACCGTGGATACATAAACTGTTCCTATTATTAACAGTTGATAACATTCCAATTAAGATTATGACAATTCAAAAAAATTATTAATTAAAAAAATTTTTTAATTTTATATTAATCAATATAGAAAAATTAAATAGCAACCTACTTCTATTTATTTATCAATTAAAAGTTAATACGCATACTTAACTACATTTAGTTAATTTAATGATATTTAAAATTTTTATTAATAAATTAATTTAATTTAAATGAAAATAAATATTTATATAATTTTTAATTAGTTTAATACATAATATTTTATATTATGTAATAATTATTTTTTAATTTGTAACAAATAATTAATCTGTGTCTTCACTTTCTACTCGTTTAATTTTCGAGTGTTTTCGAGTAGGCAATGCAAATTGCTAATGTCATGCGACACCTTGTTCACTGTAGTGGGATTAGGAACTAAAACGGTTTCTAATAAGAGAATCGACACTGTCGCAATTTCGAAAAATGTCGCGACCCGACTGTATTTAATTGTAACAGCCGTGAGTTTTTTGTAATTTTTCTAAATTTTTATAATTCATTAAGTTTTTTATTTTTAATTCAGAAAATTGTCCTCTATGAAGTTATCCGATTTAAAAAAGGCAATTTGTTGCCAAAATAAATCGAAAATCGCAATGAATTATTAAGAATATTTTTTTATTCAATTATTCTTTTACTCCATTTTTTATAAAATATTTAAAAATTATTTTTAAATTATAATAATTTAATATTTTTCTTAACTCCTTTAATTATTGAAAATTGATATTTTATCCATTAATAATTCTTTTCTTTTTTTTAATAAAATTTTTTAAAAGAAAAATTAATTCAAATTTACATCATGATGACGAAAAAATACAAATATTTATTTGCAATTTTTAAATTTCATTAATTAAATGCAAATGGTTCTATTTCGATTAAATATTTAAGTGACCTGTCTACATTTAATTTAGTCAATTTTTTAAATATTCAAAAATAGAAAATCGTTTTTTAAAATACAAAATTAAATTTGTATAATTTTTTTAAGAAAAACTTTTTTAATGTTATCATCGTTAAAAAAAATTTTAGCGATTTTTTTAAAATTATTTTAACTTCAAAAAAAAAGTTAACGAAAAAGACTTAAAGAATTGAATCTTTTCCTTTGTTTTTAAAAGAAAAATCAATTTTTCGATAGATTGGAAATTTTTTCCAATCTGAAAAAGAATATTTTTATCAAAGTCAAACTTTCTAGTTCGTTTATCAAAATATAAATATAAAATTGTTTTATTAAAATAGTTTTTAATTTAGTTTTGTTTCATTTTTTTTTTTATTTTAACCTAAGAACTTGATTTTAAATTATTGAGATATTCGTTGTACCTTTTTTCTTGTGCTAATTGCAATTTTTGTAATTTTTTCGAAAGTCCTTTACTAATTTCCTTACCTTCAGCGTCGAGCGTTGGCAAACCCTGAAAGGAACATAATTCAAAGTAATTAAAGAAATAATAATTATTCTCAGCAATTTTTACGAGATTTAAAATTTTTAAATTTAAAATTTTTAAATTTAAAATTTATTTATTAAAAAATTTTGTTTTTAATTTAAAATTTAAAAAAAAAATAGATTTAATTTGCAAAACAAAACTTACATTCTCGTCGAATTTCGAATACTTGTCGGTCTCCATTAAAAATAATTCCGCAGGTGGTATTTTTCTCAATGCATCTTTCGCAGCGGCAGCGGCGGCAATCTCTGCCTTCTTTTTCTCCTTCTCCGCCGCTTTCTCAGCTTCCAAACGCTTCTTCATTTCCTTTTCACGCAATAATTCCTCCTTGTCAACAAGCTTTATCCCACAAAAATCGCCATCCTCAAAACGTACACCAAAATTTGGTAAAATATCATCGCGCAATGTATCGCATTCATTTAAAATTTCCGTTGCTTTTATCGATTTTGCCTGATCGCGAACTTTATTGCGAAAATCGGCCAATACGTTTAAATACGGCATTATCGTTTCCTCCATCTGCGGGAGAAATTGAAAATAAGTATAACACTTAAGAATAAATAAAATTAAGAACATAAGTTCATTTTTAAATAAATATTCAATCATTATTTTTCCATAGAAATTAAGTTTTTCAAACAACTCTCTGTAAAATGGTATAGAAAAAAAATGTCTTACATTGAAGTTTGCCGTTTCGGTGCCAACTGGAAAACCAATGTCATTATGCGAATCGGAAATAGCACCGAAAATTGTAAACATTTTTGTCATGTAAACAGAAATGTCACGTAGCAAAAGTGTATTTGGATTTTCGGTATCTTTAATGTAGACGTTTGAGTGGGTGACGAGATCACGAATCACTTCCAAAGCACTTCTCGTATCAATGTTATCTGTAACACGATCAACAAATTAGTCGTTATGTTTACAATGTTTATTTATTAAATATTATTTTATTTTGTTCATTTGTTTAAGAAAACAACTCCTTTTGTAACTTTCAAAAAATCTATTTTTTTTGCATTTTTTTTTAAAAGTTTATAATTTTAAAAATATGTCTATAAAATTCAAAGTCGCGATAATTTTCAAAAATTCTAAAAAGCAAGTCTTACCGCACAGGGATTTATGAACACCTTCCTTGGCTGCGGTGAATTTCAAATTCATTTCCAAATCTGCATTCGTCCATTTATTAAAAGTACTAAGTGTCGTTCCTGAGCCAATATTTCGAATTCGGCATTTAACATTTAGGAAAAATTCCTACAATGAAAAAGAAAATTTTATTAAATTTTTTTTTTTGAGAAATTTTTTCAAAATGTTTATTTCAGGGCTCGAATCAGTGAAAGTATTTAAAAATACAGACTTTACGGACTAAAAATAAAAAATTACGGATCATTTACAAACAAAAATATAACCAGTCCGAGTCAAATAAGAAAACTATTTACTTAAAACTATAAATTAAATTTTTCATAACTATAAAACATGAAGAATATCGATAACTTCGAGTCATCGATTTCTTCATGTTTTATAATAATTAAAAATGATTTAAGCATTTTTAACTAAAATTCTTCTTTAAATAGATTATTTTTAATAATTTTCGGCAAAGTTTTTTGACAATTTTGAATTTTCAAATCAATTTGTATGCAATATTTAATTTTACAAAATTTCAATTATTCGTAAATTCTTCAATATTAGAAAATAAAAACTTCAAATAATATAAAAAAAATTCAATTCAACTTTTTCAAATAAATTAATTTCAAAATTCAATTATTTCTAAAAATTCATGCTTTATTGCTTTTAATATTCAATTATAGTCTAAAATTTTAACTGAAATGAATTTTTATGAAATGAAAATCAATTTTTATTACAAAATTCTACGAGAATTCAATTATTTAAATACAAAAATTAATAAATAATTTATTGAATAATTGAATGTTTTTTAAAATTCAATTCCCATAAAGAATTATATCAACAAATTTTTAAATAATTGAATTTACTTCAACGAATTTTAATGAAAATTTTAAAAATAATTACATTTTTCAAGGAATTTGATTAAAATTTTATCAAAAATAAATGAAATTTATAATTTATGAAAATAATTGAATGTTTCCGTAGAAGTTTATCAAAATTATTAATAATTTAATTTTAATTATAAAAAAAAATTTGTAAATAATTGAATTCGGTTGGAAAATTTTATTAAAATAGTAGATATTAAAAATCATTGAATTTGAGGAAAATTTTTGAAAATAATTGAAATTCTGTCAAGAATTTTATTTAAAAATTTTTTAAAATAATTTAATTTTGAATAATTTAATTATTTCTATACATAATTGAAATTTTGATGAGAATTTAAAAAAAATTTTGAACATAATTGAATTTCTGCAATGATTTGTAATTTCTCTAAAATTCTCCAAATTATATCGTACAATTTACGATCTTTTCATTTTTTTTGAATCAAATTACGCACTTTACGGACCTTTTTAAAAAAATTGACTTTTACGGATTTTTACGGTATTTGCGGACCTAGTTCGAACCCTGCAAAAGCTTTCTATTTGTATATTTCGAAAATTTAATTAGAAAAATCATTCAAAATTCACTTTTCAAAGATTTGCCTATTATACTTTTCACACTAATAAATTACAACTTTAATTCTCTTAAAATTCAATTATTTTCTACAATTTTTAATCAAACTTCTTCTCGAAATCAATTATTTTTAATAATTTTCCGAAAGTTCTTAAAAAATTCAATTATTTAAATACAACTTAGAATGTTTTAAGGACCTTAATGTTTGTCAAATAAATCTGTTAATATTGTGACCTTAAGGCCACAATATAAAATTTACAATTAAAATTCTTTTAAAGTTTATTTTCAAAAATTTTTATCAAACACTTTGAAAAAATCAATTATTTTCAATTTAATTTTACAAAATTTCAATTATTGAAACTCTTTTTTTATTGTAAATTTTGAAAATTTATTTAGAATTTATAAAAATAGTTGAATTATTTCGAAGAAATTATTAAAAATTTTAGGAAATAATTGAATTTTATGGAAATATTTGAAAATATTTGAATTCTTACGAGAAATTCAATTAAAAATGTTTTGAAAATAATTGAATTCCTGCAAAGAATTTTACTATTTACAAAAATAATTGAATTCTTGCGAATAATTTTGCCATTTATAAAAATAATTGAATTCTTGCGAATAATTTTGCCATTTATAAAAATAATTGAATTCTTGCGAATAATTTTGCCATATATAAAAATAATTGAATTGTTTCGAAGGATTTATTAAGATTTTAGAAAATAATTGAATTTATTCGAAATATATTAAAAAATTTTTTAAAAAATTAAATTCTTCCGAGGAATTCAATTTCAATTATTTTCAAAATTTGCAATTAAAATTCTTGAAAAGTTGATTATCAAAAATTTTTATAAAACACTTTAAAGAAATAAATTATTTTCAATTAAATTTGACAAAATTTTAATATTTATTGAAACTCTTTTTAATTGTAAATTTCGAAGGTTTAATTCGAGAAATTATTAAAAAAATATTTTTTGAAGATTTGTCTATAGTTATTTTTCACACTATATATAAAAATCGAAATAAGTTTCATTTTATACTAAAAATTATTGCAATAGTTGGAAAAAGTCGAAAAAGTTGTAATTTTTGAAAATAAGTCGAAAGAAGTCGCATTTTTAGAAAATAGTCGAAATAAATCGAAAATGTTATAATATAATAATATAATATAATTAACTCACATTTATAAATTTCTCATACTGCACAGCACTTTCCATGGTTGCATCGCTATAATCAAGTGTATCCTTCCACGAATGAAGAAGAAAGGCAAATCTCAATTGTCTAGCTGTATGTTTCTTTAATGCATCTTGAATTGTTATGAAATTCTTCAGTGACTTGGACATTTTACATCCGGATATTGTAAGATGACCGGAATGAAGAAAATAACGAACCCAATGTGGATTATCGAAATAAGCCTCGGCTTGCGCCAATTCATTGTCATGATGTGGAAATTTAAGGTCAATTCCACCCGTGTGAATGTCTAAACTCTCGCCGCATATTGCCGATGCCATTACTGAGCATTCAATATGCCAACCGGGACGACCGCGACCCCATGGACTGTCCCACCATGGCTCACCTGATTTTGAACTCTTCCACAGTGCAAAATCATTTGGCGATCGTTTCTCCATTAGCCGGTCCTCAGAAATGCATAAATCACCTAAAATAAAAGTTGCGAAAGTTGAAGTTTTTAATTTGTTTTCCAAGGGGGATTTTTTATCCCCTCTTCTTTATTATCGTTACTATCATTATAAACTATTTTTATTATAATAATACTAAAATTCTGTAATTTTGTAAAACATAAAATATAATAAAATAAAATGAAATATAATAAAATAAAATGAAATATAAATGAAATATTAATGAAATAAATAAAATGAAATATAAATTTTGTAAAATACTCGTTTTGTAAAAATATTAATTTTTACCTTCTCCGTCATGTAAACTGGATGTATCGCCATAAGCTTCGGGCACAAGTTTTGCGTAATGATGCTTCTCACGTTTATCGAAGGTGGCAACGTCAAAATAAATTGAACCATTACTTTCGTACGCAAGACCATTTGCTACAATTTTTTCTATGAAATTCACTATTTCCGGAACGTATTCACTTACTCTTGTCAATACATTGGGTCTTAAGACCTAAGAAAAAATTGTTTTTATTAAAAAATTAGTATTTTCTAAAACCACCATATATGATGCGATAGGGTTGCCACAAAAATTGAATTTTGCTTTTCCCTGACTTTTCCCTAATTTCTAGAAAGAATTTAAAAAAAAATATTCTGATTCACTCTAAAAATAATTAGATACTCAAAAAAATGTCCTATTTACAATTATCTACGAATTTCATTCATTGTAAAATTATTCGAAAACATCAATAACTTCATTTTTAAATAAACATTCCATCATTATTATCTTGCCACAGAAATTAAGATTTAAAAAAATTTTAAATACTAACCTTTTTGGAATTCAACAATTTATAAGAATATTATAAAAAATAAAAAAATTTTTTTCATGTTTTATAATAATTAAAAATGACCGAGTAATAAAATCATTATTTTATGTTATAAAAAAATATTGTTATCGTAACTTCTTCAAAATTTTTTTTCATCATTTCAATGCAATTATTATTTTTTAGAATTTTTAACTAAAATTCTTCTTTAAATCAATTATTTTTAATAATTTTTTTAAAAAGTTCTTGGAGAATTTTCAAATTCATTTGTTTACTATATAATTTTACAAAATTTCGATTATTCAGAAATTCTTTAATTGAGGCCTTGGATCCAATAACTCGCCCGACGCTCGAAGGCACGCGCTAATACCAGTCGGGTAGCAGTGAGTGGCCCAGAGGCGCTCACTGCTCACTGACTGGCAGTTGCGCGTTCCTTCGAGCGTCGGGCGAGTTATTGGATCCAAGGCCTCAATTAAACATATTTTACAAAATAAAAACTTCAAATAATAATTTAAAAAAAAAAAATTCAAATAAACTTTTTCAAAAAACTTAATTCTACAGAAGTGTTAATTAAAAGTATGAAATATGCAGGTTTTGAAAAATTTCAGCTGATTTCAGAAAAAAATTTGAATTTGTAAAGTTGTAAAATGTAAAGTTGTAAAAATGTAAGTTTTTAAAAAATTAAATTAATTCAAATTAAATTAATTAAAATTTGAAATTTTGTAAATTTTTCAAAGAAAAAAGACACAAAAATTCAGAATTTTTTCATAAATTTTAAAAATTTAATTTTTGCCCGTACTTTTAGTAAAAAATCTCTGACTTTTCTCTGGCCATTTTTACTTTGCAAGACATTTCCCGGGATTCCCTGACCTGTGGCAACTCTGTACGAGAAGTTAAAAAGAAAAGATAAATAAAAATATTAAAAACAATTAACTATAAATAAATCTGAGGTACATAAATATTTGTACAATTTTTTATTAATGGTAACAATTGAATGATGATAAATCTGCTATCAAGAAAATAATCGAATTATGTTAAATTTTAATTAAATATCTTGAATAGGATTAATATTGATAGAATATTTTCAATTCTTGAGAAAGACAAAAGAGAAAATTCCTAACAATCATTATTATGATTTTATTCCTATTACTATGATTATTATGATTATTATTATTATTATTTTTAATATTTCCGTTTCTAAATAAAAATATTAAAATTCTTTAATAAGTTATTAAGTTTAAGAATGTATTTTAAATAAATCTATATTTAAATAAATAAAAAGACATTGAAAAAATTAAACCTAAAAATAAATATCTTAAAAAGATATTAAAAAAAATTAAAAGTTTAAAAATGAAATATTTTCCAAATGAATAATTTGTTTAAAAATGTAAAAACATTTTTTATCTCAAAAAGATAAAAAAAATAATTAAGAAACAGGAAAACTTACATTAATAGCGTCCATATCTTTGTGAAATTCAGATTCCCAATGTTCAGAGAGTTTTCTAAAAATTGACTGCTCGGTTACTGAACTTCCATTCTTCTTATCCAACCAATCCGATAACGGATCTCTTGTTTCTGCCAGTAAAATCTGTGGATTTAAGAAGAAAAATAAAGTAAGAATAAAAATAAAAGATAATTATATCTTATTTATAAAATATACATTTACAGGCCTCGGATCGACTTCAAGATGCAAAAAAAGTCGCTTTAGTCGATTTAAAATAGAAAAAAAGTCGATAAAGTCATTTATTTAATTCAGTGTCGTCACAAAAATTTTATTTTTTATTCTTCTCATCTTTCACTGATTTCTAAATTTAATTATTTAAAACTTGAATAATTTCGTTAGATAAATATTTAAATTTTTTATCAAAAATATTTTAATATAATTTTTTTGTAACTGATTTTCATTAATTACCATTTGTAAATTTACACTTGAAGATTTTTCATTAAAATTTTTGAGCAATCAATTATTTTCAAAATTTGCAATTAAAATTCTTTTAAAGTTTATTTTCAAAAATTTTTATCAAACGCTTTGAAAAAAATCAATTATTTTCAATTAAATTTTACAAAATTTCAATTATTGAAACTCTTTTTTATTGTAAATTTTGAAAATTTATTTAGTATTTAATATTTATAAAAATAGTTGAATTGTTTCGAAGAAATTATTAAAAATTTTAGGAAATAATTGAATTTTATGGGAATATTTAAAAATATTTGAATTCTCACGAAAAATTCAATTAAGAATGTTTTGAAAATAATTGAATTCCTGCAAAGAATTTTACTAATTATAAAAAATAATTGAATTCTTGCGAGGAATTTTACCATTTATAAAAATAATTGAATTGTTTCGGAAGGTTTTATTAGGATTTTAGAGAATAATTGAATTTATTCGAAATATATTAAAATTTTTTTTAAAAATTAAATTCTTCCGAGGAATTTAATTTCAATTATTTTCAAAATTTACAATTAAAATTCTTCAAATGTTGATTTTCAAAAATTTTTTAAAAACACTAAAAAAATCAATTATTTTTAATTAAATTTTACAAAATTTCAAAATTTATTGAAACTCTTTTCAATTTTAAACTTTGAAAATAAGTTGCATTTTATACTAAAAATTATTGTAATATTCGGAAGAAAAGTGGAAAAAGTCGTAATTTTTGAAAATAAGTCGAAAAAAGTCGAAAATGTTTTAATATCCGAGGCCTGCATTTAGATTATAAAATATAATTATAATTTACTTTATAGCCGTTTTATTGCTGAAAATAAATAATTATTTTTAATTTTATATCGAAAAGTTGAAAAAGAATATATTATTTAAATTATATTCTATAAATAAAAATTATTATGATTATTAATGTTATATTCGTCAATTAATGTAAATTAATTTTCATATTTATAGAAAATAGAAAAAAATATTTTTTGCAAAAATAGTTTCTTGCCTTTTGACATTCCTTGATATTATTTTCATTATTCGATTTCACGGCCTTCTCAAGATTTTCAATGGCTGTTTGAACTCTATCGAGCATTTTAATAAACATTTCCTTTTTATCGGCATCATTTGTCGTTCTTATTGTACTTTCAATAGCTGAGAGCATACTTCGTGCATCGGACAATGTCTCGTCAAGTGTATGATTTTCCGCCACATACTGATCAAATAAATAATTTTGTCTCGCTCGTTTTATTATTTTGTCATCGATATCCGTTATATTCATCACATAGAGAACATCGTAACCAAAATAATCGGCAAGAATCCGTCGAAGAATATCAAACGTTATGTAAGATCTGAAAAATTAAAATAAACAAAATTTCATCATTCAATTATTATTATTATTATTTTTAAAACAATGTAAATTTTTCAGTTCAATTTAAACATTTTTTAAGCTTAAATCTTTTTTTATTTAATTTCAAAACAAAACGTATGATTTGTTAATAAAAAAATTAATCTGATTTTTGATCCAGTATAATTCTGTTATTATTTCAAAATTAATCTATTTGAATAATTGCAATTATTCGAATAATAAAATATTTATTAAAAAAAATATAAAAACACAAAATTTTTGAAATTTGGAAAAAGTGAAAAATTTTAGATTGAAAAATAAATTTTAAATTACCTAGTACATTATTGAAAAACAAATTGAAAATATTTAGTTTAATTTTAGTATTTTTAGAGAAATTTTACGTTCGAGAATAATTTAATTATTAATAAAAACGACACATTCTTAATAATTGTTTGGTTTTTTTTTCCTTTTTTTGGAAAGAAAAAGAGAAAATTGAGCTGAAAAATAAAAATTTTGAAATTTCGTCACCTAGCGTGTCCCATATGGGAGGCATCGTACACTGTCGGTCCGCAGGAATACCAAAGAACTCGGTTACCATATTGAGGAACAAATTCTTCCTTCTGTCGAGTTAAACTATTAAATAATTTTAAAACCGGACTTCCGTTACGTTCCGGCGGGCTCCATTGCGGCTGCACCCTTTTCGACATCTTCTAAAATTTATAAATGAGAAATTAAACCTTTTTTGTTCTCAAAAACATTCTTTATAATCATTTTAGAAAAAATAGCTCTTAATAATTAAAAAAAAATTATAAAAAATCGGCATTCGGAACCTATTAATATATAAATTAGTAAACAAAATAATTTTTTTCAAAAATTATTCAATTAGCTTAACTTAAAATATTAAAATTATTATTTAAAATTTATAAATTAGTAAAAAAAATTATTTTTTTAAAAAATTATTTAATTAATTTCCTAAAGTATTAAAATTATTATTTAAAATTTATAAATTAGTAAAAAAAATTATTTTTTTTTAAATTATTTAATTAACTTCCTAAAGTATTAAAATTCAAAAAACTACTTAAAAAAAATCTCATCATAAAAATTATATTTTAAAAATTATAAAATTGCTCTTAAAATTTATATTTTTTAAAAATTGTTTCCACTTTTTTAAATTATACAGATTTTTCTTTTAAATTACAGAGAGTAATTTATATTAATTTCTTAAATTGTAAGATTTTTCAAAAAAAATTGAAATTAGTTTTTAAAAAACATTAAAAATTGCAAGATTCAAACATTCAGGAAACTAATCAAAATAATTCTATTGAAGAATTAAAAAAAAATTTACATTACAAATAATAATCTTCCATTTGTGACCTTCAAGAAAGTATAGAAATGAAAACGAGGAAAGAACAAAATTAATGATTTTTAAAAATTCTTTTCCTTCTTCATTTTCCTATTCTAAAAAGGTCAAATAGACAAAAAATTACAATTTATATAAAACTTTTTTTACAATTAGGATCTAATTTTTTTCACTATTATTTCTTTCTAAAATTTGTTCTACTTTTCTGCCTAAAATTAGTTCCTTTTCAGTATTTTAAAAGGAATGTGTTAGATTTTATTTTTAAGTCTTAAAAATTATTTGTATTATCACATAATAATTAGTATTTATCAATTTGTTTCAAAGATTTTAATTTATTATTTTAATTGTTTAAAGAAATGATCATTAAATATTTGGTGTAAAATTGAAAACAGTGTACAATATGTTTTTCGAAAAAAAATAATGTAAAAATGTGTCTTACCTTTTATGTATTTATTGACTAAAACGTCTGGTATTTTCTTTTAGATAAGGAAATAATGTAAAAATTCTTAATATTTGCATCACCACACGTGAACCAACGTGAAGTGACTTCTACGGTTTTCTCCGGTTCGATTTAAGGTTAAGAGAGACAACAAAGATGGGAAACACTGAAATTTAGTATAGAACGTCCGTTTTGTGAAATGTCGGACAACTTCCCAAGTGCGACACTTTATCGTATTTTTTTTCGAACTGCCCAACCTTGCAATATGGTAATGCTGATTCCACAATCATAGGAAGTGCACATTAAAGGTGCTTGTCACACCTCTGATGTAATTTGGTCAAATAATTCGACTCGATGTTACGTGCAGAGTTACGTTATTTACGTAATAATAATTTAATTATTTGTGTGCAGGTCTGTTTGTGTGTACAGTGTACACCCAATATCATATATGCTTTCCTTCCGGTTTGGACAACTTTTTGAAAAGTGGTGTGCCTTCTATAAGAATGTTTTAAGTCTATGGCGTACCCAATTCCATTACGCCATAGAATTAAAACATTCTTATAGAAGGCACACCACTTTTCAAAAAGTAAATGATTCCAATTTTATTTTCTAAATACTTTTTATATTATTTAATAAACACTCTTTTATATAAATATAATATTATAATAATAATTATAATAACTTTAAAAAAATAATCAAACTAAATTATAATTATAACCTACAAAAAACTGAAAATAGCGTTAAAATGAATGACAAAACATTTCAATTGTAATAAAACTGATTGTTTATGAATATAAAGGTTAGATAAATTATAGACAGACCAAAATTAAGAAGAAAATTGAACTTTCATAAAATTCAAAATGGCGGATCCAATATGGCAAAATTTGAATTTTTCCCAAAAAATAGAACCTAGCGATTAATTTTATAAATTTTGATAAAATATATACTTTATATATACATGAATCAATTCGTTTTCATGCCAGGAATATAATTTTGACAAGAATTAATAAAAATTTTAATAAAGAAAAAAATTATTTCAAAAAATACAAAAATCAATTTTTTCAAAAATTAAAAAATTCTTTTTAGCATGAAAAAAATTAAAAATTTAAAAACTTTAAAAATATGAAAAAGAAACTAAAAGTTTTTTTTAAAGTGTTGTCATTTTTTATTGAAACTTAAAAAGAAACGTGTCACAAAATAAATATGAAAAAAAAATAAAATATACACATTTCACCGAGAAAAAAAACCGCTTCTATTTGCTACAATTTCATGAAAGTTGCAAAAAATAGAAATAACAAAATTTTAATAGAAAACTGAGAAAAAAAAATATATAAAATACTCTTTTGAGGGAATAAAGGGGGGGGGGGGCAAAATATTTATGTTCATATAAATAATTAAAAAATATAACTTATATTGAGAATAAAGCGGAGAAAATGTCACAGAGAATCAATAGGTCTCTAATTTCATAAATTTTGTATTAAAATGCTTCTTTTCAACAGTACTCAAAATTTTCATATATACGATAACATCGATTTCATTTCAAAAGAATAATCAAATTTGTATTTGTGTAGTTTTTTTTTGCTTGTCTGGATTCGCATCTACAAATGTAACAATATAAAATCATGTAAATAAAAAAAGAGAGGGTGGGGGGAGGACAAAGGTAAAAAGTATACAAGAATTATGAGGATAGCGAATCTAGGCCAATCTGTAATTTGTGTGTATATGTGGCTCTGTGTTTATGTATTTGACGTTATCGACAAAATTTTTTGGACGCAAAAAAAAATCCGAATCTCTTTCTCTCTTTTTTCTTGTTCTTAACAAAATTCGTCTCCAGAACGCCAACTTTTAAAAAACTGCTGCTGGGCTTGAATCTGGAATCGTATATTAAGTGATATGATAATTATTAATTAGAAGAAAAGATTCGATTTTGTTTAAAGTCACGTCGATGTCTGTTGTTTTAAAAAAAAAAATTATTTTTTTTGTCATTCATAAACACAAGGGCACGTGAATGATTAACTTAAAATGTAAATTATTTTTTTTTTTGTCAGTTAATCATTCTGTCGGTAATGTTGTTTTTACAACACTGTCGTCAAGGCAATTGATCTTTTAGCGACTTGTATTGTCTCTGTCATAATAGACGGCATTTCATTTTCTTTTAAAGAAAAATCTACTGCTGTTTACACTCGACTGGATCTGCTCCCTGTGGTCGGCCGCCACCACCAACACCATCATTCACTCCATCCTCATCGTCCTCCTCCTCTTCGTCAACATCGTCATCATCATCCTCCTCATCTTCTTCATAGTCATCGTCCTCCTCGTCTTCCAACACTTCTCCTGAAATTTAATAAGTAATCATTATAATTATTCTTTTATTATTATTATTTATAGTAATCATCAACAGGCCTAGGATTGACTTTAAGTCCAAAAAAGGCGCTATAGTCGATTTATAATCATCTTTAAGTTTAAGTCTTTGTAAAATTCACTTGTTTTCAAAACATTTTTTCAAATTTGCAAAAAATTTCCACATTTTTCTTAAAGAAAAAAACGATTACTCTCAAAAAATTGTAATTAAAATTCGTTTGTAATATAAAATTTACATAAATAAAGTTGAACGAATTTTACAATTGTTTAAAATTTTTAATTAATTACTTTAGGAAATTCAATTATCTTCAAAGAATTCTAATTAAAATTTTTCAATCAACTAATTCAATTATTTTCAAACAAAAATTAAAATTCTTCTTGAAAATTTCAACTATATGTTCAAAATTAAAAAAAAAAATTTTGGTAAAAATCCCAATTATTTTTATAAATAACAAAATTCTTCTCCAAAGTTCAATTATTTCCATAAATGCTCAAAAAAACTCTTGTCCTAATTTCAATTATTATCAAAATTTTTTCAAATTTTTACTATTTTAATAAAATTTTCCAAAAAGAATTCAATTATTTAAAAAATTTTTTAATAAAATTGTATGCAAACATTCAATTATTTTTATAAATAATAAAAATTTCACAGAAATTCAATTATTTTCATAAATAATAAAAATTTGTTAAGAAATTCAATTTTTTTCATAAAAAATAATTTAAAATTCTAGAAAATAATACAGATAATTGAATTAAAATGATAAAAATAAGATTAAAAATAGAAATTGTGGAGATATTTTTCTTCTTTTTCTAAAACAAAATAATAATTTTGTTAAAAATATTGTGATTCATAAACAAAAATAATGCAAAATAAATAAATTTTCTATTTCTTAATCATAATTGTTTAACAATTTTCTAATTTTCCTTAGAAGTAAAAAACAAAAATAATTTCAATTTGACAAAACATAAAATTTAACAAAATTTTAGTATTTTAATGAAAAGAAGTGAAAAAAATTCTGATAATTTCTATTTGTCATTACAGTTTTTAATTAATTAATGTTATAATAATTAATAATAAAGTACATGTTCCGGTAATCTGTTCGCAGTTTGAAGTTAGTTGTTGTTTGCTTTTTTGTTTCTTAACTTTTTTATAATTTTTCTTTTCAAATAATTTAAATTGACAATTTTGAAAGCAATTGCATTTTATGAAGAAGAATTTTATTAAAAGTGAATTGAAAATAATTGAATTCTTGCGATGGATTTGACTGTATTTATAAAAATAGTTGAATTGTTTCGAAGAATTTATTAAAATTTTAGGACACAATTGAAATTCGTGTAAATATTTAAAAATATTCGAATCCATCCGAGGAATTCAATTAAAATTGTTTTGAAAATAATTGAATTTCTGCAAAGGATTTTATACTATTTGTAAAAATAATTGAATTATTGCGAAGAATTTTACTATTTATAAAAATAATTGAATTATTTCGTAGGATTTATTAAAATTTTAGAAAAAAATTTATTTTTTCGAAATGTGTTAAAATTTTTTTTAAGAAATTAAATTCTTCCGAGGAATTTAATTTAAATTATTTTTGAAAATCATTGAATTTTCCTAAAGATTTTACTATTTAAAAAAATAATTGAATTGTTTAAAAGGATTTATTAAAATTTTTGAAAATATGAACAGTAATAATTAATTTTGTACGTAATATGTGAATTTTTTAAATTTTGATTATGAAATTAATTAAACAATTTATATTTGAAAGTAAAAAATTTTGTAATTTGCATAACAATAATAAATTGAATGAATAAATTGCTAATAATAATAAAATATACAATCTATCTAAAGATAATAAAAAACAAAAGTATAAAAAAAAACTTCAGAGTGTGAGGGACAAAAAAAGTGAATGAATGAATGAAAGAACATTCAAATTATTATAGTTAATAATTAATTAATTAAAATAAAATTGAAAATAGTAAATTTTGCTATTAAAAAGTGTAAAAAGTTTTTTTCTTCAAATGTAACTAAAAATTTTTCTAATTTATAAAAAATGCAATTTTTGCAAAAACCACTGGAATAATTTTTTCTTATAGCAATTTTTCAATAAAAGAATGGATTAAAATGTTAAAAAGTAAAAAAAGTTATGAAATTTCTTATAAAATTATCAAATTTTCAGTGTTGTAAGTAAGGGTTAAATACTTTATCTCCATTTGTCGAAGTGCTATTGAATAATTACCTGTATAATAGAGCACCGCTCTTGGAACAATGCGCTCTCTAATATAATGTCCAATTTCAAAGTCACTGGTTACTAAAGCTTGAGTATCTTCGTCTATATCAGCGTCTTGATCGTCAGGCACTAAAAGTTTTTAAATTTCTTCAAATTAGTAACAAATATTTTTCAAAATTTCAAGAAAAAAAAAGAAAAATAATTATTACATATTATTAATTTTTCTTATTTTTTTAAAATAGAAAAAAAAATTTTTTTGTTTTACTTATTTTGGCACTTTTTTACAAAAGGGAATAAAATTAAATAAAAAGAAAAATCTTACCAACTGGTGGACTAAAGAAATTAAAGAATGAATCATTTTGAACTGTTTTTGTGACAATGCGCATTGATCCCCTGGACTTGTGCTTCTGATTCTTCTTGATCGTTTTCACCGTCACATTCTTGCCTTTTCGCCAATCAATCACGCAACCCTTTTGAAAAAAGGGTTAAAATTATAAAATTTTAGATTTAAAAATTACAATAATTACAAATGTTTAAAATACCAAAATGAAGAATTGAAATATAATTATCACCAAATGATCGTTTCTTACATTTTTAAAGATTTTTTAACTTGAAAAAAGAATTTTTCTATCAAATAACATTTTTTATTCTTGTTTTCTAAAGTAAGAAAAAAAAATTAAAAGTAGGTACCTTTGTGTAAAACTAAATTTAAAATTCATTTACACACTTGATATTAGTTTAACAAAAGTTTACCTTGCTTTTGTAGATTTCGGGTCCTTCAAAACTGAACGGATCATTCTTTTCTGGTTCACATTTCATAATGTATTCTTTTGTTAAAACGGAATTAGTAAAATATTCATTGTTCTCAAAGTGAAACTCGAGAACAAAGCCCTGGAAAGAAAATTAATTAATTTCCCTTTATCGATAACCAAAAAAAAAGAAATATTTTTAAAAAATATAAAATACCATTGGATCCTTCTCCAAAAATATAACTTTCACGTCATAAAGATGTTTAAGAATTGGTTCGTCATGTTCTTGAACAATATCAGCCAACATGCCTACGTTCTTGAATATTGTGAGCCAAAAATCTGGAATGCCTTTAACGTTCTCATCTTCGGATCTGTAAAAGAATGATTGTTAAAAAAAATTGTAAATTTGTATATTCAAATTTCAAAGAGAAAACAATTCAGTACTCTGGAGATTGAAAAGCATTTTAGTGAATAAAAAAAAAAGTTGATTTACATACTTTTCTTTTTTCTCTTCAGCATCCTTTTTAATTTCACTCTCATCCTTAATATCGATCTTGACCTTATTTTTCAGCTCCGAACTGAGATTCTCATCCTCCTCTTCGCTTTCCCAAGCACACTCCTCATCCGTGGGTTCATAAACTCCCGATACAATTTGACTTCTTCCGTCATAAATCGGGACACACATTTTATAATATTTACATTCGAGTTCATGAACTTCTTGAAAGAATTTTGCCTCGATATTCGTTGTTTTTAATTGAAGTTGCTTCAAGGCCTTTATCCGCCTCTTCACCGGTGCTGGAAGCATCTAAAATTTTTAAAAAATTTCATATTTCACTTTATGTTGGAAACATTTTTTTTTCTACTTTCCTCCCTTTACTTGAAATTCCTAAGAAATTTTGAACTCTAAAAATTATTTTCAGACAAAGAATTGTCAAATGAAAAATAAAGAATTAATAAAATACCTTTAGGCCTCGAATTGACTTTAAGACGCAAAAAAAGTTGTTTCACTCCATTAAAAATACAAAAAAATTCGAAAATGTCATTTATTTAATTGAGGGTCGTCACAAAAATTTTATTTTGTATTTCTTTGATTTTCCTCTTTCACTGATTTCTAAATTCAAAACTTGAATAATTTTGTTAAATAAATATTTCAATACTTATTTGTTTTTCCAATGGAAATAACATTTTTAAAATTTCAATTTAAAACTTACCGACATTTAATAATTTCTAAAAATTATAACTACAATTCTTTCAAAATTCAATTATTTTCTACAATTTTTAACTTAAAACTTCAACTCTAAATAAATTATTTTTAATAATTTTTCGATAGTTCTTTGAGAATTCAAGTATTTAAATACAAAAATTGAATTTTTTTTATAATTTTAACTGTAACTATTTTTTTTTTTTCGAAAGTTGTTTATTTTCAAAAAATCATAATAAAGAAATTCTTAAAATTAATTTGTTAAAAATGTTTTTAAATCATTCTTGAAAGATAATAATTTTTTAATTATATTAAAACATTTCCAAACAATTGAAATTTAGTAAAATTTTTAAAAATAATTGAATTTTTTCGAAAGATTTATTAAAATTTTAGAAAATAATTGAATTTTTTTTTTTGAAAACTGTTATTAAAAATTAAAACAATATTGAATTCTTTCGTGCATTTTTATTAAAATTGTATTCAAAATAATTTAATTTTTGAAGAATTTTCATTATAAATATGAATATGATTTCTCTGGATTTTTAATAAGCCCAAAAAAAGTAATTTTTTAAAAATTTTAGTCTACTTTGTACGAAGAAAAATGAAACATAAAAAATTATGATAAAACAATTCTAAAAATTAGTTTTTTAAAAATTTTGCAATCTAATTTTTTAAAAATTTATAATTTAATTTCTTACAAGAATTTTTTGTATAATTTAAAAAACTAATTAATTTTTCGAAGAATGTTAATGTTTTTTTTGTATATATATTTGAATTTTTGAAAGTATTGAAAATAATTGAATTTTAAAAAATTAGAATAAACAAATTTTCATTATTTTTTTCAAATATTATGATTTTAATATAATTTTTAGTAGCTAATTTTCATTTTTAAATTTACACTTGAATTCATTAGAATTTTTTAGAATTCAATTATTTTCAAAATTTTGTAATTAAAATTCTCCAAAAGTTGATTTTCGAAAATTGTATTACAATTCTTGAAAGAAATCAATTATTTGCAATTAAATTTTACAAAATTACAATTATTTAAAATCTTTTTAATTCTACATTTCGAAAAATTTTATTGTTTTTTCGAAAATTTGTTCAAAAACTATTTTTGAAAAACTTGTCTATAGTTTTATTTTTCTCTCTATAAAAATCGAAATAAGTTGCATTTTATACTGAAAATGTGGTTTTTATAAAAATATTTGTAAGAAAAATCGAAAAAGTCGCAATTTTTGAAAATAAATCGAAAAAAGTCGTATTTTTTGAAAATAGTCGAAAAAGCCATAATATCCAATGTCTGCATCTTTTATCTATTAATAAATAAAAGTGAAATTCAAAATAAAATTGAAAAATAAACCTGAAACAAAATAAGGAAAAATTGAAAGTATATTTTAAAATTAATTTTTTATAAAAATTTACAATATTCTTTCAATTTTTCGTTAAATTTGAAAAATAATTGAATAAACGTATTAAAATAGAAAGAATATTTAAAAATAAATATTTACCTCCATTCTCTGTGCGTCTAATCGACCTTGTAAAGAAGCTAAGTCAATGTTTTGGCAGATCTGCGAAAGAAGACGGTTGTTATCAGCTTCATCTTCGATAGTACCCATATTGCTCGGATCACCAGTACTGTCAGGATCGTTGGTCATATTAGGGACTGTAAAAAATTCTCTTCACATGTGACGTATTTTTTTTTAAAAACCTTCATTCACATTTTCGAGTGTCTCTCGCATTCCAGAGCAATTTTTTAAATCAAAATTTCAATTCTCTCTTTTTTATTTTTTTAATCTTCAAATGTAGAATTTTACAATTAGGTCCGTTTATTTTTTAACCTATTCTTTCAGAATTAACTATTTTTTTTTATTTAAATTTTTTTCAAAAACAAAAATATAGAAAATAAATACAAAAAAATTTAATTAATTTTAGAATCTAATTTTTTTATCACAATAATTATTTTCAAAAATATTTCAAAAGCAGATTTTAAAATCTATCTATTTACTTATCTAACTGTTAATTAGAAAAATGAATGTTAAATTAATTTAAAAAATTGAAATGTTCTAAAAAATAAAAAAACAGGCTAAAATTTTTGATAAAAAAAAAAAAATTAAAAAAAAGAATTGTAAAGATTTAAAATAGAAATTTAAATTTAAAATATTGCTGGAATATACACTTGGAATTTTCGGGAAATTTTCGGTTTTTTAAGGTAGGGGAACATAGTCTAGGTCGGCCACCTTTTTGACTTTTGTTTATAACTTTTTTTTAAAAATGAATTTGGACAATTGAAGTATATGGTTGGAAAGTCCTGTTTAATAGGAACATTTTTTCTGTACAAAGTAAATTGACAGGTTTAAAAATGAAAAAGTTATAAAGATTTAAAAAAAAAAAAATTTGTAGTCCAGGTTGGCCGTTACAGTCAAGGTCGGCCATGTTTAAAATTCAAAGGGCATTAATCGTTAAAAACTAAAATAACATGTTTGGAGTTACGGAAAATTGATTCTTTATTGTTTACAGTTTGTAACTTAATGAAATAACAAAATAATAACAATAAACAATATAAAAAAATAAATATAAATAAAAAAAAGTTTTGCACTAAAATATTAATAAAATTAAATAAAAATATTAATAAGATGATCAATTATATTATGAGTTATACAGAATTGCAGTTTTTGCAAATGAAGTAGCTCGTCCTCAACTTTGCGCATTTTAAACACATAGTGGCCGACCTTGACAGTAAGTAACATTACCGAATTGTTGTAACCATAAAGAAATACGTTTCGGGATTCGATTTTTTACTTTGTCTTCCTTTCAACCATGAGTCCCACAAATTTTCTGCATACTTGCCTTGACGATTCAATTTGTTTTTTATCTTTTATTAATGGTTTTTCACATTATGCACAAAACTTTTTTTGAGCTTTTTTTGTACCGACGTCACAGAAAACACAATTTTCGATTTTCCGAAAATGTAATTGAACAAAAAGTTAGGTTTCACTAAGACAAGCTTCGACAAAAATGCGCGTAGGTGGCGCTAGTGAACTTGACAAAAAAACGCGAGTGGCCTACCTAGACAGTAGGCCAACCTTGACTACATTCCCCTATGTAAATGAAGGTTACTTTCAAATTAAATTAAATTTTTTCCAATAAGATAATTTTATTTATATAATATTATATATAAATGTATAATAAAATTATACAATAAAATTTAAATTTTGCATCTTGAAATACGTCACCTCTCTATTCTTGAAATTTATGGGACTTGCAGACGTTTGTCGTATAAGTTAAAAAGACCAACATTTATTATTTTTTGAAAAGAATTTCACTAGGGTTACTTTTTTTATTACTGCAAAACATTGTTTATGTAAAATAAGTTATTAGGAATTATTAATTTTATTCTTTATTATATTATTATTACTATTATTTTCTATTTATTAATATGTGACGCGCTCCGAAGAAAAGTTTCAATTATTTATACAAAATAAAAATTTACTTACATAAGAAAAAAATATTTATTTAGAATAAAAAAAAAATGATTTAGATTTTTATTTTTAAAAATACAATAATTTCAGATTTTACATAAATAGAATGAAAATTATTAAAAAATTTAAAGAAAGAAAAATGATTCACTTCTTTAGTTTAGTACTGCTTTCTACGAATTTTTAATTATTGCTTTTTAGTATAGTTTAAGAAGAAAAAATTATAATTTCTTTTGGAAAATAAAAAATGCTTTTGCAGTAATAAAAGTAGGACGTTCGCACATTTATACAGATAGTAGGTTGAAATAATTTATAAATATACTATATTCTTAAATGAAAAAAAGGTGTAAGATTTTTTTTATTAATGTCACAAATAATTGTATAAAAAATTACAATTTCTTTTATTAAAAAAAATAAATAAATAAAAGAGAAAAATAAAAATTTATTAGACGCTAAAAAATTTCCGCTCAATATTGTTTTATACAAAAAAGAAGTGTTTTTCGAAAATTAAAAATTTTTTCTAAGAATTAAAATAAAATTCTCCGATACCAATTATTTTTAAAATGAAAATTGATTTTCTTTTAAACAAAAAATTGATTTTTTTAAAAAATAAACATTGGTTTTTTTTTAAATTAAAATTAATCTAAATTATAATAAAAATTGAAATTAACTCTAATTTGTATTAAAATTTAAATAAAATTAAATTTAAGAATAAATTATCTAAATTATTATTTATAAATAAAATTCGAAAATTTTAAATAAAATTCTCAAATTTAAAAAAAATTGTTTCTTCAAGAAAATAAATTTTGCTAAAAAAATTCCTTTAATAAAAATTCTTCATAATTTAAAAAAAGTTTCGAATTTATTTTTGGATATTCACAATTACGTTGAATTTAAAAAATTATCGTTGAGATCTTTCGGTGAATATTAAAATTAGTAACACGTGTAACATAAAGACGAGTCTAAAGAAAAACTACTGACGATTAAATACATTAAAAAACAAAATTGTAAAACTCACGAGTTTCATTGAAATTTTTTTTTCGAACTTTCCACACTAAATTTAGAAATATTTTTTTTTAAAAATTGAATATTTATACGGATATTAAGAATGATCACGTTTTTGCGCGCTTCAATTTATCTAACTATTGAAAATTATATAAAAAGAAATTTCTCACAATTATCAATCGGATTTTTTTTTTATTTAACCACTTTTTGTAATTTAATTAACAATTTGTTATTATCGATAAATTATACGAAGTTTTATTTTAATTGAAAAATTAAACGTCACAAAGTTGAGGTTATATTTGACGGAATAAATTTTATCACGAGAGATGAAAATTAAAGAAAAAGTGATCAAATAAGAAAACTTGAATTTATTTTACATTATTACGATAGAATAAAAATTGTCTCATTAATTGACTGAATGGAACACAACTAAAAAGACAATTATCATCCAAGGACCATGCCAATAAGTCGTAAAATAGTCTGCCATGTTTCTAGCACAAAGGTTACTTTTACCGCCGAACTATCAATGTATTAATTTTTATAACAAAAAGAAAACAATTTTCCCTTCTTGTCAAGAAATTTTAGGAGAAGAATATTTTTCCCTTTCTTAAAAAATAATTTAATTTTCAAGAACGGTGATTTTTTTCATTAAATTAAATTAATAAAGTGAAAAAGAAATATGTAGAATTGAAAAAAAAGATTTTTATTTAGCGTGCACATGGGTCGAGATAAGAGTGGTCTCGCGGAAAAATATAATACGCACAATGTTTAATGTAAATAATGATTTTAATTAATTGGGGAATAAAAATAATTTTTAATTTTCAATGAATCAAGTCTTTTCAAAGATTACAATTAATTTTTCATACCTTTTTTTTGTGTGAAGGAAACGACGCCAACGGGACGACAGAGGACAGGATGATCTGAAAAGCGACAATGTGTGAACCGGCCTCTTCTCTGTTAGTGTGGAGAGCTAATCGTGTGAAGTTCGTTATTTTCAGCCATATTGCGCGGGCAATTAATGTTTCATATAAATATATTTCTCAGTAACAAAATTAAATGACAATTGAAACAATGTTAATTATTTTCTAAATTGATAATTTGATATAATGATAAAAATTGAGAATTTATTTCTCCTGGCGATTTCTTTAAATAAAACATTTTGCGAAATTCAATTATTTTCAGTGAGTCTTTTTGGACAAGTGCGTAAATTCCTGTAAAAATGAAAAGAGCTTAAGGGACTATTTTTCTTAGTTTTTGTCATCAATTAATGCTAATTCCTCATTAATTATTACTTATTTGCAATGCTAATTCGTCTTTTCAGGTTTTTTAAAGAAACACTTTAAAATTATCTTTTAAATAATTCATATGATTATTCCTAATTAATTGAAATTTGTATCGCTAATTTGTCTTTTCAGGTTTTCGAAAATAACCTTTATAATTACCTATTAATTAATTCATATGATTATTCCTAATTAATTGCAATTTGTGCTGCTAATTTGTCTTTTCACTGCTCTGCATGCATGCAAGTTGGCATAGTAACGTACAAGAGTGAGAGAAATAAAAACAATTGCCTATCTCTCTCACTCTTGCACGACATAATAGTTATTATGCTCTATTCATTTTTAAACAAACTTAAGCTTTTGTCGAAAAACAAAAGGAAAAAGATTCAAATTTATAAAAAGTTTTTATAGATTCTTGAAAGAAAAAACCATTCTTAAAGTAAGAAGGTCGTTAATCATTAAAGAAAAGTTTAATTTTAATAAAAAGTAGACATTATGTTCTTTTTTTCATTACAGGTCAAATGCGCGCGCATGTTCACATTATACGTTCCCGCAACTGTGCGGGGTGCTACCCTCTGTACCAAAAACATAAGTTCGAATGCTCATTATGCCGAATTTACAATTTAGAAATGACCAGATACGCGAATCCTCAATAACCTAAATTGTATATTGAATGAAATTCAAAAGTAGGGAATAATCATTTGATATATTCTGCATATGGAGAATATTATTTTAAACTAATTCTTTTTTTCCACAATTTGAAATTATTGCAATTTTTATTTTTGGAATTTCCACTTTACCTACATTTTAATAGATCGAAACGTAAAATATCAGAATTGACATTTAATTGAAATATGATGGAGAATAAATATATATTCACTGAATAAAAAGATTAAATAATTATTAAATGTTTGAATTTAATAAAAACATATTGTTCAAAAGTTACAGTGCGAATTGTACAGAATATATATTAATAAGAAATATAATTTGGCAGAATGTCGATTCGATCGATTTTATATTTGCAAGAAATTCAATTTGACAGAATATCAATTTATAAGAAACACGTTTTCGTAGAACTTTAACTTGTCAGAATTGTAATTTTGTAGAATATTAATATTGGCAAATCTAATTTTGGTAGAAATCTGCTTTATCAGAATGATCACATGTTCGAATCCTCAAAAGTTAGAATTCCATTTTTACCGAAAATGGATTCCACATAAATATTTGGCGCAAATTTTAAAATCGACCAATCAGAAATCAGAATTTTAAAATTTGCGCCAAATATTTATGTGGAATCCATTTTCGGTAAAAATGGAATTCTAACTTTTGAGGATTCGAACATGTGATCATTCTGATAAAGCAGATTTCTACCAAAATTAGATTTGCCAATATTAATATTCTACAAAATTACAATTCTGACAAGTTAAAGTTCTACGAAAACGTGTTTCTTATAAATTGATATTCTGTCAAATTGAATTTCTTGCAAATATAAAATCGATCGAATCGACATTCTGCCAAATTATATTTCTTATTAATATATATTCTGTACAATTCGCACTGTAACTTTTGAACAATATGTTTTTATTAAATTCAAACATTTAATAATTATTTAATCTTTTTATTCAGTGAATATATATTTATTCTCCATCATATTTCAATTAAATGTCAATTCTGATATTTTACGTTTCGATCTATTAAAATGTAGGTAAAGTGGAAATTCCAAAAATAAAAATTGCAATAATTTCAAATTGTGGAAAAAAAGAATTAGTTTAAAATAATATTCTCCATATGCAGAATATATCAAATGATTATTCCCTACTTTTGAATTTCATTCAATATACAATTTAGGTTATTGAGGATTCGCGTATCTGGTCATTTCTAAATTGTAAATTCGGCATAATGAGCATTCGAACTTATGTTTTTGGTACAGAGAGTAGCACCCCAACTGTGCATCTATTTTAAAATTACAACCCAACCGTGGTTCATGCCTGACATAGTGACGTTCCACACACCACACGTGTTGTGAAGTTTGCAAATGAAAACATTAAAAAAAGTATTTACAAAACAATTTAACGAATTTTAATGTGAAATCAAATTAGACATTACAAGATTTATTTAAACAAATCAAGGTAAAATATTCTGATATTTCTTTACAATCAATTTTTATCAATTGTTCTTTTTTTATTTCAAAAATACTAATTATTGAGTTAGCAAATGTTAATATTATAACCTAAAATATTATAGAAAATCTTTACAAGAATTTTAATTAATTAATTAATATTAAAGTTAATTTTCTAAATGTCGTAAATTTCCACTATTTTGAATTCAACATTTTTAGTATATAAAAATTTTCTGAAACATTCTCATATGCTAAGTAAATTTTTTTTCCTATTTTCTACAATATTTTACCGACTTATAACCTATTTTCTTAAAAAAAAATGGAAAATTTGTTAAAATTGTTTTTGGCGAAAAAAAATATTGAAAATTTATTTTAAATTTGTGACGCGCGATCTGAAGAAAGGGACCTTAGAAGCAAATTACTTTAAGATTATATTATTAGTGTTAAATTTTTCTTGATTGAAAGTTTCTTTTTACTTTTTTCAAACTAAAATCAGTGTTTATTAAATATTTTAGTTGTAATGAAGACTTAAACATCAATAATTTTTATTGACAGTTGATCATTTTTTTGTATTTTTATTTCAAAAATTGCAAACATAACCTATAATTTTTTGCTTCTAAGTTCCCTTTCTTCAAATCGCGTCACATTTATTGAAAAAAAGAAACAATTGCTTGTTAATTGAAAAAAATTATAATTTGTTTACAGAATATTTTTAAAATGGTACGCAATAAAGGTAATAATTCACGATCGCGAAAGCGAAAATCGGAACAGCGCAGAAAACCACCGCAAAAAAAGCAAAAATATGATATAACTAATAAACCAGACTACATGAAGGAGCGAGAAGCCCGAGCCAAGGAAAATACATTTCCAAAAAGGTACGAGCCACCTCTTATTCAAAAGGCAGAAAATTGGACCAATGTTCAAAATAAACATTCCGAAAGCGAAGAAGAGGATCCCCTAAAGGTTTTACTGGGAACTTTTAATAATAAAAAGCTAACGAAGGTAGCGATTGTTTCGGATTCAGAAAGCGATGAAGATGTGGATGAAGGTTCAGAAAAGGAGAGAAATTTAGAGGAGGAAAATGATTTAGAAGACGAAGAGGAAGAAATAGAAGAAGATGAAGATGAAAATGATTTAGGAGACGAAGAGGAAGTAGAAGTAGAAGAGGAAGTAGACGAAGAAGTAGAAGAAGAGGAAGATGAAGAGGAGGAGGAAGAAAAGGATCAAGAAGGCGAATCGGATGATCAAGAAATAGTTGTGAACCAAGAGGAAGACGAAGATTACGATCCAAAAACCGAAAATTCAGATCCATTTTCCCTTCATCTTCAAAACGACATCAGCGACGAACTCTACAATTCCATATCAACCACTTCAAATTACAAAACACACGATTTAAATTGGTCAAAACTCGGGAAAATTCTCTGTCAAATTCCCACCACCGAAACATCAAAAACCGAACCATCGGATCAAAAGCAAAAAACCCTCGTTTCCTTAGACGAAAAAAATGAATTCGCAAAACCCGGAAGACCACCAAATCCAATTTCGACAATTGACTGGAAGAGTCTCTTCGTCAAATCCCAAATCCACGTGAACGTCAGTAAAGTAAATTACGACAACATCAAGAATAATCTTGAAACAACAAAAACCCCTCTAACACCCCTACAAACCGAACTCTTCTCCCTAATCAACAATTATCAAGATCTCCTCTACACCGAGAGATCGTTCACAAACGCAGAGGAAATTCGCCTCGTCTACTGCCTCCACACAATGAATCACATTCTCAAAACAAGAATGCGAATTCTCCGACACAATTTAAAATTATCAAAAAATCGCACCAACGAAGTTCCCGATGAATTTCTCGATCAAGGACTCGTGCGACCGAAAATATTAATTCTCGTACCGTTTCGTGATTCCTGTTTGAAAATTGTAAAAATGTTAATTGGTTTATTAATTGATGAGGGTAAAGGTGGATCGGTAATGAATAAGAAACGATTTTTTGAAGAATTCGCTGGTGGGGAAATATTGATGCCTAAAAAGAATCCAAAACCAGAGGATTATGAATTAACATTTTCCGGTAATAGTGACGATAGTTTTCGAATAGGAATACAGGTGACGAAGAAAGTTTTAAAACTCTATTCGAATTTTTATTCATCTGATATTATTGTTGCATCACCATTGGGTTTGAGAACGTTGATTGGCGCCGAGGGCGAGGCTGATAGGGATTATGATTTTTTGGCATCAATTGAATTATTAATTTTAGATCAGACGGAAATTTTTTTAATGCAAAATTGGGATCATTTTATTCATCTCATGGATCATATGCATCTACAACCGAAAACATCGAGGGGGACTGATTTCTCGAGAATTAGAAGTTGGGCTGTTAACGGATGGACCAAGTACTACAGGTATTAAACACTAGATTTTAATATTTAAATAAGTTTTTATCAAAAAAAGTCCTCTAAAATATCTTGAATATATTTATTTGAAAATATTTATTTCGTTAATCTGACTCATTTCTTCTTTTTTTGATATCTTATTCTTTATCTCTTTTTTAAACTTATTGTAATTTTTTTCCAGACAAACACTAATTTTTTCATCCTACGACGTCCCGGAAATACAAGGAATCTTCAGCAAGCGTTGCCATAATTTTGCTGGAAGAAATAAAATTTCAAATTCCATTTTTCCAGGTTCTGCATCACAAGTGGTTATACAAGTACCTCAGGTTTATCATCGATTCGAAGCGACCAGTTATTCACAAGCAATTGACGCTAGATTTAAATTTTTCGTGACAAAAATTCTCCCTCAATATACAGATTCAATGATGGGTCATACACTGATATTTGTACCCTCTTATTTTGATTTTGTCTCACTTCGAAATTATATGAAAGATGAACAAATAAGTTTTGTACAGATTTGTGAATATTCCAAGGACTCAAAAATTGCCAAGGCAAGAGATATCTTTTTTCATAGTGAATCACAATTTCTTTTGTATTCAGAGAGATTTCATTTTTTCCGACGAATTAGAGTTAAGGGAATTCGTCATATTTTATTTTATGGACCACCAGTTTCGCCACATTTTTACAGTGAAATGATTAATTTAATGCAAGAAAGTAATCAAAATCCAAAAGGCGGTTCCGAAAGTAACATGTCCGTGACTGTTGTTTATTGTAAATATGATATTTTGCAATTGTCGTCTATTATTGGCACTGAGAGAGCTTCAAAAATGCTCACTTCAGAGAAAAATGTTCATATGATTATTACTGACAAGTAAGTTGAAATTTAGATGATAACTTATCTAATTGAAATGTAGAATTTTTTGTATTATATTTATAACTTTAAATAAACAAATTAGTTAAAAAATATATTTTAAATTTTAATAGTTTCCTGAAAATTTCTAACTCTTTCGTATCATCCTCATAAAATACAAAATTAATTCTACTTAAAATTTTCCTGATTTTTTTTAGAGTAAAATCAAATAAATAAAATAAACTGAAAATAAGAGTTTTTAAAATTATTTATTCTCATTCTTACTAACACTTATCAATTTTTTATATAAGGATAAATAATACACATATAATTACAAAATAATACTGTCTCTTTTATTTGAATGCAATTTTTAAATATTGACAATAACAAATTACAATGAAATTCTGAATTTACAATTTTTAATAATAACAAAATATTTTAAAATTAAAGTAAAATGCAGTAATACCGTTTCAAATGAGATTGAGTTATTAAATTTTATTTTAAAGAGTGTTTATGGCACATTATTTATTTAAAAAAGGTATTAGCGCACCTTACTTTACATGTTTTACTTAAAACTATAGAGCATTAAATACGAAGACAATAAATTGGAAGATAACATTTATTTTCTTGTTAATAAAAATAATGATAAACTTCATTAAAAATCTGTGATTAACGACGTTTAGACTGTTCAGACGTAAGAGCTGTATATTTTTGAAAATATTAGAGTTATTTATTAAATTATTAATTATGAATTCTTGGAGTAATATTTAATATTTATTAGTCATTATGTAGACTATGAATTAAAAGTCCAGTTTTGTTAACAAAAATGAACTACTATGAAATATGTAGACAAGGAGCATTAACTCTTTGCTTGGAAAATTAATGAGTAATTCAAATAAGTAACAATGAGTTAGGAATAATGTTATAAATTTTTTAATAGGAAATAATTAAAAAAGGATTTTCGAAAACCTGAAAAGACAAATTATCATTACAAATGTTTAGTAATGATTTAGGAAAAATTATATAAATCGATTATTAATAGATTCTTATAAAAAGTTTCTTTGAAAACCTGAAAAGACAAATTAGCAATACAAATTGCAATTAATTAGGAATAATCATATGAATTAATTAATAGGTAATTATAAAGGTTATTTTTGAAAACCTGAAAAGACAAATTAGCGATGATTAATGAGGAATAATAATTAAAATTATGAAAATATGTTCTTTGAAAACCTGAAAAGACAAATTAGCAACACAAATAAGCGATGATTAATGAGGAATAATAATTAAAATTATGAAAATATGTTCTTTGAAAACCTGAAAAGACAAATTAGCAACACAAATAAGCGATGATTAATGAGGAATAATAATTAAAATTATGAAAATATATTCTTTGAAAACCTGAAAAGACAAATTAGCAACACAAATAAGCGATGATTAATGAGGAATAATAATTAAAATATGTTCTTTGAAAACCTGAAAAGACAAATTATCATTACAAATAAGCAATAATTAATGAGGAATAATAATTAAAATGATGAAAAATTGTTTTTTTAGGAAAATTTCCTGTCTTCGATTGTGAAATGATTATCAAAAATATTTCCTTGATAACCTGAAAAGATGAATTATCATCATTACAAATATGTAAGAATGATTTAGGAAAAATTGGATACATTAATTAATTAATTAATGAGAAATGATTTTAAAAAGTTTTGTTAGAAAACCTGAAAAGACAAATTAGCATAAGAAATAAGAAACAATTATATAAATTAATTAATAGATGAGAAATGATTATTAATCAAAAAATGTAGTTGTTCGCATGAATGCAGTCAGGATTTATTTTATTCAGCCATCGGCCGTCTCCTTTACTTCTGTACAATTCTTTCTGGCCGATTATTAATTTTTGTTAATTTCCTCTTAAATAAATGTGGGAGAAAAAGAAACAGTTAAAAATTTGAGTGATTTAAATTATTTTATAAAATATTAGTAAAAATGATTTTTGAAAACCTGAAAAAGACAAATTAGCAGTGCATTAATAAATAATAGTGATTTTAAGTAAGGTTGCAAAAAGTAAATACAACTGATTCTAGCAATTTTACTTTTCTAATTACTTAATTATTTTTTAATTTATTAATTTTATAAATAAACATTTATTCTCAATTATATTTCAGTTAAATTCCAACTCTAATATTTCAGATTTCGAACTATTAAAATTTAGGTTGAGTGAAAATTAAATAATTAAAAATTACAGTAATATAAACTTTTGTAAGTCATGAATTAGTTCAAACTAATATTTTTTAATACAATAAAGAAAAAAAATAATCAGAAAACCTGAAAAGACAAATGGGCTTTGTAAATAAAGAATTAGAAATGATAGAAAGATATAAGTAAAGTGACAAAGTTAATAAATCTTATTTTAACAATCTTTTGTAAAATACTATTTAAAAGACAAACTTATACTACTTTTTTCTAAAAATTTGAAATGATTACAAAATAAATTACAAGTGAAAATAAAGAAAAAAAAAATTCAGAAAACCTGAAAAGACAAATAGACTTTGCAAATGATAGAATTTTACTTTTTTAAATATATTGGTTAGAAAAGGGTCTTTTGCAGTTCTGAAAAGACAAATTAATGCTTCATTAAATTAATAAAGATTTAATAAATATTAATTTTAATAATTATCTGGATATCAAAAATCCGTTGCATAGTTATATTACTATAACTAATGAATAATGAATTGAGTGAGCAATAAAAATGAAAATTAGTTTAAAATTTATTTTGAAAACCTGAAAAAGACAAATTATCACTGCAAATATAACAGAAATTAAGTTCACTTCCTTTGCTGTTCAAAATGATTTAAATATTATTTTTCAAAAAGCGCAGGAAACGAATATTTTAAAGAGTTGAACACTCTTTAAAGGAAATAGAAAAAAATACTTTCTAATCACCAAAACTAAGGCCTATAAATTGAAAAAGTATTTTTTAAAATATCTGAAAAGGCAAAGTAGATGTGCAAAAAATAGTTACAATGGAGTTATCAATATAAGAAAACAAATGATAATTATATTGAAAGAGTGAAAGATAATTAACATTTAGTTATAAATTAGATTGCAAAAAAAGGAGTTTAAATATAATCGACCACGTATTTTATTCTCATCTTTGTTTCCATCGGAAAACTGTTGAGTAAAATAATGCAAAAGCATTAAATCATTAGCCAATTTTAATGAATATAATGAGACCTCCAGAGACCCAAAATTCAAAAAAATTAAACCATTATAGAAAATCAACTGGTACAAGAAAGTTGATTGTTATTATGAATTACTACCAAGAATCAAATTTTTAAAAGTATTTAACATCAACATTTTTATTCCTAACATAGAAATTCACCTAGTTTTTAAAAAAATAAATGTGTGACTAATATTTCAAAAAACATACAGCTCTTATCTTATAAAAAATTTTAAAATTTGTAATAAATTACATTTTTGCAAATATATATAAACTATACAAGTTAAAATCATTGCTTTTAATGCAACTACCAGAGTTGAAGAAATGATGTTTGATTATTTTTTGATTGATCGAAATAATGCCAACTCATTTGGAATCTATTTGTAAAGATATATTTTTAAAAAATTTAATTAAACATACGTTAGAAACAAAAGATTCAAATGAATCCAAATTTTTGTTCCAAATCCATTTCAAATAAGCAGCTTTATTTTGACCAATCAGGTTAATTTATTATACATTTCTGTATTGGTAACATCGTATACTATCATCGTCATTAATTATGACTAGAAAATCTCACTTCCTCTATTTTGCGATTATTTCCATACTCATTTCTATGAATTAATGAGTTAACTATTCTGTAATTAGATTTCTAGGGCACAATTCTCTTTTTTTTAACAATTTTTAAAGCGTACGGAAAATATATCACATTTTGCAATTAGTTTATTTAAATATTAAAAAAAATTACTTTCGTATTCTATTTTCAACGATTTTCTTCGTTTCTTTTTCCTTTAACTATTAACTACAAACTACATTCTAAAGACAATTTTTTTGAACAGTGCAAAGTAAAAATTGTCAAAAATATAAAAATGTATAAAAATTTGTTGTGACGGTTTATAAAATATAATAAAAAAAATACCTATAGTATTTTTGGCATTGGCAATGATTGAATAAAAATTTATTAAATAAGTAATAGATACTTGTGTGTCAACTTTTCTTGACGTTGACTGGTTTGATGAATATTGCCAATTGAAGATAAATATGTTCTAGACATTTTTTCTCAGGCTTCATATTTCGAAAGAGAGGAACCAAACGAACTGGATTTGTCCCTTGATTTTCAGTTTCAACAAGAAATGTTAAATAATACAGGACTCTTCTCTGTAAAAGTAAAAAAAAAGGAAATTAATTTTATTTTTTTTTAAATATTCTAAATTTTTCTTTTTTGGATTTAAGTTTTTTCTATTTTCTTTACTGAATTAAAAATTTTAAAATACTGTTTCAAACTTTCAAATGTAAAATTTTAAATTAGGACTGATTTTTTCCTAATTTATCAAATGTTCCATTTTTTTTAAATTAAATGAATGGTAATTTTTGCAAATTTAAATTATTAGATGGAGAATTTTCAAAACTGAAATAATTTTTTCTATATCAATGTTGTAATATTTTCTTTTGACTAAAATAATATGAAATTTGAAGAGAAGAATATTTTATAACTTCTTACCTCTACTATCACTTCATTAATGAATACGTCTTGAATTATGTTCCATGGTAGAAATTCAGTCGCGTAGAGGCCAAAACAACGGCGTCTACTGACAATTTGAACTCCTACAGATTCGATTACTAGAAGGGAATCTAAAAAAAATGAAAGATTTGTCTTAAATTGAGAAAGTTTTAATTAGTTTTTAATTTTAAATCACAAATTATTTAATTACAAATTTTATTAATTTGAGAAGAAATTTTAAACTCATTTATTGATTTCTAACTTATCTAATACCTATTAATTTTAAAGTTATTAGTTTTAAAAAAAAATTAAATTTTAAAATTATTGTTTGCTAGGCGTCGCGAAGAGAAGGATTCAAAAAACAAAATTTTATAGGTTATGTTCGTTATTCTTTCACAGGGTGGCCACTTTTTTTGTAAAAAAAAATTCACGGTCATTTCCCGGTCCATTCCCGGTCATAAATTATTTTTCCCGGTCATAAATAATAACTCTGAAAATAAATTATTCCATGAAAGATTGAAAGAATTTCCTGATTTTTAGACAAAACTTTGACTTTTTCCCAAACCCTAAAAATATTTTAGTTTACTCTAAAAATAATTTTGAACTTAAATAGATTTTTTGAAATAAATATTTAATTATTATCCATTATTTTTCCATATAGTAGGTATTCAAATTTCAAAAAAAAATTCAAATTTCAAATCCTTTAAATTTGAATAATTTTTAAGAATTGCTACTGCAACTTATTAAAAATTATTTTCAAAATTTCAATTCAATTATATTCTAGAAATAACTAAAATATTTCTAAAATCCACTTGTTTACAAGACAATTTCATGAAATATTGAATAAAAATATTTTTAAAGACTAAATTATTCAGAATTTTTAATTAAAATCTTTTAAAATTCAACTTTTCTAAAACTTCAATTTGAAATTTTTTAAAATTCAGTCTATAATAATATTAGTAATATTAATTTAACATTCTAAAAAATCGAAAAATTTGCTTATGAATAATTGTAAAAAAAAACTAATTGATATTAATGAAAAATACGGTTTTTTAAAATTTATTTTCTAAGAAAAGAAATTTTATTTATTATTTATTATTCAAAAATTCATTTTTATAAATTTCGTATCACTTTTGTTCTAATTAGTTCAAATTTTTAATAATTCTTATTTGTTTTGTTATAATATTAATTGCAAAAAATTTTTAAATTGATTTATTTTTCATTATTTTATAGGATGTGAAATTTTTTCTCTTTGAAATTTTTTTGACAAATTTAATTAAAATTATATTTTGTTTAATTATTGTTAGAAATAGAAAGAATTTAAAATTAAATTTAATATTTTATTTTTCTAAGTCTGTTACGTTGGACAACAAAATTCATAATTTTCTTATAAATTCTAGAAATTGAATATTTTTATAGTACTTTTTATAAAATTCTTTGACAAAATATAAATAGATTTTATAGAAGATCATTCAATCTTTTTTAATGAAATATAGTTAATACCTAAGTCTTAAAATAAATATTTCTATTTTTTCTCACAAAGTAATGTGTGTTTTAAAAAAAAAAATTCCAAAATCCCGGTCAAGATCAAAATTCACTGTCATTTCCCGGTTTTTCCCTGTCCAAAAAAATTCACTGTCATTTCCCAGTTTTCCCGGTTTCCCGGTCCAGCGGCCACCCTGTTTCATCTTAAATAAGATTCTTTTTTCATTTTTTACAATAAAAAATCATTTTTATTGAATATTTTTAATGTAATAAAGGTTTAAACAATTAATTTTAATTGAGAATTAACCAACTTTGTTAATTTTCATTTAAAACATAAAAAACAACCTGTAAGATTTTGTGATGCGTCACATTTATTAAATTAAACCTGAATTAATTCGAATAGAAATTTTAAACTTACTTACTTATTTTTAACGTATTAATTATAAAATAAATAACTTAAAAACCTATCAAGACGTCAAAAATTTAAAACTACAAAAAGAAAAAAGTCTGCGTCTATGAAAACTGTTGGCGTTACGTCGTAAAGACGATTCAACAAAAACAGATATAAATTTTTGCAATTTGTTAAGAACTTAAAATCATCAATAATTGACAGAATTTGAAAAAATGAACCTGTAAAATAAATTCTCAAAACCAAGAAAAATTCCATGAAATTCAGTCTTATTGGAGGTTATGTTAACAGCCGTTAAATTTTAAAAATTAAAGAAAAATATACCCCCAAACCTCTTTAAAAATTAAAAAGAAAATTAACAAAATCAAAAAATCTCTTCACATTCAAGGAAATATTTCAATTTTTCTCATTTTAAGAGCGAAAAAAAAGAAGACTTAAAAGTTCCAAACAACCAAGTTATACTTTTCAATAAAAAGGTTCAAATTTTTTATATGAAATTAAAAAAAAACTCACCTGCTACAACAGTGGTTGCTAAATTTTTATAATGCCACAGCAAAAGTACTCCAAAGATGAAAATAAAGAGTAAACGATTAACAAAGAAACATGTGACGAGAAATACGCAACATTTTAAAATTTCTATCCAAACGTGTATTTTTTCATTTCCATGAATAATAAACGTTCGTACTTTATTTTCCTTCTCATTTTTTATCTTTAAATTAATAACTTTTCCATTAACATTTCGAAATATTTGCACTGTTTCACTGGAAAATGAAGAAGGCGGCGACATTTATGAGATGCCGGAGAAAAAAAAATGGCGAATTTCTAACACTTTTTTGAGAGCGTGTACGGAGAGAGCACAAAAATAAACGTGTCATAACTTGACGAATGTTTGGAATGGAAAAAGGATGAATTACTAGATTTACCCGCGCTCCTCTAAAGTCCTGCGGCGGCCATTTTGGAAACGATCGACGCGACCTCTTTCTTTTCTATTCTAGAAATATTATCCTAATTTTTTCATTTTCTGTTGAAAATATAAGAAAATTTTTTTCTTAAAAAAGAATTAGAAAATTGATTTTCGTATTTAATATTTAGAGAGATATTTTTTTTTTGCAATTACTTGAAAACTGATTGAATTATTTTTTCTATTTGAATTTCCCGCCAAATTTAATTAAAATCAAAAGTAGCTCTTTCTTTTTGCTTCTCCTTTTTCGTCTTTTTCAATAAATTATAAATGATTACAATTTATTAATTGTAATTTCAATTTAGAACGATTTTCCCTCATTTATAATAAATTTTTAATTTTAACAATATAAAATTTTTAATTTTTAGTAATTTTTTATTACTCTTTTGAAATAAATGGATTAAATAAACAATTGTTATTAAATTCTCCCTCTGCTAAAAAAAGATTAATTTTTTTTATTTGAATCCTTTTTTTCTGAAATTTCACTAAAAACAACATTTTTACAACGCCATCTATCACTTGTCTCTTTCTATCTGTCAACTTTTGTCTGTTTGTCATTGTCACTTTGTCCGTCTGTCATTTCATCATTGTTATTCCTTTTCCTTTTGACAAGTGTAAACTTTGAAGGAAGTTACTTTCCGTCAACAATTTTTGATAAATTTACAGGTAAGTTTATTTTTCATTTCAAGAGATTCGTACACTTTTTAGAATTAAATCATTAATTGTATTAAAAATAGTCTATTTCCTGTTATTAAATTAATAATAGCCACACCCACAATTATTCTATTTAGTGAAATGGATTTTTCATTTTTAATTTTACTGAAAAATTGTCGAAACTATAAAATTTATTTTATTTATTTTATTTTTCTTCCGAGTTTATAAAAATTTGTTGAAAGTATATAAAATAATTATCTCGATGAGTCGAACATAACCTCAAAAGAAATTCATTCTTGCGGTTTTTAAATTTCTTAAAATAAATAAAATTTACTTATATTTTCTTTCAAAAACTTAAAAAATTTATTAGCACAAACAGTTACATGTTATAATCAAATTATTTACTTGTTAAACAAATAACTCTATCAAAAATCATAGATAACTTGAAAATTGGAGACAAAATTTTGTCAAGTGGTAATTTGTTATTAAAATTTTTGAATTTAATAAATAAGAAGAATTAATTAGTAATTTAGTTAAGGATTGAATTTTTTTAAAGTTTGAATCTGAAATTATTCAAAAATTCATGTTTGAAAATAACAAAATAATTTTGTAATTTGCATAATAAATAATAAATTAATTATCACGTTCCGCGCGTAACATATTTGTTAGTAAATAAATAAATCATAAGTAAATAAAATTAAAAAATAAGTGACTAAGTAAATAAAAATAATAAAGAAATAACAAAAATAAATTTTAATTTAAAAAACCGGAAAAATAACGTAAAATTTAGAAATTTTTTTCAAAAGCAGAAATAACTTTGAAATGACTTAATAGAATTAATTTTCATTACAGAAAAACCATGGATATGGTAATTTCAACTTTACAGCAGCAAAGACAAGTGACGGAGCAACTTCGTCGTGAAGCTGCAATTAAAAGAGTAACAGTGAGCAAAGCTTGTGAGGATATTATGAAATATATCACCGAACACGAGCAGGAAGATTGTTTACTCGTAGGATTTTCTTCGCAAAAATCAAATCCATTTCGTGAGAAAAGTTCCTGCATTCTTCTCTAGTCAATGTTTAATGTGTTCGTTTGGAAATTAACCAAAAAGAAAAAAACGAAATTCAAAAATGAAGACAAAAAAAAAGAAAATTCTCATCTTTTTTTTCATCGTCTATAAACTGAATCTCGACAAAAAAAAAAATTATTTATTTTCCATAAATAATTTTACGATTTTCTGTCAAAGTTTTTTTTCTGCTCTTTTACTTTTATTACTACTTTAATGTAATATTTACAATCTTTTTGAAAATAATTTCATTTTTTTTTTAAATATTTACACCAGCGTTTTTATAAAATTTCATTTTCTAAATGTAAAGAGAAGAATTTTTGTAAATGAAAATTTTTTAATGTAGGTATTTTTTTAAAAAGTAAGCGAAAGATTTTTGTATTTTTAAATTAAAAAATTGAAACTAAAACCGAAAATAAATCAAATTGTGCCTTAAAAGAACAATCGAATTAGGAAAATGTACAATTATTTACGAATCTAAGAGAAATATCGTGAAAATAGATTTTGTAAAAAATATAACGAAATATTTAAAAAAATATAGATTTGTCAAAAAATATTTTTGTTTTCTTAATATTTTCTTTTTCATAAATCTTCGATGTTCCTTAATAATAATAATCCACTAGAAACAATCCGCGCGCTTAACTTCTTACTGACTTTCTTAAAAAAAAAAATTATCAATAAATTTTAAAAATAATACACGGAAAAAAAAATCAGCCTAATAATGCATGGAGTCTATTGGTTCGATTTTTACATGAGCCCATTTTGCAAATATCACACAGGAGTTTACTAAAAATGCATGGCTTTTGTGACTTTTGCCACAGCACCATGCGAAAATAGGATGGATTCCAAGCTAATCACGCATGGTAGTGTGCGTGCAATATACACAACAGACGCTCATGTGTTTTTAGCCTAGTATTTTTTTCCGTGTAGAATATAAAAATTTTCTAATTTAAATTTTTGTTGAAAACACTAAAAAAAATTCAATTTTGGAGAAATTACAAATAATTGCAGAAATTCAATTATTTTCAAACAAAAATTAAAATCCTTCTTAAAAATTTCAACTATGTTCAAAATTTAAAAAAAAATTCTGCTAAAGATCCCAAATATTTTTTATAAATAACAAAATTCTTCTCCAAAGTTCAATTGTTTCCATAAATGCTTAAAAAAAATTCTTGTCCTAATTTCAATTATTATCAAAATTTTTTCAAATTTTTTAATAAAATTGTATGCAAACATGTAATTATTTTCATAAATAATAAAAATGTCACAAAAATTCAATTATTTTCATAAATAATAATAATTTTTTAAGAAATTCAATATTTTTCGTAAAATAAATAATTTAAAATTCTAGAAAATGATAATTGAATTAAAATGATAAAAATAAGATTAAAAATAGAAATTGTGAAAATATTTTTCTTCTTTTTCTAAAACAAAATAATAATTATGTTAAAAATATTGTGATTCATAAACAAAAATAATGCAAAATAAATAAATTTTCTATTTCTTAATCATAATTGTTTAACAATTTTCTAATTTTCCTTAGAAGTAAAGAACAAAAATAATTTCAATTTGACAAAACATAAAATTTAACAAAATTTTAGTATTTTAATGAAAAGAAGTGAAAAAAATTCTAATAATTTCTATTTGTCATTACAATTTTTAATTTTAACAAATAAATAATTGTTGTTTGCTTTTTTGTTTCTTAACTTTTTTATAATTTTTCATTTCAAATATTTTTAATTTTAAAATTAATGTTTTGAAAATCATCAAATTGTTGCAAAGAATTTTATCAAAAAATGTGATAATAATAGAATTTCTTCAAAGAATTTTATTATTTAGAAAAATAATTGAATTCTCGCAAAGAATTTTATTAATTTTTAAAAATCCTAATTAAATTCTATTGCAGAATTTCTTTGCATTTTTTTTTAAACTAATGGAATTTCTTTAATAATTTTAATTGGCAATTTTGAAAGCAATTGAATTTTATGAAGAAGAATTTTATTAAAAGTGAATTGAAAATAATTGAATTCTTGCGAAGGATAATGTATTTATAAAAAGACTGTATTTATAAAAATAGTTGAATTGTTTCGAAGAATTTATTAAAATTTTAGGACATAATTGAAATTCGTGGAAATATTTTTAAATATTTGAATTCATCCGAGGAATTCAATTAAAATTGTTTTGAAAATAATTGAATTTCTGCAAAGGATTTTACTATTTATAAAAATAATTGAATTACTGCGAAAAATTTTACTATTTATAAAAAGAATTGAATTTTTTCATAGGATTTATTAAAATTTTAGAAAAACATTTAATTTTTTCGAAATGTGTTAAATTTTTTTTTAAAAATTAAATTCTCCCGAGGAATTTAATTAAAATTGTTTTAAAAATCATTGAATTTTTGTAAAGATTTTACAATTTAAAAAAATAATTGAATTGTTTAAAAGGATTTATTAAAATTTTCGGAAAATAATTGAATTTTTGGCGTAAAATTTTATTAAAATTTTTGAAAATATGAACAGTAATAATTAGTTTTGTACGTGAATTTTTTAAATTTTGATTATGAAATTAATTAAAAAATTTATATTTGAAAATAAAAAATTTTGTAATTTGTATAACAATAATGAATTGAATGAATAAATTGCTAATAATAATAAAATATACAATCTATCTAAAGATAATAAAAAACAAAAGTATAAACAAAAGACAACTTCAGAGTCTGAGGGACAGAAAAAGTGAATGAATGAATGAAAGAACATTCAAATTATTATTATCACTTTGTAATGAATTTTTATAATAAATATTAAACGCAAGTTTTTAACAAAAAATTCTTTTTTTGTTTGGCAAAATATGTTAAAAATTATTTAAGTGTTTGTTAAAGTAATTAATAAAAAAAACCAACAAATTAACAGTAAATTAAAAATGTTTTAAGAAAATACCAAGAATCATCAACTACTAGTGAATTAAAAAAAAGGTTGAAAATGATGAAATTAAAATTTGTATTTATTATATATAATTTTTTATAAAATAAACTGACAATTGTTCAGTAAAAATTTACAATATACAACGATATACATTTCTCATGTTTTACAACTTGCGTAAAAAATTTAACTATGACAATTAAATCCGTTTCTGTTCTTTTAAAATTTAATTAAATTTTCACCAAACACAAACAAAATTTATTTCAATTCACAAAAAAGAATAATTAAAATATAAATAATTGAAACACACATTATTTCAAAATTAAGCAAATTGAAAAAAATTTAAATTATCATTTTAAAGTTAAAAATAAACATTTTTTTGTAGTAAAAATTTCTACATAAATAAAATAATTTAATTTGAAATAAAGTTATGAATTTTTAAATTTATCTTATTTTTAATTAAAAATTTGATTTAATTAATTAATTTTTAATCAAAAAATAATTCAAATTTAAATTTAAAAAATCGACCGATTTTGAAATTTTCAAAGAATTTGAAAATCGTTCAAAATAATGATTTTTCGCACACATTTTTTTTGTTGAAATATGTTAAAAATTATCAAATTTTGTCGCATTTTAATTATTTTTCAAATTTTCTGTAGAAAAAAATCGACGATTTTGAAATTTTTAAAGAATTTGAAAATCGTTCAAAAACAGATTTTTCGCACATTTTTTAAAATATTATATAATAATGTTTTTTAAAATAAGTTTTAAAAATCAATAGATTTCTAAGAATGAAAAATTACATAGTATTTACTAAATAATTAAAAAAAAATGAACTAAATTAAAAATAAACTGAAAATATATCACAAAAAAGCTATTAAAAAATATCAATTACTTCAAAGTAGTAAAATAAATACAAAAAACTATTTAAATAAAAATAAAATAAAGATAAATCTACTCTCGATGTTTGTAAAATTTTTAAATACTGCAAAAGCTCAAATATAAAATTTACATATGTTTAAAATTAATTTCTAAAAAAATGTGAAAAATTTAAAGAAAATAAAAATAAATAGAAGAAGTTTAAAATTTAAAGGAAATTTTACAAATTTTCTTTGAAATTAAAATGAGATAAAAAGGAGAATTAAAATTAAAATTTTTTTGTTAATATCTGTTACGATTAGCGACATTGTTTATCAAACATGAGAGATCGGCTCCAATAATTGTCGATTGATTAGCGTAATACGGTTGTGAATTAATAGCACCATTATTGTACTTCATTTGCATTGCCGTATCATAATCGGGCGCTGGTCTATAAGGCGGAAGCAGAGCTTGCAAATTACTCGTATCTTTCGATGAAACAGAAACAACGGGACATGGAGAAGTCGACAAATCGCTGTAACTCGTCCACCGCATGTGATTCTCCGGTTGATGATCCAAACGCAGTGACGCTATTTGTTCATTCGTCTCATTCTACAATAACATCAAATATATTATTTATTTTATATATATTTTATATATTTTAATATATTATTTATTTATTATTGTTATTTTATTATTTATATTATTTACTTCGTTTTTTATATAAAATTAATTTACTATGTTTTTTCGGTCTTAAAGATACTTTTTCTAAATTAATTAACGAGTGCGAAACCTTTATTACAATAAAAGTCGATTTTGGCGATTTTTGAGAGTCGAAATTTCGTATCTTCCTTTATAGTCAAAATTGGTGGATTTTAAAAACGAAAAAAAGAAGTAACTTACGAAATTTCCATTAGTGACGCGCTCGTTTAATTGTTCGTTTAGACGCTGAGCAAATGTGTGCTTCGTGATACACAATTGCCAGGCATATTTTGCTAATCGTGATTCACCAAAAGTAAATTGCTTCGGTGTTTCGCCTTCCACTTGCCATTCGATTCTAAAAGTCTTTTTGTGACTAATTACGTTACTAATTTCAGACCATCTAGAAAAAAAGAATAGAAGAAAAATTTAGATTTTATAACAATTATTAATTAAATAATATTAACAATATGATAATAACGAATTATTGTCACAGGGGAAACAATATTTAGATTACTTTTCATGCCTAGAAGAAAAGCAAAAAATGAAAATTTTGAAAAAAAAGAAAAAAAATCGAAATTATTTTAGAAAATAATAATTATGTAAGGAAAATTATAATAAGGAATATGAATAAAAAATTGTTTTTCACCTGTAAAATTTGGCGGATTGTGACGTAGATGAACCAACCATTATACCATTAATGGAGATGCCGAGGATTATTTCATTGTTACCTTCATCCTGTAAATTGGTACGTAATTAAAAAAATTTTAAACAGAGAGAAAGAGAGATAATAAACTTGAGATTTAAATAAAAAATTCCCACCTTTGCAACGAAAGTTTCGTAACCGTAACCTTCCATTTGCATTACAGTCATAATATACATTTCTTCGGCCGCAGACTGTGTGACTCCGGTTAAACTTTTAAATTGGCAAATCGCATCATTTAAAAGTGTTTCCTGCGCTCTTGGTTCAGCTTCTATTAGTACCTAAAATAATTCATATTAAACATTTTTTTTAAAATTAAATTCTTCCGAGGAATTTAATTTCAATTATTTTCAAAATTTGCAATTAAAATTCTTAAAAAGTTGATTTTCAAAAATTTTTATAAAACACTTTAAAAAAAATCAATTATTTTCAATTAAATTTGACAAAATTGCAATATTTATTTGAAACTCTTTTCAATTGTAAATTTCAAAAATTTAATTCGAGAAATTATTAAAAAATATTTTTTGAAGATTTGTCTATAGTTATTTTTCACACTATATATAAGAATTGAAATAAGTTTCATTTTTTAATAACTATGTAGAAAAATTGTAAATTCTAATGGAAAATCTCACTTTTGGAAAGAAAATATCTTGTTGTAAGCATTCTGGCGAGTGTCTGTCTGCGTCATAATTTCCAAATTCCGCCTGCATTGAATAACTCGCCAATAAAGAGGCTTGTCTCGCATCATAAGTTATTTTACCCTCTAAAATATCATTTTTCAATTGTAAATAATAGTGATATCTGGAAAAAGAAAAACGAAATTAAATTTCTATTATTATAAAGAATTCGACAAAAAAAAATTTTCTTTTCTTTTTCTTCTTTGAAAAATTACTAACTACTTTTTCTTTATTACTAAACAAAACTAAAACTAGTCTAAAATACTAAAAACTAAAAAAATATTAATTAAAACTTTATAATTTAAAAAATTAGATTAAATATTTAAACAGCTAATAAATTAAATTACTTATAATTTGAAATGATTTAAAATAAAAAATACATACCGAGTAAAGTCGTCTTGAATGAATTGAACATCAAAAATATAATGCATCACACGAAGATAAACAATGAAATTTTTAGCTTTCTTTTCCAATTGTCTTTTTAGGGGTTTGTCCATATTGATCCATCGCGAGGTATTTGGACTGTCTTTGCAAATATAACACAGGCCAAAAAATTCCGGTTGTCCCAGGCCAAGTCTCTGCGTTACATTTATTAGACATTCTCTTCCTGTACTTCCAATACTTAATGTACATTCTATTGATGTTGTGTCCAATAGTTCAATGCAAATAACGTATTGATTTTTCGAAACAACATCGTACTGTCGACTTTTTTTCAAATAAAATTTAAACGGCATTCTAGAACAGAAAAATTCTTTTATTACTCATCCTTTTTTATTATTTTCAACAATTTTTAACTAAAATTTTTTCTTTAAATCAATTATTATTAATAATTTTTGAAAAATTCTTTGAGAATATTCAAATCCATTTTTTTTTTGCAATTCAATTTTACGAAATTTTGATTACTCGGAAATTTCAAAAAAAAAAAAAATTAAACTTTTTTAAAAAAATTAATTCTACAAAATTGTTATAGTTAACAAATCTTTTTCAACACTAAAAAAAAACAGAGAAAATGCTTTAAAATTTATTAATTTGGTAATTAAATAAAAATGTTTAAATTTATAATTATATTTTATTCATTTTTTATAAAATTATTTTAATTAATTTTTTTTGAAAATTCTTTCTTGTTTTTATTAATCACCTTAAAAAAAACCCTTTGAAAAATGTGAATTTAAAAGAAAGTTTCTTTATTTATAAATCACTTTGTCCTCGACAAAATGTTAAAAATACATTTTTGATAACCTTTTTGTAAAAATAAATTAAAACAAAATGAAGCGTTTGTGTTTACATTGAAGATATACACATATTTCTAAAAATAGTAACAAATTTTCAAAACAGACATTTTCTGTAAGTAGTGCATATTTTGTTGAAAAAAAATATTGAAAACTATTTTTTAACAAGAAGTGTGAAAATTCGGAACTTTTTCGTAAAAGTTATTATCGCATTTCTTGATATAGTATAAATAAAGTGGAAATATTAAAATTATTGCAGGGATAAAGAAAATAATAGAAATATGACATATATTGACGAAACTTACCTTTTTTGTTTTAGAAACCAATTTTCTTTTTTCTGACAAAAAAACGAATAAAATTTTGAAAAATAATTTTTAATTTCTCATATTTTTTTCTCACGCTTTTGTTGTGAAATGGAATTTTGATTGAGAAACATGTTATGATTCTTTTAATTACGTTTATTATTTTTTTTTTTTACATTATTTGTCAACTGATAAGGTTATGTTTGGAGTAAAATAAAATCCGATCGCAGCGACATTGACATTTTAAATCGGAAATTAAACCATAATTACGGGGTGCTACTCTCTGTACCAAAAACATAAGTTCGAATGCTCATTATGCCGAATTTACAATTTAGAAATGACCAGATACGCGAATCCTCAATAACCTAAATTGTATATTGAATGAAATTCAAAAGTAGGGAATAATCACGAAAGGAGCTCCCACTTCCCTTACAAACATGTATTCATTTTCCAATTCTCTTTCGGTTTTGTTAGGTTAGCGATACTAGCAAACCTAACGTGAAAATTTCGAAACATTTAAATTATCGTCTGCTACGCGTCTGATGATCATCTGTCATGTCATCTGAAATATTATGCGACTTCACAAAATAGTGTTTTTAAATCTTTTAAATTAAATGTGCAAAGACAAAAACCACAAAGAGAAGAAGGAAAAGAGTAAATCAATTTGCGTGAGAAGTGATTTTAAAATTTTGTATAATTAAAGCAGTAAGTATAAAATGTAAATAGTAATGTAGTGCAAGTGTAATTTTTGATATTGTGATATTGTATTTGAATTATTTTTTAACATGTACAATATTATGTAGATTGAAAATTTATATTTAAAGTTTAAATGAAAAATATTCCGTGGTTTTATGTAAATTCATTTTTACAGGTTAGAATGTCAAAAACCGTGGATTCTAATAAAAAAGATGTGTGTACATTTGAATATTTACAAGAAAATATCGATTCAGTGAAACTTCCTTCAGAAAAATGGGTTTTTTCACGAGGGAATCACTTATTCTTTGGATTCCAACGAGTTGAAGATAATGGATATGTGAGAAAAAGAGTAGCAGTACTTCCGAGACATGAAATACAGATTTATGTCGATGATATATTAGTACCATTCTCTGAATATATTCGGGTAATGAGTACTGATGATTTGGGAAGCATTTTAGAAAAAGTTGATAAGTATCCATAAATTTAAAAAATGAAAATTGTAAATAAATTGTAAATTTAATTAATATTTTTATCAATTAAACACTAATTAATTAATTAAAAGTATGCCTTTTACGAAAGGCTATTTAATTCGTGAATATTAATGTTATGAATATATATAAAATGAACTTTTTAGAAAAATAGTAATAAATAAAAATATATTTATTATTAATTATTAAAAACAAATTTATAATATTTTGTACAAAAAATACACAACAATGTAAAATATATGTATATTTTTATATGTAGTTTTCTTATTGATTTATTTATTATGTGAACGTCAGTTTTTAAAATTATTATTGCTATCGTTACATTCAGTAACACATGTTATAATAATTGTATAAATTTCCCTATTATAAATTTTGGTAACATTGTTATTTTTTACTTCTCTGAAATTGTTTTATTTTTATTCCTATTCATTTAAATCTTCTAATTCTGTACGTCTCTTCTTTGCAGCAACAGGCACTTTCGATATATCCCCATATGATGTTAATTTCGACGCTTTTCTTTTTTCTTTGCTTTGACGTTTTTCAATACTGTTAAGATTTGTTTGCCTTGCTAAAAAATGCATTCTAGTGGTTAAGTAAAAGCTCATAACTCGCCTTGTCAAATTGTTACTGTGATTTAAACACCCGACATGTGAGATTGGAGACATTTCCTCTAATTTCTCTGTAACTTTAAACAACGTATCAGCTTGAGGTAAGCCTGCTTGTACCACTTCCATTATAGCATTTTCAATGGAAGTAATCAAGCTGACTAACTGCTTTGAGGGGTGTTTTAAATATCCCCGTGATTTTATTTCAATAAATTTATGGTTCTCAGGGATACTTTCATTTGATGGTAAAATCAAAGTAACAACACAATCTTCACATGACGTTTGCTTTTTCCCATCGACATACTTGCAGAATCTCATTATCGCTTTTCTTGCAACATAGCCAGCCATGTAACTAATTGCATATTTCGATGGTTGGGACCAAGGATAATCATGTTCCTTGTCAATATTTTCGATATCGGGAAGAATACTGATATTTCCTTTGTCTAAAATTGGGACGCATGATTATTCCCCAAATGTCATTTTTCCGAAATGTCATTTTACCGAACTGCACTTTTGCGAATAGTCATTTTTGCGAAAAGCCAATTTTGCGAAATGTCACTTTTGCGAATTGTCATTTTCGCGAAAAGCTATTTTTGCGAATTGTCATTTTTGCGAATGGACATTTTTACGAATTGTCAATTTTCCGAAAAGTCATTTTTGCGATTTGCCATTTTTACGATTTGTCAATTTTTCGAAAACTCATTTTTGCGAATTGTCATTTTTACGAAAAGACATTTTTATGAAATGTCATTTTTACGAAAAGCCATTTTTGCGAAAAGTAATTTTTACGAATTGCCATTTTTGCGAAGTGTCATTTTTAAGAAATGTCATTTTTGCGAATTGTCACTTTTGCGAATCGCTATTTTACGAATCGCCATTTTTACGAATTGTCATTTTTGCGAATAGTCATTTTTGCGAAAAGTTATTTTTACGAATCGACATTTTTACGAATTGTCAATTTTCCGAAAAGTCATTTTTGCGAATTGTCATTTTTGCGAATCGCCATTTTTACGAATTGTCAATTTTCCGAAAAGTCATTTTTGCGAATCGACATTTTTACGAATAGTCAAATTTCCGAAAATTCATTTTTGCGAATTGTCATTTTTGCGAAAAATACAATAGAAAACTTGTAGGTCTATAAATCCACTATTGTATTTTTCGCAAAAATGACAATTCGCTAAAATGACTTTTCGAAAAATTGACAATTCGTAAAAATGGCGATTCGCAAAAATGACTTTTCGGAAAATTGACAATTCGTAAAAATGTCGATTCGCAAAAATGACAGTTCGTAAAAATAGCTTTTCGCAAAAATGACAATTCGCAAAAATAACAATTCGTAAAAATAACTTTTCGCAAAAATGACTATTCGCAAAAATGACTATTCGCAAAAATGACAATTCGTAAAAATGACGATTCGTAAAAATAGCGATTCGCAAAAGTGACAATTCGCAAAAATGACATTTCTTAAAAATGACAATTCGCAAAAATGGCAATTCGTAAAAATGACTTTTAGCAAAAATGACATTTCACAAAAATGTCTTTTCGTAAAAATGACAATTCGCAAGAATGACTTTTCGGAAAATTGACAATTCGTAAAAATGTCGATTCGCAAAAATGACTTTTCGGAAAATTGACAATTCGTAAAAATGGCGATTCGCAAAAATGACAATTCGCAAAAATAGCTTTTCGAAAAAATGACAATTCGCAAAAGTGACATTTCGCAAAATTGGCTTTTCGCAAAAATGAGTATTCGCAAAAGTGCAGTTCGGTAAAATGACATTTCGGAAAAATGACATTTGGGGAATAATCATGCGCCCCTCTAAAATTGTATCTAGTTTATTTTCCCACTGCTCTTTCCTTTCATTGGAATCCTCTAAATGAGTGATTCCAAGTAATACATCCAAAATTTCAGAACTGCTTACATTCGATCCCTTTGGTGGACGAGAAATTGAGTAAGTGGAGACTAACCGGTACATTTGTAAGAACAAATTTGCATCCGGATGATCATTTGCCCCACAACTTTCTCTCATCATTCCGAAAAAACGCTGTAACAAGAACCCATTATCAATTAATCTAAATAATAAAAGATTATTTTCAAATAAATATTATAAATTAAAATTTACTTCTAGAGCATCTTGATTCAGACGTGCTGTCAGCAGGTATTTGAAGCCACAGTTCTGCACTAAATAAGTGCACAACTCTAATGTGGCTTGCAAAGAAACAAGCAATCCATAATAAGTTGGCTCAGGAATAAATTTATGATTTTGAGAATCAGTGATTTGCTTCCACTCTTTTAAATAACTTAAGAAATTTTGCACAACCTGAAAGTAAATTATTATTCAATTATTATGTACTTATTATTATTATAATCTACAGCAATTATCATTTGTTGTTAACTTTCTATCATACGGTAAAAGCTTCGTTTCCAGGAGACATAGAATTAAATGCTGTTCGGCTATTCATGGCAGTTATGAGATTTTTTATTCTCTTACAAAATTGAATTGTTGTTGCACAATCTTCCAATTCATCGTGTCTATCTTTATACAATTCCAAAAGTTCTGCTATTCCAAAAAACTATTAAAAAATTTGAAACATGTAATATGAATCTGCAAAATAAAAATTAAAGTTGTACAATAAATTTACCTGAAAAGCCATTGCGACATTCATTTTCTGGAAGTATTTTGGTTCGAGGTGATCAATCCGCAACTTGTAATTGCATTTTATGCCATATGAAGTTGTGTTTTCCACTTCAAGTAAGGAATACCAAATTAACAATGATATTATACCATCTGGAGTCTGAAAATACAATTCATAAATTGTTTAATTTAATTATTTTTAAAATTTAAAATCATTTTTAAAATTTTTACCAAAATTCCTTCTCGAATATGCAATTTTATAAAAAAGTTTCGCAGACATTTAATTAGGTGCGGAAAATCAGAAATAAACCACAGACGGCGATTTTTGTCAAAAATGTGTTCAACGCTAACGTTTTCTTCCTTAACACCGAACAACTCCCACATTTTTCTGTTCCATGTGGCACCGTCAGATGTTACAACATCAATTTTCAAACCACAATTCTCTGCCAACATTATGCACTCGATTAATAATTTGTGCAGCACAGTACCAGACGCACTTCCTTTGCTAAGGAAACATCCCAGAGTTTGTACTTGTCCAGTCATAAATGACTGGAACATAAATACAAGGGCGTGGTCTGCTAATTCTGATTTCTTGTGCTCAGGTGTATAATCGCCTAAATTTGTGAAACCTTCGAATTTTAAATTTACGGTGTTATACGCGAGTGCTACTGACAATTTAACTTCATCAATTAGTATTGCACCTGCAATATATACAAGCAGAAAATTATTTTTTTGTAAAATGTAACTTATGATAATTTATATTCATTATTCATATGAACCTTTTTTTTAATTAATAAAACCAAATTCAGCTACCCTTATTATGTTTTCTTCTAACATTTAAAAAATTAAACTGTCAAACATTTTTCATTTCAATAATTATATTTTATTATATTTATTTTTATGTGTTAACAAAATAACATAATATAATTCTCTTACTTGCGGGTCATCCGTAAACAACATTTTTTTAAATAATATGTTACAAAAGAGAGTGAGAGGGGTTAAAAATATTTTTAAAAATCACTCAATTTTTATTATGGATAATCTCTCACCATGTTTATCAATATCGTTCATTGATTCCGTTTTTAGCTTTAAAGCCTCGAACACGTTTCCGTCAAAGCCGTAAGAACTTTTCATTCTACGCATACACCTATCTAATGTTTGGAATGACGGCAAGGCAAGAATCTTATGGCTTCTTAAATGCTTGTAAGCCTTTTTGCTTTTAATGCGTAATAAAACACATTCGTACACCCACTGTCTGCTGTACCTAGCTCCTCTTGGTCCTTTCAATTTCGATGCTTTCAAACAGGCCTGCACAGCTAATTGCTCACTAGTGGATAAACCACTAATCGCTTCGGAAATAGTTTCCTCTTTCGTCTGTGCACACTTTTCCTGTAATGCTTTTAAAACATCCTTCATTTTGTTCCCCTAAAATTCAATATTTATTTTGTTTTTAAGAAAGTAATCATTTTTTCACATGTAATGTTATTAAATGAATAGAGCTTTGTTAAGTTCTTACCTTTTTCTCCAAATTGTTCTTAGCTCGCCTAATTTTGTGAACATTTTTTGACAATTTCTTATGTTTAATGTTCCATTCTTTTCTTTTATGTTTGTCGCTCTTCCTGCCACGCATTAATTGCCATAAATTTTTGCAGGGTGCACAATACTTGGACTGAATTCCTCTTCTTCCTTTTTCTTTTATCAAAACAAATCCAATACAATTTTGTGCTCTGAAAAAAATATTAAATGTTGATAACATATCTGCCTTTTTTTAGACTAGTATACTCATGATACTTTATTTCATATATCACTTAATTATTAACCTTGGCTTATCACACTTCTCACAAGGATTGACTTTATCCAATTCCTTCAGCAAGGATTCAAGATTGTTCACGTTTTCAATGTAATCGATTCCAGGCAATTTCACTTCAATTTCTTCAAAGTAAATCTGAAAGAAAAATTTCAAATTGTTATATTTGCCTTCATAACTATATAATAATTTATGTGCGCATAAAAAAAATTACATTGACTTTTTTGGTTTTATCTATGACAAGTCTCAAAGAAGAACGTTTCATTGTTTCTTGCCACTTATTAATTGCAATAGAATTTGGACACCGTCTTAAAAACCAATATGAAGATGGCAGAGGAATGTTTTGAGCATTGTCGTAAATTTTTCCAAAGTCTGTCTCGATTCCGAAATTCGTTTCAACAACTACTGCTACATCAGGTATTGGAAGAAATGTTTTTGATTCTAAAACATCACGAAAATATTTTGGAAAAGAATTTGGTCGAAGAATTGGCCGAGCCCGTGGAGAACGATATTCATTGCCGTTTGAAAGTTTGATTACGTCTTCAAAAATTATATCGTCATTATCGAAGTGTAGGTCGCAAACAGCAAACTTTTCTTTCAATTTGTCACCATTTGGAATCAGTTTTTTCCACTGTTGTGCAATAACTTCCTGAGGAAATAATAACATTGAAATACAGTATGTTAATACAACCGTTGTACATGCAAAAAAATTTAATTGACAATTTAAATAAATTTTTCTCATTAAACTAAAAAAAGAAGTGCATTATAAAAGTTATTTAATTAAATTTCATACCTACAATGTATATGTTGACTGACAAGACAGACTGACACCAATGAATAAATAAAATATATTTGAAAATTAACTGAAATGTCAATAAAATTATTTTTTTTTAAATATACTTAACCGTTTTCGTTTGAAATATATGACGCTTCTCTGTCAAATGTTCATCTCTCTTATTTTTTGAGTAAGATGATTTACAACCAGGAATAGAACAAGAACTCAGAGACCTGAAACCAAAATTTTAAAATTGTTTTTTAAATAAAGTCTAATAATAATTAACATATACTTGATGATTGTAAAATATATGCTATAAAATTTAAATTATTTTCACATTACAAAACATATTAAATGATTTTTCACAAATAATATACTGTTTATTTCGATGCAGATAAAAATATATTTTTGTATATAAATATTTTATTGTTGCATATTAATTTGGAAAAAATATTTACTGATAAGTTAATTTCTTTAATTAATTATTTTTTTATACTTTACATTTCTTACTCAGAATAATTTCGATGGTACTTTTTTAAAATATAACTTATTCTATTTGGATTTTGTTTAAAATTAAACTGATTCGTGTGTAAAACACTAATTGTTAATAATAATACAAAATTCTAGAAAACAAAGTACACTTATGTAATTATACTTACATTATTGTATTTTTCCTTTATCAAAACACAAAACTTCACAATAACGTGACAAAAACATTCAAAAAAAACTTGGAAACTGTGTAACATGTGCGTAACTGTCAATTTTCAAAGATACAATCACTATATACGCAGCCATTTGCAATTTCAGTTGCAGCGCTTTTCTCTGAAGATTGCGCTAGTATCGCTAACCTAACAAAGCCGAAAGAGAATTGGAAAATGGATACAAGATTTTTTGAAATTGACTATAGAGTGGGAGCTCCTTATACTACTTCGTGGGAATAATCATTTGATATATTCTGCATATGGAGAATATTATTTTAAACTAATTCTTTTTTTCCACAATTTGAAATTATTGCAATTTTTATTTTTGGAATTTCCACTTTACCTACATTTTAATAGATCGAAACGTAAAATATCAGAATTGACATTTAATTGAAATATGATGGAGAATAAATATATATTCACTGAATAAAAAGATTAAATAATTATTAAATGTTTGAATTTAATAAAAACATATTGTTCAAAAGTTACAGTGCGAATTGTACAGAATATATATTAATAAGAAATATAATTTGGCAGAATGTCGATTCGATCGATTTTATATTTGCAAGAAATTCAATTTGACAGAATATCAATTTATAAGAAACACGTTTTCGTAGAACTTTAACTTGTCAGAATTGTAATTTTGTAGAATATTAATATTGGCAAATCTAATTTTGGTAGAAATCTGCTTTATCAGAATGATCACATGTTCGAATCCTCAAAAGTTAGAATTCCATTTTTACCGAAAATGGATTCCACATAAATATTTGGCGCAAATTTTAAAATTCTGATTTCTGATTGGTCGATTTTAAAATTTGCGCCAAATATTTATGTGGAATCCATTTTCGGTAAAAATGGAATTCTAACTTTTGAGGATTCGAACATGTGATCATTCTGATAAAGCAGATTTCTACCAAAATTAGATTTGCCAATATTAATATTCTACAAAATTACAATTCTGACAAGTTAAAGTTCTACGAAAACGTGTTTCTTATAAATTGATATTCTGTCAAATTGAATTTCTTGCAAATATAAAATCGATCGAATCGACATTCTGCCAAATTATATTTCTTATTAATATATATTCTGTACAATTCGCACTGTAACTTTTGAACAATATGTTTTTATTAAATTCAAACATTTAATAATTATTTAATCTTTTTATTCAGTGAATATATATTTATTCTCCATCATATTTCAATTAAATGTCAATTCTGATATTTTACGTTTCGATCTATTAAAATGTAGGTAAAGTGGAAATTCCAAAAATAAAAATTGCAATAATTTCAAATTGTGGAAAAAAAGAATTAGTTTAAAATAATATTCTCCATATGCAGAATATATCAAATGATTATTCCCTACTTTTGAATTTCATTCAATATACAATTTAGGTTATTGAGGATTCGCGTATCTGGTCATTTCTAAATTGTAAATTCGGCATAATGAGCATTCGAACTTATGTTTTTGGTACAGAGGGTAGCACCCCATAATTACCATTTTATAATTACCTTCCCACCCCTGCTAATTTCATTTGGTTTAAAGGTGCTTGCACACTTTCAAATTTTTATACAACTACACTTTGTTTGTTTGGACAGCTTGATTGGCTATGCTCATAGAGAATTTCTAAAAAAGCCAATCAAAACGCTGGACGTTTTTGAATATACTCAGAAACGTGGAGGTATACAAGCGCCTGAAGAATGTTTTAAGTCTATGGCGTAATGGAGCACGCCATAGACTTAAAACATTCTTATAGAAGGCACACCACTTTTCAAAAAGTTGTCCAAACCAGGAGAAAAGCATATATGTTCTTGGGTGTAATAAATAATATTTTTTTTTAAAATAATTCGCACGGAAATATTCTCCAAAATATCCAAAATTGATCAATTTTCCCATTGTCCTCACCCCGCCATCTGAACGAGCAATAATGGAGCGTTTACACCATCTGTAAAAATTGTCCAGAAAGGAAAATTTGCATTGGAGTAAGAGAGTCAGATACACAGTCTGTCTCTCTTACTCCAATGAAAAATTTTCCGTTCGGGAAATTTTTACCGAAGGTGTAAATGCTCCCTCACAGTAAACTTTTACCTAGTTCCGGCGTCCTCCACCAGAGTTATTATAATTCTCGTAGAAAGAAACCTAACCTCAATACAGTGTTGATTGTTGGTGTGTTGTGTGTTAAAAAATATAAAGTTTTGGAAGAAGTAAAAATTTCATCTCTTTTTTCAAATAGAAAAAACGAATTAATAAAATGAAAGCAATGGCACATCATTACGTGGTAACGGCTCATAAACCAACAGCTGTCAATGCTTGCGTTACAGGTAATTGTGATAATTATTTTAAGTCAATTTCTTTTCTCTATTGTCAATTATTTCCATTCAATTCTCACATACTTCTATAGGTTATGTTTCACTCGTAAACAAATTTGTTTTTCCAAGGACACATCATTTTGTTTCTCTATTTTTATTTAACTATCAATTTATTATTTTTCTTGAAAAAAAAAAATATGATTGAGAAATAAAATACTCGGGTTTTTTTTTATGATTGTACAATTTTCACTGGTGCACAATTTGAATTCAAGAACATTTTTTTTTTCATGGTTTCAGTTCAATGGACTTGTCGACTTTTACTTATTATTTTGTTTGTAAATGAATTCTAATTGTTAATCTAATTGTTGTTTTTTTTATTATTGAATAGGAAAATTGCTTTATTATTTCGATTTTTTCTCGCTCTTGGAAAATTGAAATTATTCAATAATATTTTCGAACTTATATTTTTCTTTATTTGGAATTATTTTGAAGTTCTAAACGTTCAGTTGGAGGAAATTTAATATTAAATTAAATATTTCTTACAATGATTTTGCGTTATTGTCAAAAACAATTTATTTTAAAGTTTTTAAGTGTAAAATTAAAATTTTTAATTTTTATTACAATCGGTAATTTATGAAAATATTTTTAGTAACAAATATTGTTTTTTTTTACAAAAAATAGAAAAAAAATATCATTTTTAAATAGAAAATTGGGATCTGAATTTGTTAATTATTTTCTATTTTATTTAAAACTTTACTAAAAAAATGTTTTAAAAGAAAATAAAGTGATAATAAAAATTTAATTTTATGTAAAATTTTGCATAAATAAATTTTTGAAAATTCTTTTATGTTAAAAAATAGAAAATTGTTTCTGAAATTAATTATTAACTTTATTTGTTAAGGTAATTTTACATCACCCACGGATTTGAATTTAATTCTGGCAAAAAATATGCGTCTCGAGATTTATCTCGTAACGCCCGAAGGATTGAGGCCATTAAAAGAAGTCGGAATATATGGGAAGATTGCAGTTGTCAAATTTTTCAGACCGCCGGTTTGTTGTTTTATTTAAAAATTTAAAAATTATTATTCATTTGAAAATTTTTAATTGAAAAATAATTCAAAATTTTATATCTATTTTTCATTTAAATATTTTGAAATTATTTTTCATTTGAAAATTTGAAATTATATTTCATTTAAAAAAGGACCCTGAAGTTAGCGTCGAAAAAGGGGTTTTTTTTTGTAAAAGTGAGAAAATAAAAAAAATGTTAAGGGTTTTAAAATGAAAAAAAAATTGCGCTAAAAACCCTACAAAAAAAATAGTTTTCGATGCTGAGTGTCGAGTAAATTTAACATTTAGGAGAAAAAAATCATGTTCAAAATTTTTAATTAAAATTCATCAAAAAATTAATTAGTTTTTTAAATTTATACAAAAATTCTTTTAGGGAATTCAATATTATTTTCGAAAAATTACATAAAAATATTTTTAAAAACTAATATTTATAATTAAAATTCTTCAAAAGTTTGATTTTTTTTATATATTTTTTTAAAACTCAATTAGTTTTAAAAGATTTTATCAAATTTAAATTATTTTTCAAAGATTTTACTAAATTTCAATTATTTTTTAAAAGATTTTTTGGGTAGAAAAAAGTCTGTCCTTCCCGTCCTTAAGGGGTTAAAATTTTAATCAAACGGAACCTTATGTCAGCAAGTCCAGGTCTCGGATATTATAACATTTTCGACTTTTTTCGACTATTTTCAAAAAATGCGACTTCTTTCGACTTATTTTCAAAAATTACGACTTTTTCGACTTTTTTTCCAAATATTGCAATAATTTTTAGTATAAAATGAAACTTATTTCGATTTTTATATATAGTGTGAAAAATAACTATAGACAAATCTTCAAAAAATATTGTTTAATAATTTCTCGAATTAAATTTTTGAAATTTACAATTGAAAATATTTTTAATAAATATTGCAATTTTGTCAAATTTAATTGAAAATAATTGATTTTTTTTAAAGTGTTTTATAAAAATTTTTGAAAATCAACTTTTTAAGAATTTTAATTGCAAATTTTGAAAATAATTGAAATTAAATTCCTCGGAAGAATTTAATTTAAAAAAAAAAATTAATATATTTCGAATAAATTCAATTATTTTCTAAAATTTTAATAAATCCTTCGATACAATTCAATTATTTTTATAAATGACAAAATTATTCGCAAGAATTCAATTATTTTTATAAATATAGTAAAATTCTTTGCAGGAATTCAATTATTTTCAAAATATTCTTTAATTGAATTTCTCGGAAGAATTCAAATATTTTCAAATATTTCCATAAAATTCAATTATTATTTCCTAAAATTTAAATAATTTCTTCGAAATAATTCATCTATTTTTATAAATATTAAATACTAAATAAATTTTCAAAATTTACAATAAAAAAAGAGTTTCAATAATTAAAGTTTTGTAAAATTAAATTGAAAATAATTGATTTTTTACAAAGTGTTTGATAAAAATTTTTAAAAATAAACTTTAAAAGAATTTTAATTGTAAATTTGGAAAATAATTGAAATTAAATTCCTCGGAAGAATTTAATTTAAAAAAAAAATTAATATATTTCGAATAAATTCAATTATTTTCTAAAATTTTAATAAATCCTTCGATAAAATTCAATTATTTTTATAAATGACAAAATTATTCGCAAGAATTCAATTATTTTTATAAATATAGTAAAATTCTTTGCAGGAATTCAATTATTTTCAAAATATCTTTAATTGAATTTCTCGGAAGAATTCAAATATTTCCATAAAATTCAATTATTATTTCCTAAAATTTAAATAATTTCTTCAAAATAATTCATCTATTTTTATAAATATTAAATACTAAATAAATTTTCAAAATTTACAATAAAAAAAGAGTTTCAATAATTGAAGTTTTGTAAAATTAAATTGAAAATAATTGATTTTTTTCCAAATGTTTGATAAAAATTTTTGAAAATAAACTTTTAAAGAATTTTAATTGCAAATTTTGAAAATAATTGATTTCTCAAAAATTTCAATGAAAAATCTTCAAGTGTAAATTTAAAAATTGAAAATTAGCTTCAAAAAAATTAAAATATTTTTGGAAAAAATAATTCTTAGAATTTTTTGTATTTTAATTTTTTAAAATTCAATTATTTTCAATATTTTTAAATACAAATTTCTAAAAATTCAAATACATACAAAAAATAATAACATTAAAATTTCTTACAATTAATTTTAACATTTTAACAACATATGACTTTTTTAGATTTATTAAAATTTTGGAGAAATCGCGTTTATATTAATAATTAAAATTCTTTAAAAATTCAATTATTTTTTTAATAGAATTTACCAAATTGCAATGGTTTGGAAATTTTTCAATTCTATATAATTGAAAAACTATTATCTTTCATAAATTATTTTAAAAATATTTTTGAAAAATTAATTTTAAGAATTTCTTTATTATAATTTTTTGAAAATTAATTATTAACTTAAAAAACATGGACAGTTCGAGTCATTATATAACTGAATTTTTGTATTTAAATAATGAATCTGTTTATATTGTGGCCTTAAGGTCACAACATAAAGAGATTTATTTGACAAAAATTAAGGTCCTAAAAACATTCCAAGTTGTATTTAAATAATTGAATTCTCTAAGAACTTTCGGAAAATTATTAAAAATAATTGATTTCAAGAAGAAGTTTGATTAAAAATTGCAGAAAATAATTGAATTTTATAAGAGAATTAAAGTTGTAATTTTTAGAAGTTATTAAATTTCAGAATGTTTTAAATAGAAATTTTAAAAATTTTATTCCTGTATAAAAACAAACAAGAAGTATTTTAATATTTATTTAACGAAATTATTCGAGTTTTAAATAATGAAATTTTGAAATCAGTGAAAGATCAGAAGAATAAAAAATAAAATTTTTCTGACGACACTGAATTAAATAAATGACTTTTTCGACATTTTTTCTATTTTAAATCGACTTTTTTTGCACCTTAAAGTCGATCCGAGGCCAGTATTTATAAATTTTTCTTAATAAAAAACTACTAAAATTTGTGCATATTTACAGGCCCTTGAAAAGTTAATGAGCCCTTTTTTTCAATGTAAAATTTTAAGTGTTAATCGAGAGGAGTCTAAAATAAAAAATAACGATTTTTAGCACGAGAAAAAGGATCTATTGTTCCTGCTGACGACGCGATACAACGCAATGATTTTAGAATGTATCGGAGAAGGTGAAGACATTGAAATAATCACAAAAGCTCACGGTAATGTCGCGGATAGAATTGGTAAAGCTTCAGAAACCGGTATTAAAGCAATAATCGATCCAAAAGCCCGGGTAATTGGTCTGAGACTCTACGATGGTCTTTTTAAAATCATACCATTAGATAAAGATAATCCGGAATTAAAAGCATCATCAATAAGAATGGACGAGCATCAAGTGCAGGATATAAATTTTCTTCATGGTTGTGCGAATCCAACGTTAATTTTGATTCATCAGGATATAAATGGTCGGCATGTGAAGACACACGAAATTTCATTGCGGGACAAGGAATTCGTGAAAATACCCTGGAGACAGGATAATGTTGAACGTGAGGCAATGATGGTAATTCCCGTTCCATCGCCAATTTGCGGGGCTATTATCATTGGACAGGAGAGTATTCTCTATCATGATGGTTCTACTTACGTGGCCGTTGTCCCTCCGATTATAAAGCAGAGCACAATTACCTGTTATGCGAAAATCGATCAACAGGGTTTGCGTTATCTTTTGGGCGATATGGCCGGACATTTGTTTATGTTGTTTCTTGAACAGGAGACAAAGTCCGATGGTACGATGATTGTGAAGGATTTGAAGGTGGAATTGTTGGGGGAGGTGAGCATACCGGAGTGTATTACGTACTTGGATAATGGAGTGATTTTTATTGGAAGTCGTCTGGGGGATTCGCAGCTTATTAAACTTATCACGAAGGCTGATGAGAATGGTTCGTATTGCGTACCGATGGAGTCATTCACGAATCTTGCGCCTATTGTCGATATGGCGGTGGTTGATTTGGAGCGACAGGGACAAGGACAGATGGTGACGTGCTCCGGGGCTTTTAAAGAAGGGTCTTTGCGAATTATCAGAAATGGGATTGGAATACAGGAACACGCGAGTATCGACCTCCCGGGAATTAAAGGAATGTGGGCGCTGAAGGTGAATGGGGGTAATTTCGACAACACGTTGGTTCTCTCCTTTGTGGGGCAAACGCGTATTTTGATGCTGAATGGCGAGGAGGTGGAGGAGACCGATATTCCCGGTTTTGTCGCCGATGAACAAACCTTCCACACCGGGAATATCACCAACGAGGTTATTATACAGATTACGCCGACTTTGGTGAGATTGATATCTAATGAGAATAAACCCGTCATCTCCGAATGGCAACCGAATAACAAGAGGACTATCAGTGTTGTCGCTTGTAACGGAAGTCAGGTACTTTGCGCCACTGGCAATGACCTCTTCTACCTCGAAATCATTTCGAGCGAAATTGTGCCGAAGGGCTTCGTGACCCTGCAACACGAAGTCGCGTGTTTGGATCTCTCCCCGCTGGACGGTAATTCAGAAGCTCAGATCGCCGCGATTGGTCTTTGGACCGACATTTCGGTGCGGATCCTAACACTCCCGAGTCTTGAGGAAATCAACAAGGAACTCTTGGGTGGGGAAATAATTCCCAGATCGATTCTCATGACCTGCTTCGAGGGCAGTACGTACCTCCTCTGTGCACTAGGGGACGGAAGTATGTACTACTTTTCCCTTCACAAGGAAAACGGCATCCTCACCGATCGCAAGAAAGTTACACTCGGCACTCAACCGACAGTTCTCCGAACTTTTAAAAGTCTCTCCACAACCAATGTCTTCGCCTGTTCGGATCGTCCCACAGTCATCTATTCATCGAATCACAAACTCGTGTTCAGCAATGTGAATCTCAAGGAAGTGAATCATATGTGCTCGTTAAATGCCGAATCATATCCGGACAGTTTGGCCCTGGCTACGGACAGTACCGTGACAATTGGAACAATTGATGAAATACAGAAGCTTCATATTCGAACTGTTCCATTGGGCGAGTCGCCGAGGAGAATTGCGTATCAGGAGAGTACGCAGACATTTGGTGTGGTGACAATGAGGGTGGATCTGCAGGAGAGCACGGGAATTAGTGTCGTGAGACCGTCAGCGTCGACACAGGCAACATCGACATCGAGCAGTAGTCATGTCGCGTCGCACAATAAACCCGGATACACTTCCAATGAAATCGGACAGGAGATTGAGGTTCATAATCTTCTTATTATTGATCAGCATACTTTTGAGGTACTTCATGCGCACACACTTATGCCCACGGAATATGCGATGTCACTTATTTCGACGAAACTCGGTGAGGATCCCACATCTTACTTCATTGTTGGAACTGCACTTGTTAATCCCGATGAGACGGAACCTAAAATGGGAAGGTAAGAGTCTTTGTTTCTAAATTTATTTTATTTATTACTATTTAAGTAATTTTTTTGTTTAACTCTTTGTGTCAGTGTTACTTTGGTATAACACCTAGAACTATACTTAAAATTTTACCTTCAATTTTTTCTGTTTCAGACAATAATTCATTTTAAATATTCTATTGAAAAACTGCCATAAAGTTATTACTAGATAATTTATAAATCATTTAATGAAGTATTTTTTTTTTTGAAAAAATGTTAATTTCAATTCTGTTGAAATTAGTTTCAATTTTCAAAATTTTAACGCAATTCTTTGAAAGAAAAAATTCAACTACCTATTTTAATTAACATCAAAATTCATTCCAGAAATTCAATTATTTTGAAAAATTTTTTTTAACATTCTCGTCAACATTTTTATTATCTTTATAAATAGCAAAATTCTTCGCCGATATTCAATTACATTGAAGAGTTAAACAAAAAATTCATCACAAAATTCAATTATTTTCGCAAAAAATAACAATATCCATCAAAAGAATTCAATTATTTTCAAAATATCTAAAAAAAAAAATTGTCAACATTTCAGTTATCTCTTTATAAATGAATAGTAAAATTCCTCGACAAAATTCAATTATTTTCAGGAATATTATTAAAATTCCTCGACAAAATTCAATTATTTTCAGGAATTTTAATAAAATTCTTCGACAAAATTCAATTATTTTCAGGAATTTTAACAAAATTCTTCGACAAAATTCAAATATTTTCAGGAATTTTAACAAAATTCTTCGACAAAATTCAAATATTTTCAGGAATTTTAATAAAATCCATTGCAAAATTCAATTATTTTCAGGAATTTTAATAAATTTCTTCGAAAAAATTCAATTATTTTCAGGAATTTTAATAAAATTCTTCGAAAAAATTCAATTATTTTCAGGAATTTTAATAAATTTCTTCGAAAAAATTCAATTATTTTCAGGAATTTTAATAAAATTCTTCGAAAAAATTCAATTATTTTCAGGAATTTTAATAAAATTCTTCGACAAAATTCAATTATTTTCAGGAATTTTAACAAAATTCTTCGACAAAATTCAATTATTTTCAGGAATTTTAATAAAATTCTTCAAAAAAAATTCAATTATTTTCAAAAATTTAATAAAATTCATTGCAAAATTTCAATTATTTTCAAAAAATTTGTCTTAATTCATTGATTTGTCTGTATCTATTATTTTAATAAAATTTCCCAAAAGAATTAAATTATTTAAAAACAATGTTGACAAAATTCTACACAAATATTCAATTATTTTCTAGAATGCTAATTTTTCTGCAATTCAATTATAAAAAATAGAATTTGCATGAATTTTTCGAAAAAAATTAATTGTCTAAAACTTTTTATAAAATTCTTCGCAATAATTCAATTATTTTCATAAATAATAAAACTCATTACAGAATTTCAATTATTTTTAATACAATTTTAATCGAATTCCACGAAAAAATGTAATTATTCTTAAAAATGTTATTAAAATTCATCAAAAGAATTCAATTCTATTTAAAAATTTGTTGATAAAATTCTTTATGAGAATTCATTTTAAGAAATATTCAGTTATTTAATAAACTATCTATGTTTGTATTTAAATAATTGAATTCTCGTAGAATTTTCTAATAAATATTGATTTAAAAATTAATTTTAGTTAAATTTTTAGATAACAATAATTGAATTTTGTAAAGGTTTCAAAATAAAATCTTTAAAAAGATTTTCAAATAAAAATAATTGAATTCTTGTGATGAATATTATTATTAATTAAAAGTATGAAAAATTCAGATGAATTTTTCATACTTTTAATGAAAATATCCATGGAACTAATTTTTTCAAAAAGCTTGATCGAAATTTTATAAAATAATTCAAAATTTCCAAAAATTTATATTAATTAAAGAAATTGGTTTTTAAAAATTTTAGAATATTGAAATTCTTGAAAATAATCGAGAAAAGTTCGCTACATTAATTTTGAAAGGAATTTTTTTCATTAAGTATAATTGCCATGTTTTATAGTAATTCAAAATTTCCTAAAATTCTACAGAAAATAATTAAATTTTTTTAAAAATTTTATTGAAATTTAAAAAAAAATCGATGGACGATCAACATAATTTCTATTAATATTTCATTTTCATTTTATTTAAAGACAAATTGAATTTTTAAAATTATTTAGAAAATAATTGCATTTTTAAAAAATATTCTATTAAAATTCATAAAAAAGATAAAAAAATTAAAAAATTAAAAATAATTAAAAATTTTTAAAATAATGGAAATCACTTAAAATTCTACAGAAAATGATTGAATTTTGAAGAGAATTTTTATTTTATTTATTTATTTAGTATATAAACGGGCTTTTATTACCCTTTCGTACAATGTACTGAACAATGTGAATCTCTTGTGGTTTTATTGAAATTCTTGAAAATAATAATCCAAGGTCGTTTAATAGATTAATTTACAAAAATATCTATAGTTATTTTTCGAGAATATATAAAAATTTTTAAAATAATTGAAATTTGCTCAAATTTTATTTTTTTTTTTTTTAATAATTGAAATTCTGAATTTTTTTTAAAGAATTTTATTGACACTTTTAAAAATAATCAAAGAAAATGCGCCGCAAATAATTAATTAATTATAATTTTATATATCTGACTTAAAGTTCATATCAAATAAACATTTTTTTAAAAAAATTAAAAAATGTAAATAATATTTAAAGAAATGAAGGTTTCTTCGACAACTCATGACACGAAGTGTTAAATATTGAAAATATTAAAAATATCTACAAATTAAACTATGAATTATTATTTATTTTTTTATAAATTTAATATTTATAATTTTTTTGATCGTAATTTAAAAAAATGATTTCCCAACAGGATTTTATTGTATCAATGGTGTGAGGGTAAATTGAATCAGGTCGCTGAGAAGGAAATCAAAGGCGCTTGCTATTCACTTGTTGAATTTAATGGCAAACTATTGGCGAGCATTAATAGTACCGTGAGATTATTCGAGTGGACAGCCGAGAAGGAATTGAGACTCGAATGCAGTCATTTCAATAATATTATCGCACTATTTTTAAAAACAAAAAGCGATTTTGTCCTCGTTGGCGATCTCATGAGATCTCTCACACTCCTTCAATATAAAACAATGGAGGGTAGCTTCGAAGAAATTGCTCGTGACTACAATCCAAATTGGATGACTGCCGTTGAAATTCTCGACGATGATACTTTCCTTGGAGCTGAAAATTGTTTCAATCTATTTGTCTGCCAAAAGGACAGGTGTGTATCATTTTCTTCATATTTTATAATAATTAAAGTCGACCTAGTGATAAAATCATTTGCAATTTAATTTTATTACTTACAAGAATCTTTAACTGAAATTCTTCTTTAAATCGATTATCTATATTAATTTTTAATAATTTTCGAAAAAGTTCTTTGACAATTTACAAATTCATTTCTTTACAATATTCGATTTTACGAAATTTCAATTATTCGTAAATTCTTCAATTAAATAAATATTAGAAAATAAAAACTTAATAATATTTAAAAAATTCAATTAAACTTTTTCAAAAAAATTAATTTCAAAATTAAATTATTTTTAAAAATTCACGCTATATTGTTTTTAATATTTAATTATTATCTAAAATTTGAACTGAAACCCATTTTGAAATCAATTTTTATTAGAAACTTCTACTAGAATTCAATTATGAAAATAATAAATAAATAATTTATTGAATAATTGAATGTTTCTTAAAATCCAATTCACATAAAGAATCGTTATCAACAAATTTTCAAATAATTGAATTCTATCAACGAATTTTTAACTCGGAGTTATCGCTATCTTCATGTTTTATAATAATTTAAATTTCTAAAAAAATTTAAAAAATAAAATAAAATTATTTACATAAATTTTAATAAAATCCTTCGCAAGAATTCAATTATTTTTATAAGTAATACAATTTTTTACATCAATTCAATTATTTTTAAAAAAAATGTAATAATAAATAAATAAGAATGTAATATAACATTTTTTGCAAGAATTCAATTACATTTCACAAATAATGGAATTTTTCGCTGAAATTCAAATGTTTTCAAAATTTACTATTTTAATAAATTTTCTCGAAAGAATTCAATTATTTAAAAAAATATTTATAAAATTCGTTGTTAGAATTCAATTATTTTCATAAATAATAAAATTCTTCACCGGATTTCAATTATTTAAAAGAAATGTAATCAAATTTGTTGCAAGAATTTAATTGTTTTCCTAAATAATAAAATTCTTTACAGGATTTCAATTATTTAAAAAATAATTATCAAATTCGTTGCAAGAATTTAATTGTTTTCCTAAATAATAAAATTCCTCACAGAATTTCAATTCTTTATAAAAAATTTAATAAAAGTTCGTTGCAAGAATTCAATTATTTTCCTAAATAATAAAATTCTTCTCAGTGTTTAAATTATTTTTAATAAAATTTTATGTAAATTCTTCGAAAAATGTAATTAATTTCAAAAATGTTATTAAAAAGTTCTTCGAAAGAAATAAATGAAAATTATTTTTAATTTTTTAATTGAAATTTGATCTGCAATTTATTTTTAAAACAATTTTTATTAGAAAATTCTACGAGAATTCAATTATTTAAATAAAAAAATGAAAAAATTATGGAATAAACGAATTGTTTTTCAAAAATTAATTCTCATAATAAGTATTTTATCAACAAATTTTTGAATAATTGAATTTTTTCGACGAATTTTAATGAAATGTTTTGAAGAATATAATTACATTTTTTAAGGAATTCAATTAAAATTGTATTTAAAATAATTGAAATTCTGCGATGAGTTCTATTATTTATGAAAATAATTGAATTTCTAAAAAGAATTTCTCGATTATTTTCAAGAATTTCAATAATATTCTAAAAAATTTTGAAATCCATTTTCCTTTTAATAGAAAATTTAGAAGATTTGTATTATTTTTAAAAAATTTCGATCAAACTTTTTGAAAAAAATTAGTTCCATGGGAATTTTAATTGAAAGTGTGAAAAATTCAGATTTTCAAAGATTTAAAATTGAAACCATTACAAAATTCAATTATTTCTAAAAATTGCAATTATTAGTAACTTCTTCAAAATTTAATTATTATTTAAAACTTTAACTTTGCATTTAAATATACAAAAATAAATAATTTATTGAATAATTGAATGTTTCTTAAAATTGAATTCTCATAAAGAATTTTTATCAACAAATTTTTAAATAATTGAATTGTTTTGACGAATTAGGAATTATAATAAAATTTATAAGAATTTTTTCAAGAAATTCGATTAAAATTGTATTAAAAATAATTGAAATTCTGCAATGAGTTTTATTATATTTATGAAAATAATTGAATTTCTAAAAAGAATTTTATTATTTACAAAAATAATTTAATCCCCTTAAAAATTTAATTATTTATGAAAATAATTGAATGATTAGGAAGAAATTCATAAAAAAATTTTCTAAATAATGAAATTCCTGTGAAATTTTTATTATTTTTTGAAAATAATTAAAAGTTTGTGTATAGAATTAAAAATTTTTTTTTAAAATAATTGAATTCGTTTAGAAAATTTTATGAAAATAGTAGATATTGAATATTATTGAATTGAGGAAAATTTTTTCAAAATAATTGAATTTCGGAGAAGAATTTAATTATTTATCAAAATAATTGAAATTTTGACAAGAATTTAAAAAAATTTTTGAACATAATTTAATTTTTGTGAAGAATTTTATTACTTTTGAAAATAATTGAATTTCTGCAATCATTTGTATAATTTCTCTAAAATTCTCCAAATTATATCGTACAATTTATGAACTTTTTGTCTTTTCTCAATCAAATTACGAACTTCACGGAAATATTTTCAAAAAACGGACTTTTACGGGATTTACGGATCTAAATTAGAGCCTTGTTCATTTTTAATCTACGAGAATTCAATTTATTTAAATACAAAATTAATTAATTTATTGAATAATTAAATGTTTCTTAAAATTGTATTCTCACAAAAAATTTTATCAACAAATTTTAAAGAAGAATTCAATTGAATTCTTCCGTCGAATTTTAATAAAATTTTTAAGAATAATAACATTTTTTGAGGAATTTGATTAAAATTATATTAAAAATAATGTAAATTCTGCGATTAATTTTATCATTTATGAAAATAATTGAATATTTATTTTAAAATAGACAAACAATCGGTTACTTCAATGAAATAAATTTTTCTTTCAGTGTATTGTTTACTTCTTAATTTAAAGAAGAAATAACTTGTAATTCTCTTGTCTTTAATGCAAATTTTTTTATTTTAGTGCCGCCACGTCCGAGGAGGAGAGACAGCAAATGCAAGAAGTTGGACAATTTCATCTTGGAGATATGGTGAATGTTTTTCGACATGGTTCCCTCGTTATGCAACATTTAGGTGAATCGAGTACACCAACGCAGGGTTGCGTTCTCTTTGGAACAATAAGCGGTGCCATTGGCCTCGTCACTCAAATTCCCGCTGGTTTCTATGAATTTCTACGCAATATGGAGGATCGTTTGACGTCTGTCATTAAAAGCGTCGGTAAAATTGAGCACAGCTTCTGGCGTAGCTTCAATACCGATTTAAAAATTGAGCAATGCGAAGGATTTATAGACGGTGATTTAGTGGAAAGCTTCCTTGATCTCAATCACGATAAAATGTCCGAAGTCGCTCTTGGATTAATGGTAATAAAACTATGAAAATTACAAATTTAAACTTAAAATTAAGACTTAATATTAAAACAAAAAATTAAAACCTGGAAAAGTCAGGGAATTTTCACTGAAATCCTGGAAAATTGTTATTTTCTAAAGTTTATTCTTGAAATCTAATTTTACATAAATTTTTTTTAAATTTAATTAGATTAATTTTAAAATTAAATTTTTGTTGCAACCCTGTTAATTAATTAAATTAACTGAAAAGAATATTACAAACTTGATTTAAAAATTAATTCGATATAAATTTTCAAAAAAGAAAAAAATCTCTAAAATTGTAATTTTCTTTTTGCAGATTGACGACGGCAGTGGAATGAAAAAAGAAGCGACAGTTGATGACTTGGTTAAAATTGTGGAAGACCTGACAAGGATACACTAAATAAGCGAATAATAAAAAGTGTTTCGTGATTTGGACATTTTTTTTTTATTTCAGTGCAAAACAGATGCAATTTTGATAATGCATCATTCTAAGCTCTTTCAGAATTTAGAACTCATTTGTAAAAAAAAAAAAAGAAAAAACGCGGTATTACAAATAAAATTTCATCGCGAGTTCCAGTTTCATGAAAGTAGTGATCGATTATTAATAATATAAAAAATTATTATTATTATTAAGCGAAAATAATTAGCGTAGAAAGTGAAAAGAAAAATATTTCTGTATTTAATACACCCACGTAAACGGTGTTTATTTCGTTTTATTTTTTTTTTGTTTATATAGTATTCTTTTTCTTAGACAGAGAGAGAGAGAGACAGAGAGAAAGAGAGAAGAAGAATGTTTGTGTGTGAGAGAGAGATATATGTACAGGTTTGTAAATTATACATTTTTAAAAAGAAAATCATAAAATTTCATTTCCTTTTTATTAAAAAAAAAATGTTAATTACAGGCTTCACAGTCTGTCCCCTATTTCCCTAAAAATCCCCTTTTTTTAATTTTGGCCCCTAAATGCATCCTATTTTCAAAATTTCCCCTATTTTTTTCGTCGCAGGAAATCAATTATTCTCAATAATTTTTAAGTAATTCTGCAAAAGAATTCAATTATCTTGATAACCAACAAAATTCTCCCCATAAAATAAATTATTTTAAGGAATTTTAATGAAATTCTTTTCCAAAATTCAATTATTTTCATAAATATCAAAATTCTTCTCAAGAATTCAATTATTGTCAAAAATTTTAATTAAATTCTTGGCGAAATTTCAATTATTTAAAAAAAAATTTAATAAAATACTTTGCACTAATTCAATTATATTTATAAATTTTAATGAATATCTTGTCAAGAATTCAATTATTTTTATAAATAGCAAAATTTTTCGCCAAAAATTCAATTATTTTCAAAAATGTTAATAAAAGTCTTTGCAACATTTCAATTATTGTTAAAAGTTTTTCGCAATTCAATGTTTTTAAATATTTAGTATTTTTATAAAATTTATTAACAGATTTAATTAGAGAAAAAACTTGTTGACACAATTCTACGAAAAGATTGAATTATTTTCATAAATAATAAAATTTAATTTACAAATTCAATTATTTTCGTCGAAGAATTTCAAATATTTTTAATACAATTTTAAATAAATTTCTTGAAAAATGCAATTATTATTAAAAAATTTATTAAAAATTGAGAAAAGAATTCAATTTTAAGAAACATTCAATTATTCAGTAAAACAATAAAATTTGTTGTAATAATTTAAATATTTTCATAAATAACATTTAATTCGTCGCAGAAAATTAATTATTTTCAAAAACTTTTAAGTAATTTTGCAAAAGAATTCAATTAACTTGATAAATAACAAAATCGCATAAATTCTTAAATAAATCGCATAAAATCAATTATTCTAAGGAATTTTAAAAAAAATTCTTTTCCAAAATTCAATTATTTTGATAAATATCAAAATTCATCACAAGAATTCAATTCTTTTGAAAAGTAATGAAATACTTTGCAACAATTAAATTATTTTCAAAATTTTTTAAAAATTCTCGTCAAGAATTAAATCATCTTTATAAATAGATAGAGAAATTCTTCTCAAGAATTAAATTATTGTCAAAAAATTTTTTTTTAAATTCTTCTCAAGAAGTCAATTATTCTCCAAAATTTTAATAAAATTCTTCTCATGAATTCAATTGTTTTCAAAAATTATTATTTAAATTCTTCTCAGGAATTCAATTATTTTTAAAAAATTGAATAAAATTATTCAAAAAGTTTTCAACTATTTTCAAAAATTGTTATAAAATTCTTCAAACAGTTTTCAATTATTTTCAAAAATTTTTATAAAATTCTTTAATATAATAATTTTTATTAAAATTTTAATTAAATTCCTTAAAAGAAATTAAATATTTTCAAAAGTTGTTAATATAATTCTTCGCGTAAAAATTAAATTTGAAGAAACATTCAATATTATTTATTTTTGTATTTAAAATTATCTTTATTTAACGAATTTTTATGGTCCCCTAAAAGTCCCCGATTTTTTAATTTTCAGTTCCCTATTTCCCCTAAAATACTTTTTAGGGGCACTGTGAAGCCTGTTTAAAAAAAAATTTTTTATTTTTTTTAAGTTTTAAATTTTGACTATTTCTTGGGATTTGTTTTTTGTGAGATTTTTCGATTTTTGGAAAATCCATTTTCGAAGTTCTTCAATTCCTTGGCCGGTGACACTGCTTGTTTCGATGATGGTGATATTTTGTGGGGTTTCACGTTGAAGGCGCGTCATGTGAAGAACAAGGAGGGCTTCGTTGCGCATTTGCCGATAGGAAAGATCCATTTTTGATAAAACTAATGCAAATGATGCTTTTGATAGTTTTGGATTTACTAATAATGAATAGAGTAAAATTCCAACTGCGCTTATTTGACAGAGATTACTTGCGTCCATTACGTAAATGATTTTATGCACCTGAAACAAATTAAAAATTTTAATTTTAATTTTTGATTTTAAATAAATAAAGAAATATTATTCTTCATAGAATTCAATATTTAAGTGAACTTTAGTTATTAAATTTTTACTTTGAACAGCAGATATTGAAAGAAGCTAATATATTTTTTTTTAAGACAGTCTTTAACAAAATTTGTTTAGTTTTTATTTATATTATTTGTTAGCTAATTTATTTATTACAATAATAGAAATAAAATACCCCTTCCAAATAATATTTCCATAAGGGAGCCATGTGACCGCCAATTTCTCTGATAATTATTCCAGATTGTTGTTGTCCTGGTTCTTTTTTGACGAGAAATAAATTCATTCCATTCGTGGCAATTGTTTGTGTTGCGTCATCGACAATATCGCCTTGAAGTCGTTTCATTAATAATGTTTTTCCAGACTTTACTGGACCCAAACATAAACACATTTTTTTTAAATACTTCCGTTTTTTTTCTCTCGCAACGCAATGAGAGAAAGCTACTTGTATACACAGAATACGAGTAAACAACTTTTCGTAGATGCTTAGCAACCGAATATTTTTATAAATAGAACTATTTGGGTAATTTTTTTTAGATTTCAACTACTAAAAGCTACTAATTCTGTTCTTTTTTTTTTAGAATTTCCACTACTTTCAATTCGCTAACACTAGAAATAAAAAAAACTATTCTCAAAAATTATAATCAAATTCGTTTATTATTTTCAAAAAATATTCATAATTCATTTTCAATATTCTAGTATTTTCATCAAATTTCACAAAAGAATTCAATTATTTAAAAAAAAATTGATAAAATTCATCCAAAATTCAATTATTTTTTCATAAATAATAAAAAAAAATTCTTTGCAAAATTCAATTATTTTCATAAATAACAATATTCATCACAAGAATTAAATTATTTTTGAGAGTAATAAATTTTGTTCTTGGAAATTCATTTATTTTAAAAAGTTCTAATAAAATCGTTCGTTGGAATTCAATTGTTGTTAAAAATTTTAATTGAATTCTTTATAAAATTTAATTATTTTTAAAAACTATTCGCAATTCAATGATTTTCAATATATCTTCTATTTTCATAAAATTTTTCGAACAGACTTCAATTATTTAAAATTTTTTTGTAAAAATCTTCGTAAAAATTCCATTTTAATTTTTTAAAAAAATTGTTGATAAAATTCTAAGCAAGAATTCAATTATTTTCATAAATAATAAAACTCATCAAAGAATTTCTATTAGTTTTAATACTATTTTAAATTAATTAATCAAAAAATTCAATTATTTTCAAAAGTAACAAAATTTTTCACAGGAATTTAATTATTTTTAAACATTTTAATAAAATGTTTCCCATTAATTCAATAATTTTCATAAATATAATAAAATTCATCTCAGGAATTCAATTATTTTTGAAAAATTTAATAAAATTCTTTGTAACTATTCAATTATTTTCATAATTAATAACATTCATCGCAAGATTTCAATTATTATTTTTAATACAATTTTACTAGATACAATACAATTTTTATACAATTTATACAATTATATACAATTTTTAATACAATTTTGATCAAAAAATGTAGTTATTCTTAAAAACTTAATTTCAATTCTTCCAAAAAATTCTATTATTTTAAAAAATATGTTTTTTTTTAATTCTTTGGAAGAATTCATTTACAAAAATATTAGATTTTTTCACATGAAGATATCGAGCACTCCGAGTCTTCGACTCGGAGTGATCGCTATCTTTATGTTTTACAATAATTTAAATTTCTATAAAATTTTTCAAAAAAAAAAAAAATAAATAAAATTATTTACAAAAATTTTAATGTAAAATCCTTCGCAAGAATTCAATTATTTTTATAAGTAATACAATTTTTCACATAAATTCAATTATTTTTAAAAAAAATGTAATAATAAATAAATAAGAATGTAATAAAACATTTTTTGCAAGAATTAAATTACATTTCACAAATAATGGAATTTTTTGCTGAAATTCAAATGTTTTCAAAATTTACTATTTTAATAAAATTTCTCAAAAGAATTCAATTATTTAAAAAAAAATTTAATAAAATTCGTTGCAAGAATTTAATTATTTTCCTAAATAATAAAATTCTTCACAGGATTTCAATTATTTAAAAAAAAAATATAATAAAATTCTTTGTGCAAGAATTCAATTGTTTTCCTAAATAATAATATTCCTCACAGAATTTAAATGATTTTTAATAAATGTAATAAAAGCATGTTGCAAGAATTCAATTATTTTCCTAAATAATAAAATTCTTCTCAGGATTTAAATTATTTTTAATACAATTTTAGGTAAATTCTCCGAAAAATGTAATTAATTTCAAAAATTTTATTATTGTTTTTTATTATTGTATTTTTTATTCTTTTTATTGGAGTAATCTCCAATAGTTGTAGAGAGGAAGACGTTCAAAGTGAAATTGCAAAATGAGTGATCACGAATCCTACAATTCATCTGCAGATGAAAAAACTCGAGAAATAAGAAGGTTGAAAAAAGAATTAAAAATTCTAAAACAGCAGAATGCTGCAATGAAGAGTGAAGATACTTCGAACGATGAAGATGACGCCGACAAAAGCAGAAAAATCAAAAAGAAGACGTCTCCAATAAAAATAAGTATAATATAATAAATTTTAGGTAAATTCTCCGAAAAATGTAATTAATTTCAAAAATTTTATTATTGTTTTTTATTATTGTATTTTTTATTCTTTTTATTGGAGTAATCTCCAATAGTTGTAGAGAGGAAGACGTTCAAAGTGAAATTGCAAAATGAGTGATCACGAATCCTACAATTCATCTGCAGATGAAAAAACTCGAGAAATAAGAAGGTTGAAAAAAGAATTAAAAATTCTAAAACAGCAGAATGCTGCAATGAAGAGTGAAGATACTTCGAACGATGAAGATGACGCCGACAAAAGCAGAAAAATCAAAAAGAAGACGTCTCCAATAAAAATAAGTATAATATAATAAATTTTAGGTAAATTCTCCGAAAAATGTAATTAATTTCAAAAATTTTATTATTGTTTTTTATTATTGTATTTTTTATTCTTTTTATTGGAGTAATCTCCAATAGTTGTAGAGAGGAAGACGTTCAAAGTGAAATTGCAAAATGAGTGATCACGAATCCTACAATTCATCTGCAGATGAAAAAACTCGAGAAATAAGAAGGTTGAAAAAAGAATTAAAAATTCTAAAACAGCAGAGTGCTGCAATGAAGAGGGAAGATACTTCGAACGATGAAGATGACGCCGACAAAAGCAGAAAAATCAAAAAGAAGACGTCTCCAATAACAAAAAAAAAATGGGAATTAATTGAAAAATTAAAAAAATACCGAGCGGAAAAGAAAGACGTCTTCAACGAAGTAAAAATTATCAGCGCGAAAATCACTAAATTAAGAAAAGAAGTAGATACCCTCTACATAGAAAAACATAATCTTTGGGAAAGGGGGACTTACTTGAAAAAAAAATTTTTTAATATGGAAAATGAACTGGATTGAATTAAAAATTTTGTTAATAAAATTTTTTGTGTATTATTGTAAAACAGAAAAAAAAATATGTTTTTCTATAAAGAAAATTTAAAATGGTAGAAATATTTTGCTTATATTATTAAAAATGGCTTTAAAAGTCAAATTAATATTATTTAATAAAATATTCTTTTTATTGTTCTTCGAAAGAAATAAATGAATAATTATCAATTATTTAAAATTTTTATCTGAAATTTATTTTTAAAACAATTTTTATTGAAAAATTCTTCAAGAATTCAATTATTTCAATAAAAAATGAAAAAATTATTAAATAAATGAATGTTTCTCAAAAATCAATTCTCATAATTAAGTATTTTATCATAACAAATTTTTAAATAATTGAATTTTTTCGACAAATTTTAATAAAATTTTCAAGTATTACATTTTTCCAGGAATTCGGTTAAAATTGTATTAAAAATAATTGAAATTCTATGATGAGTAAACTGCACTTTTGCGAATAGTCATTTTTGCGAAAAGCCAATTTTGCGAAATGTCACTTTTGCGAATTGTCATTTTTGCGAAAATTCCTATAGTAAACTTGTATGCATATATAGATTCACTATAGGAATTTTCGCAAAAATGACAATTCGCAAAAATGACTTTTCGGAAATTTGACAATTCATAAAAATGGCGATTCGCAAAAATGACAATTCGTAAAATTGACTTTTCGCAAAAATGACTAATCGTAAAAATGACATTTCACAAAAATGATATTTCACAAAAATGTCTTTTCGTAAAAATGACAATATGCAAAAATGACTTTTCGGAAAATTGACAATTCGTAAAAATGGCGATTCGCAAAAGTGACTTTTCGGAAAATTGACAATTCGTAAAAATGGCGATTCGCAAAAGTGACAATTCGCAAAATTGACTTTTCGCAAAAATGACTAATCGTAAAAATGACATTTCACAAAAATGGCTTTTCGCAAAAATGACATTTCACAAAAATGTCTTTTCGTAAAAATGACAATATGCAAAAATGACTTTTCGGAAAATTGACAATTCGTAAAAATGTCGATTCGCAAAAATGACTTTTCGGAAAATTGACAATTCGTAAGAATGGCGATTCGCAAAAATGACAATTCGTAAAAATAACTTTTTGCAAAAATGACTATTCGCAAAAATGACATTTGTTTGTTCCACTGTAAGCAAAAAAAATATATAAAAACTACTATGTACAAAAATAGATTTTACTATAACTATAATATAATAAAAACACTAGATTCTCATTGAGGCAAATATTAAAAATCGTAAGACGTAGATCGTAAACTTTACATGAAATAGAAGAGGACGAATAATGTTTCTATTCTTTTCTCTCTCAGGCAAAAATAAAAATTTACATTTTACGATTTTTAATGTGCGTTCTATTGTAAGTCCTAAAGCGGTAAGAAGCGATTGTCAAGAACTAAATTTAATTTTTTTTCCTAAAAGATATACTGTCAATAGTTGAAAGTAACAATTCGAATTTATCAGTTCTTCATCATTCAAGTAACCGCAAATTTTTTCAAAAATCAACAATGGAAATTTGACATTTTTAAAATTTTCATAAATTTTTTCCATTTTTCTAAATCTCCATAAAGATCTCTCAAAATTTCTCTTCAAATGTTGCTCATAAATGGGAAATTCTTTCTCATAATTTCTCAATCGAAATTCTTGTCTAATATCCACATTTCTAGCAAAAGCGGTCAATTTTCCAAGATCATTGGTGAGAAAATCATAATAAGAAATTCTTCCATTTTTAATAATCTTCCGTTTCCTTAAATTCACTATTTCTTCCTTACAATTCTTGTGAAATCTCCAAATTTTCTTATCACTTAAACATTCAATATTTTCCGAACTAACAAATTCTTTATTCTCCATCATTCTAACAATTATTGCCACTAAAATTTGAATTATCGGCGTTTTATCATATCTCTCTAAAAGATCATCTTTTAGTACAAATTTTAATAGACAATAATTATCATTACTCAGTTGATTGATATTCACACCACGTTCCAATGCGAGTAAAAATATTTTACAATTATCATCGCCGGCAAAACGACATAAATCATATAATTCATTTTCGTTGGGGAAAAATTTTACATAGAAATCAGTACCTAATTTTTTCATTGTCTGAATGATTTTGTGATATTTTCGAGTTCCAAAATCACGTAGAGGAATTACGTGATGACGTTGAAAATTCTCATCAGTTATGGAATGAAATCGAGCGCCATTTTTTACTAAAATCGGTAACATTTTTGTGCTGTACAATGTTGCTAAATATAATGGTTTATCATAAAAATTTGAACCGTAATTCAAATTGACGCCATGTTCTATTGCTAGTTTTAACATTGTTTTGTTGCCCCAAGTGATTATTAAATTCAGCATTGTGTCATCAAAGTATGGATGCTTATCGTAAAGGTGATCGACTGGGGAAACGCTTAAAACCATTTGAAATGCCTCCTTACCGATTGTATAGGCAAAAAATAATAATGAAGAAAATCCTAAACCTGTGTTTCGATCAAAAATATAATAATCGTCGAATTTGTTTAGGAGAAATTTTATCAAATCCATGGGATCGTTCAGAGGGACATTATAAATTTGATATGTGAGAAATAATGCAATTTCAATTCTACCTCTGTCTAAGGCGCATTGTAGTGGGGTTTCTCCAAAATCGTCTTTTTTTTTAATGTCCGCTCCTAGTTTTAAGAGAAATTCAACAATTGCTTTACGATTATATCCAATAGCTGAAGTAAGAAGAGTTCTACTTTCTTCTTTAACAATGTCATTTACATTTAAATTTGTTACTGAAAAACAAAATTCTAGAGTTGGTATCGAATCACGAATTATTGCATCAAGAACAATTGATGGATGAATTTTAGTTTCATAATCTTTCAGTTCTTTGTGTAGATTTCCCAAATCTTGTGATGATGAATTTTTGTTAAAAAATTGTTCGACAATTTGAAAAATTTCTGTAGAACATTCTTCGGCGAGAGATAAAATTTGTTTCCTTCTTCTTTCAGTCACCTTTAAAAAAAACGAGAGTTGAAAAAAAATATTATTTATAAGTGAAAAAATAAGATAATTAACTATAATTAACTATAATAATAAATCAATTTATTATTTTTTTTTTTGGATTATTTTTTTACAATTGAATCATTTTTCTAAATAGTAAAATCTTTACAAAATTTCAATGATTTTCAAAACAATTTTAATTAAATCCCTCCGAAGAATTCAATTTAAAAAGAAAAAAATTTAACACATTTCGAAAAAAATAAATTTTTTTCTAAAATTTTAATAAATTCTTCGAAAAAATTCAATAATTTTTATAAATAGTATAAATCTTTGCGCAGGAATTCAATTATTTTTTAAACAACTTTAATTGAATTTCTCGGAAGAATTCAAATATTTACAAATATTTCCATAAAATTCAATTATTTCCTAAAATTTTATAATTTTTTTGAAACAATTCAACTATTTTTATAAATACTAAAATTCTTCGCAGGAATGAAATAATTTTTAATCCAATTTAAATAAAATTACACGAAAGAATTTAATTATTTTCGAAAATTTCCATAAAATTCAATTTCAACAAGAATTTAAAATTCTCCAAAAATAATTCAATTATTCTTAAAGTATTTAAATTCCATATAAAAATTAAATTACTTTCCATGCAATTTTTAAATATTCGACAAAAAAATTGAAAGAATACAATTATTTTCAAAAAATAATAAAATTCTTTAATGAAATAATTGAATTATTTTCGAATTTAAATTTTCAAATATTAACATAAAATTCATTTATTTTCTAAAATTTTAATAAATTATTCCGAACAATTCAATTATTTTTATAAATATTGTAAAATTCTTCGCAAGAATTCAATTATTTTCAATACAATTTTAATAAAATTCTTCTTCATAAAATTAAATTGCTTTCAAAATTTACAATTAAAATTATTTGTTTTGTTATTTATGAAAATAATTGAATTCTTTGCAACGAATTTTATTAAAAATATTTTTAAAGAATTGAATTCCTGTGAAGATTTTTATTTTTGAAACTAATTGAATTCCGGAGAAAAATATTATTATTTATGAAAATAATTAATTTCTCGTAAAGAATTTTATTCAAATTTTTTTAAATAATTGAATTTCTCAGAATTTTTAAAAAAAATTTTAAAAATAATTATATTCAATTTCGAGAAATTTCATTAAAAAATTGAAAATAATATTGTAATCTGACGATGAATTTTATTAAATTTTTTTTAAATAATTGAATTTCTATGAAGAATTTTATTTTTTGAAAATAATTCAATTCTTGGGAAAATTTTTATGAAAATTTCTTAAATAATTGAATTGCCTCGAAGAATTTTATTTTACAAATATATTTAACAATAATTGTATTCTTACGAAGAATGTTATATTTTACGAAAATAATTGTATTCTATGATCAATTTTATGATAATTTTTCAAATTTATAAAACATTTTATCCAAATTTCTAAAAATAATTGAATTCTTGAGAAAAATTTTATTATTTATGAAAATAATTGATTTCTTGGGAAGAATTTTATTTAAATTTTTTTAAATAATTGAATTCCCACAAAAAAAATGTATTATTTGTGAGAATAATTGAATTTTTAAAAAGAATTGTATTGGAAATAATTGAATTGTATAAGAAAATTTTATTAAAATTGCAATTTTATTAACTAAATTTTGTAAAGAATTTTGTCAATATTTTTTTAAATAATAGAATTTTTAAACATTTTTGTTGATAATTGAATTGATACGAAGAAGTTTATCACTTTTGGAAATAATTGAATTTCTGTAATCAGTTGTTCAAATTTCTATTTAAATTCATGAAAAACTGATATTTTCTAAAATTTCAAATTAAAACTTTAGAAGTTCATCTATTTATGAAGATTCTTATAAAATTTAAAAATTTCATTTTTTCCAGTACTTTTAATAAAAATCCCTGACCAATTTTAATTTCCCTGACTTTTCCCCCTTTTGCCTGAATTCCCTGATCTGTGTCAACGCTGAGGTACTTATTTAACATAATTAATCAAATTATTTAATATTTTTAATTCGTCATATTTAATAACAAATAAATAGTAATATTTGAAATTTTTTAAATTTGTTTCAATCGTTTAAAAAATGCTAGAAAATTATTTTTGAAGGAAAATCTTTTTGAAATTTGACAAATGATTTTTCATTTGTCACAACAAAAGCAATACCTACACTCTTCTTGAAAATTGGCAGGTGCAGTTTTCTCTCCTAAATTGATTTGTTTTTTCATATTTTTAAATAACATTCGTTATTGTAAACTTTGATGTAACAAATTTCAAATTTTTCTAAGCACTATCTGGCACTATCATAAATATTGGAGGTTATAATTTGACATTTGACAACTATATGCGACGTTGACGATACTGACACATTTGCAATTAAATGGTTATTTAAAATTATTTATTTCTGGTAAATTTTATGCTCCAAACTCATTTTTTTAATGTTAAATGCAATTAAAGAATGTAAAACAAAAATTGTATAATTCAATTCATTAACATTTATAGAAAATAAATTTTTTTTACAATTTTAAAGAAAAAGTTTCCAAACTTACCATTATTTTGGGAAAAAAATTTTATGTCCTTTTCTGAGTGTCAACTTATTTTATTGTGACAAAAGAAAAAAAAATACATTTTCACAACTAAAGAGTATTTTTTAAATTATTTTTTAATAGACATGCAATAATTAAATTTAATGTAAAAATAATGAGAATTTAAATAAATATGATGCCATTTTTTCCGGGAAAAAAGAAACTTTTTCTACGAAAGGTGTTTCTCTAAAAAGAAAACAAAGAAAAAGAAAGAAACAAACAAAAAAATTACACCCGACGAGTGAACTGAATTTAATCGCATATTCTAAAGCTCTATTCATACTTCCATTTATTTTTACTATCGATTCGGATTGAATGGCCGAATTCAGAAAGTTAGAATTGTAAAACTAGAAAATAAAAGAATGGCTTTGACGAATTACTCCAAAATGTTACCGCGAATTGGTAAGTTGCTAATAATAAACAATATAAATTTATTACTTTATTTGTAATTTCGTTCTTCTTTGTAATTTGATTGAATTTTTACGAGATATAGAAATAATCGTCTTTTGTCGACATAACCTAGGAAATAAAAATTTTATTCAAAATATCACTATTAAAGACAAAAATAATTAAGAAAGTGGCAGTTAATTAATTAATTTTGTGAATTAAATTTTTTTACTCATACATTGTTACTGTAATGTTTTCAAATTAATGTTTTTATAGTCAAATTCTAATGTGACATAATAATTGCACAGTGTTTTGAAATAAAAATTTTGTGTATATATAATATGAACACAACTTTATTTATGAATCGCAAATACCTAAATAATGTATTACGATAAAAATTACGATAAATATACTTTGCCAAGAAATCTGCTCGCTTTTTACTACGATTCTTTTTATTTCGTTCTGACAAGAGTCTTAAAAGTAATAAACATTTATGAAAATCTATATAGTCCACAATAAAGAAACACTTTTAACCATTTTTCGAAATTTAAAATTTTTATACCTTTTTTTTACAATAACAATTTTTTGCATCGTTTTAAAAAAATTAATAATTATGGGTTAATGATGGGGTAAAATTAAAAATTAAGAAAATAATTTTCTTTTTTTTTTCTTTCAGCCGGACTGAATTTATCGCGGACAATTCAGGTTCCACTTTATGGAGCGATTCGCAGTAAATATTATTTCGTTAATAAGGAGGAATCAATGGAATGGAAGGATATTAGAGAGAGGGCTATTACGAGAATGTTCTTCGGTGAACTTGTACGGGGTGTTGGAGTTGCTTTGTCACACTTTTTCCGTGAACCAGCTACAATAAATTATCCCTTTGAGAAAGGACCATTGAGCCCTCGATTTAGAGGCGAACACGCTCTTCGAAGGTAGAAATTCAAAATTCTGCCTTATATGAAAAAACCTTTTTTTTATGCTTATTTATTAAAAAAAAATTTTTAATTTAACATTTTAACAAAAAAGGAAAAATAAAATATAAATAATGAGCACAATTTTTTACATTTTTTTCTTAAATGAACAATATTATATGTCTTAAGCAGGTATTTATTATTATAGCAAAATTAAAGTGTTTTTTTAATAAAATTATCATACACATAACCATGAACTTTTATTAAATGCTCATTTTTAATATTTTTTGAATTTTTATGTAAAGAACTTTATCATGTTTATATGCGTTGACTTCGTAAATTTTGACACTTATCCTAAAAATTAACGTAACATGAATAATGTATTTTTTATATAAAATTTTTCAATTTTAAATGAAAAATTTTTTTCAAGCAATTATATTACAAAAAAAATCTCATACTTCGTAAATGTTCTCCAACATGCTGTTTGTATATATATTGTAGTAAATTATTTTTGTAGATCTGATGAGGATGTGGTAAAAAAACATCTTTTATTTATATAATTTTATGGCTTCCAATAATATTGAAATAATTTTATTTAATTTTAAAATGTGCTAATTTTTAGATACCCCTCGGGCGAGGAAAGATGTATTGCTTGTAAATTGTGCGAAGCAATTTGTCCCGCGCAGGCAATCACAATCGAGGCAGAAGAAAGAGCCGATGGATCGAGAAGAACGACGAGATACGATATTGATATGTCGAAATGCATCTATTGCGGATTTTGTCAGGAGGCCTGTCCTGTGGACGCAATCGTCGAAGTATGTTTTAAAACACTGAAACTTACTAATACAATTAATTAGAAATTTTTAAAAAATTGCTTCTCATTTCAGACTCATTTAAATTTTATTTTTTTGGCAAAATTTTGATATAAAATTTTCATTTAGAATGAATTTTATTTAATATTTACATAGTAAGTAAGTAATTTTTGAATTTTAAACTCACCAAAAATCGTTTTCTCAACAGGGTCCAAACTTTGAGTTCTCAACGGAAACGCACGAGGAAATGCTGTACAATAAAGAAAAATTGTTAAACAATGGTGATAAATGGGAATCGGAAATCGCTAATAATATTCAAGCAGATCACTTGTATCGTTAGTCGGCATTCTCTCCGAAAATGTTATTTGTACTATACACGAAAAAAAAAATTAGTAAATTTCCTTATAATAAATAAGTTATGTTAAATTTAGAAAAAAATATATTTACCAAAAAACAAATAAAATTGTAGAATATTATTTAATTTTAAAAATAGTTTTTCATTCACATTCTTTTTTCGCTTAATTCTATTTTTAAGAATAGTCAATTTAGAAAAAATATACAATTTACTTTTTATATAAATAACATTAAACATTAATAGGAACATGTAGCTTTTAAATTTTAATTAGTTTGAAGAAACGAGATATTAATTATAGTGCAAAGATATCCAGCATCTTTAAACATTAACGATAACAATCCAGACAGAGACTTCTTTCTCCAGAATCGTATCTGCAAAAGAAACATTTCTTTTTTTAATGAAAAATTTATAATTACTTTATAATTTATAATTCACTTCAAAGTTTCAATTAAAACATTCAATTATAAATTAAAACATATTTTAATTTCTAATAATAACAATAACATTCTAATTGTTAACAAAAAATGTTAATTTTCAAAAAAAATTGGTGAAAAATAAAAAATTTCTGTAATCAAATGATTTGAGAACGGAAATTCACTTACGATTGTAGTAAACAATTTTGGCAAAAATCCCCTACACAATTTGCACATTCTGTGAGGCAAGAATTGCATAAAATTTGATCACATCCATTACATTTTGACTCGGTGTCAATAACGCGGCAACATCCACACAAAGTAACTGGAACATTCTAAAAAAAAAAAAAAAAAAAAATTACAGAAATTAAATATTTCAAATTTTTTAAAATTAAAAAATTAAAAACCACAAATAGTTTTAAATATTTTTAAAAAATATTCGTTTTTTATGCATTGCATTAAATTTTATAAAAAGATTTATGAATATTTTTAATTTTGAAAAATTAAAATTTCAGAAGTGCGTTCACGTAACTTCCTCTTTTTCTAAAATAGATAGTAATTTTTAATTTCACTCAAAAAGTTTTCACTTTCAATTTCACCCAAAAAATTTTCACTTTCAATTTCACCCAAAAAATTTTCACTTTTAATTTCATCCAAAAAATTCTCACTTTCTCAAAAACATTTTCACTTTTACTCAAAGAATTTTTTGAGTATAAATGAAAATTATTGAGTTAAAGAACCCTAGCTAAATAAAATTATATTTGTGGTCTTTTAAATTCAATTTTGTTTCTTGTGACCTTTCTGAAAAAAAATTTTTTAAATGGAAAGTTTACTCGATTTTCAACGCCGATTGATTGCAGTTGTAAATTATTGTTGAGAAACATTTGTTTTAACTTCGTTGCTGATTCCATTTTACCGCTTGATTGCAAGGGAGCAATAAATTCAAGGTCCAAATTATTATCAGATGTATTTAAAGATTGAATTTTTGACCCTTCTTTTAACAAATTCATGGTTTTATCTAGAAAAAGGAAAATTAATTTATAATTATTAATAATTGATAATAAATACAATTATAAACTCACCATAAACATTTTGCATTTGTTTTTCCTTAAAAACTCCATTATTAACCTCCTTTTGACCCACGTGAACTTTTAATTGTCGACCTAAGTCACAATCAAAAGGACAGGCACGTTTCATTATGTCTGTTTAATTATTTTAACCAAATTATAAGAAAAGAAAAAAAAATTTTTTTTCATAACTGAAATTTTATTTTCTAGGCATGTTTTTCTATTTATTCACACATCACATCACACCGGTCTTGTTATTTTTATTTTGTACACAACAATTTATTTTGAAATGGTGCTACAAATGTCAGAGTGCGGAAACATGTCTGCCAAGGTGTGTGAAAAAAGAAGGGATTGCAAGCAACAATCAAGGCGTTCATTTTAAAATGAATAGAGCTTTAGGATTCATTTTTAATTATCTGAAGTTAAAAGCAATTTTTTATTAATTAGTACATAAAATAATTGAAAATTGTTCACTTTAGGTAATCTTAGATAAATATACTAGATGCGGCGAGGGTCGATGGTGGGGACTACCGATATATATAGCATACTAAATTTTCAGTGTATGTTAGTGCTGCCCTCTTCAACTTTTCGCCGTTTCCAAGGATACCGCTTGGAAATCGCGTTTTTTGAGTCGTGAAAGGCTAGAATTTCATTTCTCGCCAATATCACTACTTTTCTTTTTTGAAAACAACGTGTTTTTCAATAAAAACTAATCAATCAATTTTTTAAAATAAAATTTTTTAAAATAAAGAACTTTTAATTTAAAATAAAAAAACCTAATTATTATTTTTAATTAACTTTCTTATAAATAAAATAAAATATTTTGATTATTAATTGTAATTAATTTCCTTTATAATAAAAAATTATTAATTATTTTTTTAATTAAAACAAAATTTTTTAATTATTAATTAAATTAATTAATTTAGTTATTAAATGTATTATTAAAATAATTTATTTAATTATTAAATTAATTATTAATTAATTTTTTTAATTAGTTAAATAACCCCACATAACCTTGGAGTGCGGAATCCAAGGTATCTGTAGGCAGATTTCCCAAAATTCCCTAAGCAAAAAAAAAATAATAATAAAAATAATTTAAAAATAAATAAAAAAAAATTAATAGATAATTATAATGTTCATTATAATGTAATGACTCGATAGAGTTTGGAGCTCAGTTTTAAATTTGACGTTGCAATTTAAAATACGTATAGATATTTTTAATTAATTTGAGAAAATACATATTTTTATTTTATTAATTTATTTTATTATGAATTATTGTATTGTGAACCGTTATTTATTTATTTATGGTATTTTATTATTTATTTTGCATGTGCTATTTATTATTTTTATTTATTATTAATTTTCATAATTGTATTTTTAATGTTTCATAAATTTTAATTTTTTTTTATTAATTAATTTTTAATTTGTTATTAACTTGTTACTAATTTTATTATTGATTGTTATTTTTCACAATTTTAAATTTAAACAATTTTTTTCAATTATTTTTAAATTTATTTGATGAATATTAGGTTTTTTATAATTTTCTTTTACTCGAGACTCTACTCCATCGTCAGGGCATAAAAATTTAAGTCTTCATCTATTTTAATTATATTATTTTTTGGTAAGATAATTATCCATTAATTTTTATTTATTTATTGTTAAATTATTTTTATTTTAATCATGTAAATAATTTTTATTATTATTTTAATTTTGTATATTTTTTTGGATAAACTTCCTGAAGAGGAAATCATTTAGATTTCTGAATTTTAATTTAAAAATTGTGTTTAATAGAATGGGAAAGGCTAAAAAAATACAAAAAGTTTGAAAAATGAGGAATATTTTATATTAAACGATAATAAAATTTCTATAGTGCAAAAATTTTTTAATTTTTAAACAAATAGTTTCTGTCTGAAAAAATTTTACACTGAAAAAAATTTATTTGATTCAAATAACCGATTAATTGACCGTTCAATTAAATCAATGTAAAATATAAAATTTTTCTTTTGAAAATTGTTGATTGAGAAATGTTTAAAAACATTTGTTTGGAAAAATCGCCCCCAAAAAGTGTTTTCCCACGTTTCATATCTCACTCCTAAATAATTAGAGATACTTAGTTCCGATTTATCATGATAATTAGTGGAATTCATGATGATAAAGAATATTCTCGGAATTTGCAAGTAATTTTTTAAATAAATATTGAAAAACGAAATGACAAAAGTTGGATTTTTGGCGAAAGTGAGAGACAATACGGCGGCGAGCACACAGACAAGTGGATCTATGTGTCAGTGGTCAAGGAGGTGGCGCCGATTCTCGGAAGTGGCCGCGACTTTAACTAAGGAAATGTATTATAACCTCGCAAATTACTCCACTTTAAATCGTTAATAACGTTAATAAAATAATTTTCTCGCAAAATTTTATCCTCTCGAAATGAGACCGTGATATCAAACCGTTCAAAACCGTTTCTCTATATTTACCAAAAAACCCTGACTGAAAATATTCTTTTCTTATTTCTTTTTAAATGAGAACGCGATCACGAAAACATTATTTTCTCCCGGATTCACACATTTAAATATACAACGAAATAAAAGAATTTAATTTACTATATTTAATTATATATAGTTAAGAAAAACAACAATTTTTTTTATAAATTGTATACAATTTTAATCTTAAATTTGAATGAGAAATGATCGCTTTGTTAGTATTTTCAAACACTTCCGCCTTTAATAGACCGAAGATTGACGAAGTAATCCGATTGGTCCGATTATAAGAGGCACACGAAGGGCACATGTGGGCACATGATCTACACTAACGCCACCCTGGATTCATGTGCCTAAACTAACGCCTCGCCGCATCTAGTATATTTATCTAAGAGGTAATTAAAAATGATTTCTTTTCTATTCCACTTTTTTACTTTTCGACTGCAGCGCTACGATTTTGTGACAATTTATTGAACTACGACGTCATTCGAAGCTGTTCTATCCTTATTTAAAGAGTGTTCAAACAACTAACCTCATATTTAACAACCTTGTTCACGAAAGCGCTGAAACGTGCTCAAACGTGCTAAAAGGCTAAAACGTGAGGTGAGCGTCGTTCTTGGCATTGTTTTGTTATAAATAGTTGTCATGGTAACATCAAATATCTTAATCTTTACAGTGTATTTTCGAACATATAAAGTAGAAGTAACTTAAAAATTGAGTTATGATTATTGCAAGTCTTTTCTATAAATAGTGAATAAATAAATTTACGCATATTTAAAAGTAACCGAAAGTATTATATAAAGTAAAAAATGTTACCGAACTTCGATGATGAAGATGATCCTGGAGAGCCGAAAATTGCAGGAACATATCGGGTTGAGCAGCCAATAAATAATTTTAAACTAAGGTAAGAATAACTTTTATAAAAGTTAATCGTTTTTAAATTTATACGAGTGCTTTTTTACAGCATTTTTAACAAGCTTTCTGATGAAGATATTATTTTTTTATTTTAAGAATATTTTCTAGTTTTTCTATCAATCCGACCATTTTGATTTTTTTTAATAGCATATATCGAAACCTTAACTTTTTTCCTACGAAATTATGTTAAACTGAAAATAGGCCTGAATGAATTAATAACTGTACTCTCTAAATCTGAATTAGTGCGGATTCGTTTACCAATTTGAATTAGTAACATTTTTTACTAATTTTTAGTAGTTTTTTACTAATTGATAGTAGAAAATTACTAATTCAATTAGTAGAACGTATTTTTTACTATTTCAAATTATAGTAAATTTTTCTACTAATAATTAGTAAAAAAAAGCTACTAAAAATTAGTAAAAATAGTTACTAATTCAATTGGTAAACGAATCCGCACTATTTCATTAGTAGAAAACTACTAATTCAGATTTAGAGAGGATAAATTTTTTTTGCTCGCATATGGGCAATTCTCTGGAACCTTTAACCTTTAACTAATTTTTTGTCGCAATAAATTAGGATTTCAAGGTTGTCAATGCGGTAAATTGATAACCTCACTATTGACCGTTTTGTTTTCAAAGTTCAAAATAAAAAATTATGTAAATCGTAAAATTAAAAATAATGAGGCCAATGGGAGAAATTTAGAATAAAAGGCAGAACAAATGAGGGAAAAGAGAAGGAAGGAGAAAGGGGAAAAGAAGCAGAATACAATTTGAAAAACTTGCATCAGCGAAGGAAATTGTTAAGGTCATCTAGAAAAAATATTGCAATTATGATAAATTTAATTAAATAAATAATAATTAAATTCACTAATTTTTAATAAAATATTTAAATTTGACCAAATTAAAATTTTTGAAAAGATAGCGATACTCTTTGTTCGACCGTGTGAATGAAATCACTGAGTGAGTGTTTGATCTGACAATTCTGTGTAGAGAAATTCGACTACATACTTGTAGAGAGAATATTTTGTGTGATCGACAAGAGTCGATGTTTGATCGACTTCACGTAAGTGATTAATGTTTCTTTGATTTTGTTTTGTTCCTGGAAGTCACTTAGTTTATTTTACATTATTTTATTAGGGTTTCCCAACGCTACCCTCCTTGTCATCTCGTGTTTAATTTATTTTTCTGTGTTTTGTTAATTTCATAAAAATTAACTGGCGTCCGCGTATTTATGAATATTTTACTTTTCGCCAAATAGAAGACTTCTGATTACTTATACTTATTTTTTTTATAAATAATGTTTCCAAAAGTAGAAATTTATTCAGCACCTAAAAACAATTTAAAATTTAGTTATTTGAAAAATTAGCAGAACGCCTAAATTAAAGATAGAAAAATCTTGTTACAGAATTAAAATATCTCAGCAAAAGTCACCAATTTACGATCTTTTTGATGACCCTCGTGAAACTCTAGACGCAAATTTTCTAGAAGAAGAAGAATACACATTCTCATGGCAAGAGAAAGTTTTTAGTCCTTTTGAAGTTAAATATTTTAGTGAGGAGAAAAATTGTATTACCGATATTCAAAAAGATTACCATAAAAAAATTGCTGATGATGATATTGAAGGTTCACGATTGTATACAAAAATTAATGAAGATTCCTTCTATCCGGATAATTCATTATTTACAAGACCATTCACTTCTCCCTTGGCCCTTAAAAATGAACGTGCCATGCCTTGTCTAAGGAATCGTAAACCATTCAGCCAAAGGTATAACAAAAAAGTTATTGACGAAAAGCCGGACGACGATAGACTGTGTGCTAATCATTACTTTTACGAGGAACGTGAAGTTATGTACATTTTGGCCGATGTCAGTCCAAAGAATGAGGAACCAAGTAATTCGAAAGATTCTGAAAATTTACTCTGTACAGTGACTTATGACAAGGCACATAAACTTTTAACGGTTGATCCTGATTTTTCAAATGAAGGATACTACAGAATTTTCGGTACCGGAATGGGTTACGATTATTGGATTTCACACGAGTCATGCACCCCAACCGAAGATGATGAGGAAAATATTATAAAAACACTAAAACAGGTTGGTAATTTTAATTCTTTACCTTATCTCAACTAAAGATTAAATGTATGTTAAAGTTTTGCATTAAAATTTCAAAATATAAATCTAATTAAAATAATAAATTCTTTGCAGGAATTTCAGAAAGTACAAAATTTTAAAGAATTCAAAATAAGTCCAAAACTTGAGCTGGTGCCTTTATATACTTTCCGGATTATTCTAAATCTAGAGATATTATCGGCACACGATTTCTCCTACGATTCACTTTTCATAACGTACTTTTTACACCTTCCGAAAAATTGGAGTACACCACGTCAAGAATCTCTGGCTGGCCGAACTCAAAGATGTCGAATGAAGAAAAAAACCGCAAACTTTAGTTATATTATTGAAAATTGTTTGGATTTGGATCTAAAGAGTCTTAAGAAGAAAAACGGAGCACTCTCATGGCCGTATTTATTATTTACCGTTGCATCATTAGACAATTGGGAAAGGTATTTTTTATTTTTATAAATAAAAATTTCTGAAAAAATTATTTTAATTCCCAAAAAAGGGTTTTTTAATTTATAAACAAATATATCATTTTCAGATGGCGAATAGAGGGTTATGGTTCTTCAAGTCTTCCTCTAACATCAGGTTGTCATAATTTAAAAATTCACACATGGCGACAGTCTGGTGGTTTCATTGATTCTCTCCGTTGGTTCTTCACTGGTGGAATTAATGAATCGGAAAACAATTTCAACATTCCCGACATCAATGAAGAAAGAAAAATTAATCGAAGAGAGGAAAAGATTATTCCCAGCGGGTATATTAAAATAAGGGCCAATATTGTTCATCAATCGCAAATATTTACTAAAGAAGGAAACTTGGGGAAAAATGTTTTTGATAAATTAAATTCTAATAATCTTATGATTAATGTCGAAGATGTTTTAGTTCAATTTCAAATAGCTAGAGAACGTATGATACGAGCGAAAAATTTCTCGTGACACGCATCATAATTAGAATTTTATTATTAAAAATATGATTAATATTATTATCATAAAATAAGCATTTTTCCCTTAAAGTTTTAAATAAAAAAAAAGTGGATTCGCTTTATAAGACGTAACAAATCTCAATTTTTGGTAGTAATTTAATAAAAAACAATATTACATTTTGTTTTATAATTACATACTCATTTATTTTTAATTTGTTTTTAGTAGTTTTTTAAGTTTAAAGAAATTTAAAATTATTTGGCGCCCATTTTTTGGAGAAAATTTAGTTCTCTATTTAAAAAATAATTTTAGAGTATATAATTTTTCATAATATAATAATTACTATAGTTTTTTTTAATAATTTTTTATAATTACCATAAATATTTATATTTTCTACTTCTTAATTATTTAATTTTAGGATTTATTTATCTAAGTATGTAATTCTTTTTGTTTTTATATTCTTGAATTTAATATTTTTCCAATTATATATGTTTAAGTTAATTTAGATTAGAATATGTTTAATACTTTTTAATTATATATTTTTTAGGGTAGTCTAGATTAGAATTAGTTTAATTTTTTTTTATTATAGGTATATTTTTCTATATAAATATTTTTTGTAATAAGTAAAAAGATATTGAAAGGTATCTGGCTCTCATTTTTTTGGGTAAATTATATCACCATCTACATTTCTAAATAGATAATTGTGGTGTTATTTAATTTTTGTTTAAGTTGTATTTTTACATCTTATTTCTTATCTTGATGTAAAGTATGTTTATTTATAATTAATTCTTATAAAAGAACAATAAATTTATACATTTGTTTACATGAACATAACTTTGTTTTTTTTAGATCTGTAAAAACCCGCATTACTAGTTCATTTTAAGCCTAATTCCACTCGAAAAGAGATTTTACAAAAAAAGTAAAATATTAACTACAGTTGAATAAAAATTAATACAAAAAAATTGTTTTCTTATTTTTAATTTAAACAAATTGCAGGCCCCGGATATTATAACATTTTCGACTTTTTTCGACTATTTTAAAAAAATGCGACTTTTTTCGACTTATTTTCAAAAATTACAACTTTTTCGACTTTTCTTCCGAATATTGCAATAATTTTTAGTATAAAATGCAACTTATTTTTGAAATTTACAATTGAAAAGAGTTTCAATAAATATTAAAATTTTGTAAAATTTAATTGAAAATAATTCATTTTTAAGTGTTTTATGCCAATTTTTAAATAACAAAATTTGAAGAATATTAATTGCAAATTTTGAAAATTTGAAATTAAATTCCTGGGAAGAATTTAACTTTTAAAAAAAATTTTTAATATATTTCGAATAAATTCAATTATTTTCTAAAATCTTAATAAATCCTTTGAAACAATTCAATTATTTTTATAAATGGCAAAATTATTCGCAAGAATTCAATTATTTTTATAAATAGTAAAATTCTTGGCAGAAATTCAATTATTTTCAAAACATGTTTAATTGAATTTCTCGTAAGAATTCAAATAATTCCATAAAATTCAATTATTTCCTAAAATTCTTAATAATTTCTTGGAAACAATATTCAACTATTTGTATCAATATATTAAATACTAAATAAATTTTCATACAATAAAGAAAGAGTTTCAATAATTGAAATTTTGTAAAATTTAATTGAAAATAATTGATTTTTTTAAAAGTGTTTTGATAAAAATTTTTGTAAATAAACTTTAAAAGAATTTTAATTGTAAATTTTGAAAATAATTGATTTCTCAAAAATTTTAATGAAAAATCTTCAAGTGTAAATTTAAAAATGGTAATTAATGAAAATTAGCTTCAAAAAAATTATATTAAAATATTTTTGAAAAAAAAAATTCTTAGAATTTTTTGCATTCTAATTTTTTCAAATTCAATTATTTTCAATATTTTCAAATACAAATTTCCAAAAATTCAAATACATACAAAAAATAATAACATTAAAATTTTTTACAATTACTTTTAACATTTTAACAACATATGACTTTTTTAGATTTATTAAAATTTTGGAGAAATCGCGTTTATATTAATAACTAGCCAAACTATCCGCGCGCAAGCGCGCGGGAATGTTGTATGGGACTGCTTATTTTAAACAATTTAAAAAATTTTAAAGAAATAATTATTATAACCTAACAAAGAGATTTAACTAACTAAAATTCAAATAATTTCACTCAATGGTCTCAATTTAAATAGAATTTACATTACTAGACTTAAACTATGGCTAGAACAATTACAATTAGTATCTGGGTCATCTTTTGCATTGCTTATTTTATAAAGCCATTTTAATTTAAATACTTTTTAAAGAAATAATAATTATTACACACTGAAAAAAGTTTTACTTGAAATAGCGATAAGTTTCTCTAGAATAACGAAAGTATTAATTGAAGCACTAAATAATTTCGCTACTAAAGTGAAATCTGTAGTTCATCCAGCTAAATATTTTTTGCCGTGCATAACGAAAAAAGAATTAAATTAACATCAGATTTTCTACATTCAAAAAAAACGAATTCAAATAGAAATTAATCATTTTACAACTTAACCAAATTCACCCCAGAAATCACTGAATTCGATAATTTAAAAGAAAGTCAGACAAAAGCAGGGTTCCTACAGAATCTGGAAATCATGGAAATCATGGAAATGGTATGGAATTTTTAAAAGGCTTCTGGAAATCAGGGAAATCATGGAAAAGGCCTGTAATTTTTAAAAAATTCTAAATTTTTTCAGTTTTCCATTTTTTCTCTTGAATAAAAATTCAAATAATAATAAAGCTAAATGGTATAAAAGAAAAAAAAAATGTTGAATTTTAAGAAATTCAATTTTTCGGATTTTTGATAATTTTTAATAATATTTTATTATTTTCCAAAGAGTCGAGACAATTTAATAAGTAAAGTATTTTCCAAAAGCACAAAAATAATGAAGCTAAATCCCATAAAAGAGAAGAAAAAATGTTGAATTTTAAGAAAATCGGATTTTTGAATTGTTTCGAATTTTTGATAATTTTAGATTTTTTACCAAAGAGTCGAGACAATTTAATAAGTAAAGTATTTTCCAAAAGCACAAAAATAATGAAGCTAAATCCCATAAAAGAGAAGAAAAAATGTTGAATTTTAAGAAAATCGGATTTTTGAATTTTTGATAATTTTCGATAATTTTAGATTTTTTACCAAAGAGTCGAGACTATTAAATAAGTAAAGTATTTTCCAAAAGCACAAAAATAATGAAGCTAAATCCCGTAAAAAAGAAGAAAAAATGTTGAATTTTAAGAAAATCGGTTTTTTGAATTTTTGATAATTTTCGATAATTTTAGATTTGTTACTAAAGAGTCGAGACAATTTAATATGTAAAGTATTTTCCAAAAGCACAAAAATAATGAAGCTAAATCCCATAAAAAAGAAGAAAAAATGTTGAATTTTAAGAAAATCGGATTTTTGAATTTTTTCGAATTTTTGATAATTTTAGATTTTTTACCAAAGAGTCGAGACTATTAAATATGTAAAGTATTTTCCAAAAGCACAAAAATAATGAAGCTAAATCCCGTAAAAAAGAAGAAAAAATGTTAAATTTTAAGAAAATCGGATTTTTGAATTTTTTCGAATTTTTGATAATTTTAGATTTTTTACCAAAGAGTCGAGACTATTAAATATGTAAAGTATTTTCCAAAAGCACAAAAATAATGAAGCTAAATCCCATAAAAGAGAAGAAAAAATGTTAAATTTTAAGAAAATCGGATTTTTGAATTTTTTCGAATTTTTGATAATTTTAGATTTTTTACCAAAGAGTCGAGACAATTTAATAAGTAAAGTATTTTCCAAAAGCACAAAAATAATGAAGCTAAATCCCGTAAAAGAGAAGAAAGAATGTTAAATTTTAAGAAATTCGGATTTTTGAATTTTTGATAATTTTCGATAATTTTAGATTTTTTACTAAAGAGTCGAGACAATTTAATAAGTAAAGTATTTTCCACATTAAAAAGTTTGACATTAAAAAATATATAAAAAATGCCAATACTTAACCCACAAAATTAAATTTTCAAAACAAACAAATGAATGCAGATAATTTGCTAACGGAAAGGAAACTTACGATTATTATAATGTATGTATATGTATATGTATATTTCTATTTTCTATCAAAACGTATAAAAAACAAAAGAATAACTATAACTAACTTCAAGTGTGGACAGAGATCCGGAAATCTGGAATCACGACGATTATTATATATAATTAAAATTCTTTAAAAATTCAATTATTTTTTTTAATAGAATTTACCAAATTGTAATTGTTTGGAAATTTGTCAATTCTATATAATTGAAAAACTATTATCTTTCATAAATTATTTTAAAAATATTTTTGAAAAATTAATTTTAAGAATTTCTTTATTATAATTTTTTGAAAATTGATTAATAACTTAAAAACATGGACAATTCGAATCATTATTTTTTTTTTTTTTTGATTTATTTATTATTAAAAATAATTGATTTCGAGAAGAAGTTTGACTAAAAATTGTAGAAAATAATTGAATTTTAAGAGAATTAAAGTTGTAATTTTTAGAAGCTGTTAGAAGTTATTAAATTTCAGAAGGTTTTAAATAGAAATTTAAAAAATTTTATTTTCGTATAAAAACAAACAAGAAGTATTTAAATATTTATTTAACGAACTTATTCAAGTTTTACATAATTAAAAAGAGTCAATGAAATCTCCACATTTTATTAAAAAAATACATGTTTTTGAAATTGTTTATTGTTAATCATTATAATTATTATAAAACATTTATTTTTAGGGAAATTAATTATCAACTCTGCTAAGTCTATAATACCAGGTAATTTATTTTATTCAGTACAATAGAAAAATTTATAAAAATAGAAATTTACAATCACTTTTTTTTAATATAGTTGATAAACAAAATACTACCAAAGGACACTTGTCTAACTGTGTATTACTTGCTTTATTTTTAAAAAATCTTCGTACCATTTGGTCATATTGATTACCACCTATATTTTGATGATATCCGTTGTAAAAGCTATTAGCACGATTTTGTTGATTATGATTATTTATTTGTACATTATCTAAAAAATGTATGTTTTTTTGATCAAAGTTATTTTGCTTTATGTTATTAGCACGATTTTGTTGATTATGATTATTGAGTTGTATATTATAGTTTAAAAAGTTCATGCTGTTTGGATCAATTTTATTTTGTTTTATATAATCAGCACGATTTTGCTGATTATGATTATTTAGTTTTACATTATTTGAAAAAAATATGTTGTTCTGATCAATGTTATTTTGCCTTATGTTATTAGCACGATTTTGTTGATTATGATTATTTAGTTTTATATTGTTTAAAAAATTTATATTGCTTTGATCAATATTATTTTGCTTTATGTCATTAGCACGATTTTGTTGATGATTATTTATTTTTATGTTGTTTTGTTTAATGTTGTCTTGCTCTATGTTCTTAGCATGATTGTGTTGATTATGATTACTTACTTTTATTTTGTTTGAAATTTTGTTGTTGTTTTGCTCAATGTTGTCTTGTTTTAAGTTATTAGCATGATTTTGTTGATTATGATTATTTACTTTTATATTATTTGAATTTCTGTTGTTGTTTTGCTTAATGTTGTCTTGCTTTATGTTAGTGGCACGATGTTGTTGATTATGATCATTTACTTTTATATTGTTGGAAAAATTTTTGTTGTTTTGCTTTATGTTAGTGGCACGATTTTGTTGATTATGATTATTTACTTTTATATTGTTTAAAAAATTAAAGTTTTCTTGGTTTATGTTATTAGCACGATTTTGTTGATTATTATTTAGTTTTATATTGTTTAAAAAATTGAAGTTGTCTTGCTTTATGTTATTAGCACGATTTTGTTGATTTTTCTTTTCGTCTTGATGACCTTTATGATGTTGAGCACTCCCATCTTGATGACTATCCTCCGCGAACTGTTTTTCAACACCCTTCTTTAACTTTCGTTTCTTTTCTTCATGTTGACTATGATCTTTATGTTTATCTTTATCTTTATGTCCGTCATCATAAATTCTACGTTGCTTGTAAAATTCATCCCTATGGAATCTATTGTTAAATGCCTTGGTCTTATGACCCTTCTTGTGTCCTTCTCTTTCACTGAACTTACCACCAATGTGACTTGTCTCACCACCTCGTCCTACTTTATGATCAAGCTCCTCATGAAGTTTGTCCTCTTTTCCATCTTCATCACTGTCATAATGATGTTTATGTTGAGCCCGATTCTGTTTACCCTGACTTTTATAATCCTCGTTACTTTCTTCACCATATTGTTTGTGATGATGATGATGATGATGACGCTTATCATCGTCGTTATTTTTAGAATAATGGTGTCGACTGCCACTTGGTTGCACGTCAAGAGGAATTTTTTCTTCCTGTTGTAATTCAGAAACGTGATTTACAATTTTCCGTAATGACAATGAATAACCGAAGAGTAAAATGATGACATTAAGGAATAAGGCTTTTTGTAACATTTTAAGTGAACTTGAGTCAGCAAGATAAGAAGGAAACTAAATATCTGACAATGCTTAAATATTATTCTGCGATCAGTTTATTTCCGGAACTGTTATGATCGACCTTTCTTCTTTGTAGGAATTCTGTTCGTGCGTTAAAATCAGATGAAAGCAGGAGGGGATCTTTCACGCTTTCACGCTTCGGAAAAAAAAAGTTTGTGTTACATTTGCTTCTTGATATTTCAATTTTTAAATTTTCACCAAGATTCGGAAATATTGAAAATATTTTATTTTACGCAATTCTGATTTTTTACTACCACTTTAGCTTTTTTAAGATACGACCCCAAAGATCCCCGATCATTTTATCAGTGTAACGAAAACTAAACAATTATTTTGCGTAAAAAAGTATTTTATTAACAATGCACACAAAGATCATAACAACTTTTTGTTTATAAATTTATTTAGATCCACATACAACCGCAGTTATTTTTGAATAGAAACATCTTCATCTGACTTTGAATCTTCAAGTATTTTCGTATATTTTGGAGAACGGATTTTATTAGGATGAGTAAATATCATTTCCATGTGATCCACTCCCGGCGGTTGAATTCTCTTGTAGTTAATTGGCAGCATTTCGGCGTCTGGTTCAACAGTAAGTGGCTTTTTATAAATTTTCTTCCTTCCCACACTTGGAATTGAACGAATCGTTACGAAATCTTCTAAAATTTCAAAGGAATCCTCAGGACTGTCTTCTAATTCCAAATATTCGTCTGACAGATTTTTCTCAATTTCGCTAGAATTTTGCTCACCGGTAGATAAATTTGGTAGAAAAAGTAAAAGAAGGCACCAAATTTTGTAACATTCTTTCATTTTTATGATGATATGAATATTTCTCACAATTGCAAATTTTTATTTTAGTTTAGAAAGCTATGCTGGAGATATATCGAGTTTAACTGTTATGCACTAGGTTCTTATTGTTGTTTAGGTCTTTTATACCTTTCAAATATCAATTTCACGTTGTCTGTGTGTCTTGAAAGAAAATTGTGTATTGCTTTTGTTGAAAAAGAGATTTAAGCAATAATTTCGACTTTACGACATCATTTGCTGCTGTGACAGAGTCTCAAGGGTGATTGGCTAATTGTATGACACGTTGTGCGGCTAGTAGTGCAAATCAAAATTATAACTAGGAATCACTCGTGCAGATCAGTATCTTTTATGGTGGGAAACGATTTCAAAATTGATTCATATAATAATTGTCTCTTACAGAAAGAATACGTTTATGAAAATGAAACAATATTTTTCTGTTTGACATTTAATTGTTCATCTACGCCTCAATTTGCCCTTGAGTTTCAAATTCATTACCAAGGAAAGTCATGCTTAATTATATACTTTTTGTCTTTTTCTGAAAAATGTACTAACACAATCAACACAATTGATAACTATAATTAAATCAAATGTGAAATTTAAATTGATCTTTTTCTTTTCAGTATGATGCAGAGAAGGAAAGAAAATTAAAATCTTTAGATATACCAAATTTTTTTTAAATTGATTAATTTTTTAAATTCAATGTCCGCCATATTAGATCCACCATTTTGAATTTTTGAAAACTGATGTTAAATTCATGATTTTTAAAACACTTAAAAAATTCAAACCTTTTTGAAATTAAACAACTTATAAAAAATTGTTATAAAACATGAAGAAATCAATCACTCCGAGTCTTCGACTCGGAGCAATCGATGTCTTCATGTTTTATAATAATTAAAGATGACTAAGTGATAAAATCATTATTTAATAAGACTTTATAAAAAAAAAATTTTTTATTATTTTTTATGAAAATAATTGAATTATTGGGAAGAAATTTATAAAACATTAGTAAGAAATTTAATTTTGCAGAAGAATTTTGATATTTACAAAGATAATTGAAATTTTGAGGAGAATATAAAAAAAAAAATTTTGGAAATAATTGAATTTCTGCGAAGAATTTTCTTACTTTCGAAGATAATTGAATCTTGCAAAGAATTTTATCAGAACTTTAATTAAATTTCCAGGATGAATTCTATTATTTATGAAGATGAATAAAATTTTAATGAGAAAATTTAAAAATAATTTTGAAAATAATAGAATTTCTAGGATGAACTTTTTCATTTATAAAGATAATTGAAATTTTGACAAGAGTTTTATTAAAATTTAGACAAATAATTAAATTTCAGAGAAGAATTTTATTATTTATAAAGATAATTGAAATTTTGAACAGATTTTTTTAAAAATGTTTAAAAGTAATTAAATTTTGCAGACGAATTTTGATATTTATAAAGATAATTGAAATTGTGAGGAGAATTTAAAAAAAAAATTGAAAATAATTGAATTTCTGCGAAGAATTTTCTTCCTTTGGAAGATAATTGAATTTTGCACGAATTTTATCAGAACTTTTGAAAATAATAATTAAATTTTCAGGATTAATTTAATTATTTATGAAGATAATTAAAATTTTGACAAGAAATTTAAAAAAAAATTGAAAATAATTGAATTTCTAGGATGAATTTTATTATTTATAAAGATAATTGAATTTTTCCAAGAATTTTATCAGAACTTTTGAAAATAATTAAATTTTAGAAAAGAATTTTATTATTTATAAAATGTTGACGAGAAATTTAAAAAAAAATTTTGAATATAATTGAATTTCGGCGAAGAATTTTATTACTTTTGAAAATAATTGGATTTCAGAGAAAAATTTTATTATTTATAATGATAATTGAAATTTTTACAAGAATTTTATTAAAATTTTTTTTAAATAATTGAATTTCGGAAAAGAATTTTATTATTTATAAAAAAATTTTAATAAAATTCTTGTCAAAATTTCAATTATTTTCGAAAATTTTCCCTTTTTTAATTATTTTTAATATCTACTATTTTAATAAAATTTTCCAAAAGAATTCTATTATTTAAACAAAATTGTAATAAAAAATTTAACAGGAATTTAATTTCTTACCAATTTTTCATACTTTTCTTCGGACTAATTCAATTATTTTCAATTTTTTAATAAAGTTTTTCCAAAGAATTCAAATATATTCAGAGAATTGAAAAAAATAGTTCTGAGAGATTCAATTATTTCGAAAAATTTAAATAAAATTATTTTAAAAGTTCTATTATATTAAAAAACTTTGACAAAATTCTTTATAAGATTTAGTTAATAAAATTTTCCTATTCAATTCAATTATTTTTAATACAATTCTTCTCAAGAATTCAATTATTTTCACAGATAATACATTTTTTATGGGAATTCAATTATTTAAAAAAATTTTGATAAAATGCTTTATAAATTTCAAAAATTATAATAAAATTGATCGTAAAGTACAATTATTTTTGTAAAATACAACATTCTTCCTAGGAATACAATTATTGTCAAAAATGTTTGTAAAAATTTTTGAAAAAATTCAATTATTTTCGTAAAAAAATAAAAATTCTTTGAAGCAATTCAATTATTTAAGAAAATTTAATAAAATTCTTTCCAAGAATTCAATTCTTTTCAAAAATAATAAAATTCTTGTCAAGAATTCAATTCTTTTCAAAAATAATAAAATTCTTGTCAAGAGTTCAATTATTTTCATAAATAATAAAATTCTGCAAAAGAATTCAATTATCTTGATAAACAAGAAAATTCTTTCCTAAAAATCAATTATTTTAAGGAATTTTAATGAAATTCTTTTCTAAAATTCAATTATTTTGATAAATAACAAAATTCATCACGAGAATTCAATTCTTTTGAAAGGTAACAAAATACTTTGCAAAAATTAAATTATTTTCATAATTTTTGAAAAATTCTTGTTAAGAATTAAGTTATTTTTATAAATAGGTTCCAAAATTCTTCTGAAGAAGTCAATTATTATTTTCAAATTTTTAATTAAATCTGTAAAAGAATCAATTATTTTCATAAATTAATATAAAATTCTTGGCAAGAATTTAATTATTTTCATAAATAATAACATTTTTCGAAGGAATTCAGTTATTTTTAAAAAATTTGAATAATATTCCTAGCGCTAGAAATAAATTATTTTCATAAATTTAATAAAATTTTTCTTTGAGAATTCAATTATTTCAAAAAATTTTGATAAAATTTATAAATTTCAAAAATTATAATAAAATTAATCATAGAATACAATTATTTTTGTAAAATACAACATTCATAAAGTACAAATGTTTGTAAAAATTTTCGAAAAAATTCAATTATTTTTAAAAAAAAAATAAAAATTCTTTGAAGCAATTCAATTATTTGAAAAATTTATTTTAATAAAATTCTTTCCAAGAATTCAATTCTTTTCCAAAAATAAACATTTAATTATTTTGAGAAGTTTTAAAAAATTCTGAAAAAGTCAATTATTTAAAAAAAAATTGAATAAAATTCTTCATAAGAAATTGATTATTTTCATAAATAAACCCTAATATTTTTCTCCGGAATTCAATTATTTTTACAAATAAAATTCTTCACAAGAATTGAATTCTTTAAAAAAATGTTTATTAAAATTAGTTTTAAGAATTCAATTATTTTCATAAATAACAAAACTTAAAGTGGAATTTCAATTATTTTTTTTCAATTTCAAATAAAATAATAGAAAATTGCATTATTTTTATTTTTTTTAAATTCGCCAAAAGAATTCAATTATTAAAAATTTTGATAAAATTCTTCATGAAAATTAAACTTCAAGCAATTATTGAATAAAATATTTATTTTTGCATTTAAATAATTGAATTCTCGGGAAATTTTCTATTAAAAATTAATTTTAAAATTAATTTTAGTTGAAATTTGAAATTATAATTGAATATTAAAAACATTATAGCGTGGATTTTTAGAAATAATTGAATATTGAAAAGGGTTAAAATTATAATCTTTGAAAGTTTGAATTTATAGTTTTTCTTATGATATAAAATAATTATTTTATCACTCTCATCTTAAATTTATTATAAGTTATTGAATTTGAGAATTTTAATTCCTGTAGAAAAATAATAATGATTAAACATTTATTTAAAAAAGAAGTTATTGTTCTTCAGGGTGAGGGTAAAAGTGAAAATTTTGTCTGAAAATCAGGGAAAAAGAAAATTAAAATTTCGTGGCATCAGATTTAGCAACCAGATTTTTTTCTCGTCCTAATATGGAAAGATCAGTGTTTTACCAGAATTAAATAATTTTAACCCAAATATTAAATATTAAAAACGTTTTTTAAAAATTTTATTAAACTATACGTCATATAACAGTCAATATTTTACAACAGTTTAATATATAACAACGTGTGTGTGTTTTGTATATTGAATAACAGATTAACAGTCGATTTTATATGATATATGGGAGAATTTGTTGGGGATATGAGAATTTTAACAAAATACGATGAGGGTATGTTAAAATTACTGTAAGTAGCAGAGCGAGTATTTAGTGTCCCTTCTTAAAATGCCACTTTTTGTGTTCGTCATGTCCGCCCTTTTTGCCATGACTATGATGATGATGATGATGATCATGATGACCTTTCTCATCCTTATGTCCCTTATGATCATGATGATGCTTTCCCTTATGATGATGACCCTTCTCTCCATGATGCTTCTCATGATGTCCCTTGTGATGATGACCCTTCTTATGATGATGTCCCTTCTTGTGCTTGTGCTCATGATGATCACCGCCATGATGCTCTTCATGTCCACCGTCATGATGTTCATCGTGGAAATGTTTATTTTTCTTAAACTCATCTAGTTTCTTAATTTCATGATGTCCCTTCGTACTGTGTCCTTTGCCATAATGTCCCTTCTCATGGAATTTGTGTCCTTTCTCACCCTTTTCGCCCTTATGGTGATGATGATGATAACCATCGTCATGATGATGATGCTTCTTGTCACCGCCATGTTCGTCAAAGTGATGATGATGATGATCCTTGTCGTGATGACCTTTCTCGCCCTTCTCATGATGATGATCACCCTCATAACCCTTGTGTCCCTTTTCATGACTTTCGTGATGATGATCCTCGTGATGCTCGTCGCCACCACCTTTCTCATGATGATGATCGGATGCCGCTGTTTCGAGATCGTGTTGTTGTATTTCAACATTTCTAGCCGATGTTATTGTCATTAATAGAATGTATATTAATCCAAAGAGAAAGAAGCCTCGGAGAGCCATTTTTGTTCTTTTTTTTTTTTTTTTTAATTTTTGACTAGCTGTCGTTGGTTAACGATGATCTAATGACTTTGACATCCGAGTTTAGACTTATTTATACTATTAATTTTTGTAGTCTATGTAAATTTTTTGATGGTGGGGAGAACTTTCAGTAATGATAATATGAAAAAGAAAAAAAAAAAAAAAAAAAGTTGTTGCTTGCAGAAATTGACAGATTGTGACAATTGTCTTACAAAAGAGAATTCTTTTTATTGCTCTAAATAGTTTCAAATCTGTGAAAGTGTCGATGCTTTCACGGTTCCCTAACTCCATAAATAAATAGTTGTGTAATTTGCATGGTTATTTAGAAGTTCATGTTACATAAATAGTTGAGAATTTTTTTCTTCTCATCTTGTTAAATCCAATTAAAAAGTGATTCTAATGGATCAAAAAGAAATTTTTAAGAAACGTCAAGGATAAAATTGATTGGATTAATTAAAATTTTTTTTTTCTTTAAATCTTATTACATAAATATGGGATAAACAAAAAATGTTATTAATTGTAGAAAATGTTATTTTCGTTTGAAGCAGAAGAAGGTGTGAGGTTAACTTTTTTTTTAAAGCAAGATTTACCACACAAAAAGTATACCAATTAAATTTGTATTGTGGAAAAGTTTCAATTTAATTATTAAATAATTCTTAGTCCGGAAGGAAGTCAAATGGCTATAATCAGCTTCTCGTTGATCTGAAAGAAAAAAAATTTCGTTCCGATTGAACAAAGTAGAGCATGTCATTGAAAAACATGCATTAAAATGAAGATTACTTGGATGAAATTTTTTTTTTAATTTATCAGATTTGCATATAAATTTTATTACTTGGAGGCACTTGGGGGTCTCTTGATTACGATTTCTAAGTCTGATTTTAAAAATCCAAAATGGCGGATTTAGTATGGCCATAATTTAATATATTTTACGTTCATTTATAATTGTTATTACAAAATTTATTAAAAAATATGAAATTGTTATGAATTTTTAGTATTTTAATAAGTTTTTAAAAATATTTTCAGAGAAATAAACATTAGTCGGAAACAAAAAAAATATAAAAGATTTGAATGAAAAAATATTTCTACATTTAAATTGTTTATAACAAGAAACATTTTTTAATTAATTTTCTATTGTTGGAAAATGTTTGGATCAAGTTTCTTAACTAATTACGTTCGTTTATTAATATTGTGAATTTTACAAAAAATATTCCTCGTATGAAAAAAATTCAATTATTTTCAAAAATAAAAAAAATTCTTCGTCGAAATTCAATTATTTTCAAAATTTTTTTTAAATTCTTATTAACATTTTAATTATCTTTATAAATAATAATAAAAATTCTTTCCCAAAATTCAATTATTCTGAAAAAGTAATAAAATTCTTTAGAGAAATTCAATTATGTTCAAAAATTTTAATAAAACTCTTGGCAAAATTTCAATTATTTTCAAAATTAATAAAATTCTTTGGAGAAATTCAATTAATTTCAAAAGTTTTAATAAAACTCTTGGCAAAATTTCAATTATTTTCAAAAATTTTCCTCAATTTAATGATTTTCAATAATTTAGTATTTAAAACAAAAAAATTTTAAAAGAAATTCAACTATTTTACAAATTTTTTTTCTAAATTTCTTCTCAATTATTTAATTACGTTCATAAATATTAAGTAAATTCTTTTTAGATATGCAATTATTTTCATAATTACAATAAAACTCATCGCAGAATTTCAATTATTTTTAATACAATTTTAAAGGAATTTTTTGAAAAATGTAATTATTATTCTTAAAAATTTTATTAAAATTCAACAAAGATTTTCAGTTTTTTTTTTTTTTTTTTGAAAGAATTAAATTAAGTATTTTCAAAAATTTTAATGAAATTCTTTTTAACAGTACAATTTTAATAAAATTCTTCGTAGAAATTTAATTAATTTCAATAATTTATCAAAATTCAATTATTTCCAATCTCTACTATTTCAATAAAATTTCACAAAAAAATTCAATTGTTTAAAATTTAGAAATTTTTAATGAAATTGGTCTTTAAGAATTCAATTATTTTCAAGAGTAATAAAATTCTTCGCAGAAATTCAATTATGGTGAAAAGTTTAAAAAAAAATTCTCTTCAAAATTCACAATTATCTTTATCAATAATAAAATTTTTCTCCAAAATTTAAATTATTTTCAAAAATTTTAATATAATTCATTGCACAAAATTTTAAATTATTTTCAAAAACTTTTTTCAAATTCAATCAAATTTTTTTTTACAGAGATTCAATTATTTTTAATGCAATTTTAATATTAATTTCTCGAAAATTTAAATTATTCGTCAAAAGATTGTAAAATTATCTATTTAAAATTTTTGTTATAAAATTCTTTATGAGAGTTCAATTTTAAAAAAACATTTAATTATTCAATAAATTATTTATTTACATTTTATTTGTATTTAAATAATTGAATTCTCGTAGAATTTTCTAATAAAATTTAGAAATGATTTAAAAATGAGTTTCAGTTGAAATTTTGGATAATAATTGAATATACGAAAGGCATTATAGCGTGAATTTTTAGAAATAAATTGAATTTCGAAAAGGTTTCAAATTATTTGAATTTTTCATATACTTTTAACTGACAAATTGTGTAGATTTAATTTTTTTTGAAAAAGTTTAATTCAATTTTTTTTGAAGTTATTTGATATGTACTTTTATTGTCCAATATATATTTTAATTGAAGAATTTCCGAATAATCGATGAAATTTCGTGTAAAATTGAATTGTAAACAAATGGATTTGAAAATTTTCAAAATTTTTTTTTTTTTTTTTTTTTTCAAAAATGAGAATGTAATAACTAATAATTAATTTAAAGAAGAATTTTAGTCAAAAAAATTGTGGAAAACAATAATTGAATTTGAAGTGATGAAAGTAATTTTGAATAAAGTTACAGTAACAATATTCTTATAATATAAAATAATAATTCGGTCATGTTTTATAACAATTTTTTTGCAAGTTGTTTAATTTCAAAAAGGTTTGAATTTTTGATATTAAATATCAAAAAATTAAAAATTAAATTAAAATTAAATTAAAATTTTAATAATAAATTAAAAAAAAAAAAAAAAAAAAAAATTTAAAAATTTAAATTAAATTTTTGATAATATGAATTTTTCGTATTACTTTTAACTAACAACTGTAGGATTTTTTATTTTTAAAGAGTTTAATTGAATTTTGTTTGATATTATTTGAAGTTTTTAATTTGTTTTTTTATTTTTTTTATTTATCAATAAAGTGTTTTTTTGTCGAATCATAATTCAACGATAAGAATTTCGGTGAAGTTTTAAAATTAAAAAAAAATGAATGATGCGCCCCATTAAATAACAGATATTCTCAAATATATTAGTTATTTTTAGTCTATATTATTAAAAAAAAAAAAAAAAAAAAAAAAAAAAAAAAAAAAAATTGTCAAATGAACTATTTCATTGGCAACCTTTTTTTTGTCCTAGAATTTGTTCAATCGTCCGAAACAATAGTTTGCGAAATGACTGTGGTGTGTCTTATTGTTAAAATATGTCCTGCACTCGTTAAGTAAAAGAAAATGAATTGAAAGCGATTACGTGTACAAAGAGTTGAATGGCTATATAAGCTTTAGACAAAGCAATTCTTTAGTCAGTTAATTCTTTTCGATAGTTACATAAAGTTTCAAGCATGGCTGGGATGACAGGGATAAGACTCTGCATCACGCTAGCTGTGCTGTGTACAATTATCATTTTCACAACAGCGAGGGAGATAAAATTGGAGAATAATGATTTGGAAGTAGCGGCCAGTCATCATCACAAGGATCATCATGGCGAGCATGGCGGTGGTCACAAGCATCACGAGGATCATCACGAGGAGCATGGCGAGAAGGGACACAAGGGTCATCATCATCATCATCATTTTGATAAAGGCGATCACGGCCATCATGGCAAGGAGCATCACGAGGGTGAACATCACGAGCATCATGGTCACAAGAAGCATCATCACGATGAGCATGGCGAGCATGGCGAGCATCATGAACATGGCCATGGACACAAGGGTCACAAGCATGGTCACAAAAAGGGACACAAAAAGGGGGAGAAAACCCATGGCTATCATAAGAAGGAGCACAAGGACGAATATCACAAGGAACATAAATTTTATGACGATCAACATAAGGGTGGTCATCATGAGAAGCATGGTCATCATCACGAGCATCATGGAGAGAAAGAGGGTCATCATAAGAAGGGTGGTCATCATCATTCCGGTCATCATGATCATCATCATGGTAAAAAGGGTCATCACGACAAGGGACATCACGATCATCATCATCATGGTCATCACGGTAAACATGGACATGAAAAGCATCATCATCATCATGAGGATCATGGAAAGAAGGGTCATCATCATCATGGAAAAAAATTCGGTTTTCATAAGGGCCATCATTAAGTTTCTTTTTGTTAATCTTCAAAAAAAAAAAAAAAAAAAAAAAGCAAGAAGTGCAATGTAAATTTTTGTTTGTTCCATTTTCTGATGTATATTAATTTACGTTTACCATAATATATAGCCATGTTGAATATATTTAGTAAATTATTCATTAAATAAAATCGTTTCATTTTTTTTTATTTGTTGACAATAAATGCGAAATAAAATAATGCCTTGATTGATATTAATGACTTATTTAATACATTTAATATATTGTGTTATAATTATTAATAAAATAAAAATATTAATAATTTATTAATTAATTTTGAAGTAAATTATTTTATTCTAACAAACAGTCTTCTTTCTTTCAGAAATGAATGCTAAACACTATATGCTAGACGATTATTAGACGATAGAAAAATTATAATAACGGTTAATTATTATTAGCAGTTTAAAGTTTAAAATTTCTATAATTAAAAATATTAAAAAAAAAAAAAAAAAAAAAATTAATTTTTAAACTTTTAAATTTTGTTCAGTTTTTATATAATTGAAAGATTTTAAACAAAAAGAAAAATTAAAAACAGCAAGATTTAAGTCTGCAAGAGTCGGAATTCCAAGATTCGAAAAATGGCAAAATTTAAAATAGTTTAAAAGAAAAGAAAATTTTTATTTATATTGCAGAATGTGGATATTTTCGAAGAACTGAACATAAAATTATTATACTTATAAATTATCTGACGAATAATTTTACTTAAATATTTTAAAATTAATTCAATTTTAAAAAAATTTGCTTTTACAATTTATTTTGATAAATAGATAAACTTCAAAAGGTTATGAAATTTTATAAAATTTCAAATTTGAATGAATTTAAATGTAGAAATTTCAAAGAAAATAGATTTTTGGATAATACAATATTCAAATTCTTTTGAAATTAATTAAATTTTTTAAAATATAAATGTTTGATTAATTATTAAAAATAATGAATTTAATGGAGAATTTTAGTTAAAAAAAAACACTTTAAAAAATTAAATTTTCCAGAAGTTACAAATAATTTGCAGAAATTAAATTATTTTCAAAAGTAATAAAATTCAATTATGTTCGTAATTTTTTTTTTAAATATTTATAAAAATTTCAATTATTTTTATAAATTATATAAATAATAAAATTATTCGACAAAATTCAATTACTTGCAGAAATTTAAATAAAATTTTTCGCAAAATTTCAATTATTTTCAAAAATTGTCCTCACTTTAATGATTTTCAATATCTATTTCAACATTTTCCAAAAGAATTCAATTATTATTTTAAAAAAAATTTAATAAAATTCTACGCAAGCATTTAACTGTTTTCATAAATATTAAAATTTTTTATAGAAATTCAATTATTTACAAAATTTTTTATAAAAATTTCTCCGCAATTATTCAATTATTTTTATGATTAATAAAATTTTTATACAGGGATTCAATTATTTACAAATTCTTTATAAATTTCTTCGCAATAATTCAATTATTTTCATGAATAATTAAATTTTTACAGAGATTCAATTTTTTTCATAAATAATAAAATAAAATATAAAGTGAAAAATACAAAAAAAATCGAATTCCTCTAAAAATGTAATTATTAAATATTTATTAAAATTCTTCTAAAGAATTCAATTATTTGAAAATTTATTGATAAAATTCTTTATGAAAATTCAATTATTTATTTTTGTATTTAAATAATTGAATTCTCATATGATTTTCTATATTGCAAATTAATTTATAAAATGAATTCTCACAAGTAATTGAATTTTGTGAGATGTTCAAAATAATTGAATTTTTAATAATAATTGAATTTTGGAGAAATTGCACATAATTACAGAAATTCAATTATTTTCAAAATTAATAAAACTCTTCGCAGAAATTAAATTATGTTTAAAAATTTTTTTTTAAATCTCGTAAAAATTTCAATTATTTTTCAAATTAACAAAATTCTGTTCCGAAATTCAATTATTTTCAAAAATTTTAATAAAATTTTTGTGCAGAATTTCAATTATTTTCATGAATAATAAAACTCATTGTAGAATTTCAATTATTTTTTTTAAACAATTTTAATCAAATTCCTTGAAAAACGTAATTATATTTTATAAATTATTTAACGAATAATTTTACCTAAATATATTAAAATTAATACAATTTTAAAAGATTTCCGTTTAAAATTTTCATAAATTGATCAACTTCAAAAAGTTTTAATTTGAAATTTTAGAAAATTTCAATTTTTCATGAATTTAATTAGAAATTTAAAAAAATTTAGATTTTTTGAAAAAATGCAGTAATTCGAATTCTTGTTAAATTAATTACGTTTTTTAATATAGATTCAATTAATTAATAAAAATAATGGATTTCTGGAAGAATTTTAAGTTAAAAGCACTATCAAAAAAATTGAATTTTGGAGAAGTTACAAATGATTGCAATAATGTAATTATTATCATAAATAATAATTTTTTTCACATGGATTCATTTATTTTCATAAATAAAAAAAATTCTTTTTATGAATTCAAATATTTAATATATAAAATAATAATTTTAATTAATATAATATAGTAAATAACTCATGGCAAAATTTGAATTATTTTTAATAAAAATTTTTTATTAAAATTCGTCAAATGAATTCAATTATATTTAAAAATTTATGAGAATTGAATTTTAAGAAACATTAAATTATACAATAAATTATTGATTATTGGCTTTAGATAATTGAATTCACGTAGAATTTCCTAATCAAAATTGATTTAAAAATAAATTTCAGATAATAATTGAATTTTGGAGAAGTTACAAATGATTGCAGAAATTCAATTATTTTCAAATTATAGTAAAAATTTCAATTATTTTCTAAATTCTCCTCAATTCAATGATTTTAAATATCTACTATTTCAATAAAATTTTACAATTAAAGAAATTCGTTAATAAATGTAATAGAACATTTTTTTGAGTGTCTAATATTCTTTTGAGTGGAATCACTGATATTCTTTAGTGTCAAGGAAAAAATCAAAATTTTTTCTGGAAATCAGGAAAAAAAAATTTTTTTTTGGCAACCCTGTAATGAGAAGAAAAAAATAAAAAATAGTAAAGCTTGTGGATTGTAATGGATAATAATAATTATTATAACGGTTCTTTAGGATAAAAAGAAATTTTCTCAATAAAAGTTGACTTATAAATTTGTTTTTTTTTTATATCATTATCTGTATAATATATTTGAAACAATATCATTCTACAACATTGCATAAAAATATACAAAGACATGAAAAAATGTCTCGACTCTCGTACAGTAAAACATGTTTGTGAATAATTTATATCATCGCTGCAACGTCGTCATCATAGCTCGCAACTAAATTCAACTAAACATATGCCGTTTTTTCTTTCGTTTTCATTTTTTGTTTATCTTTTATTTTTCTTTCTTCGTCTTTTATTTTCAAAATCCTGGAAAAACTCGACAAAAATGGCCTGTGTCGATTTTTTTTTTTTTTTATTTCAAAACCAATGCATATGTCATACAATTATCTGTTTCACGGGAAGAAGAAGGTATAAAAGTGCCATGATACTCAATCGCCTCTATTTTAAAGAAATATACAAAAATTGAACACTGCATTTCACACAAATTCGTCGAAAAATCGTAAAATTACATAAAAAAAAAAAAAAAAAAAAAAATTTTGAATTGAAAATTAACAAAAAAAGAGAGACAATTGACAGCAGAATTTTCTTTTGAGATCATTTTTACCAAACGGGAAACAAATTGTCACATTATAGAATTAAAAAGTAAATGTAATAATAAAACAATAATAATATTAGTATATATACTTAATAAAAAATAGCAAAATAAAAATAACTATATACGAAAGTTATTCTTTACCAAAAGAATTTTTTTTTCTTGAGTAAATCAATAACTATTTATTTACAAATCCAAGTATTTTTTTTTTTAAATTTTCATTAACACACTTTTTCCATTCGTTGAATAACGATGTCGCTTGGAGTAAAATTTTTTTTTTCTCATGATATTACAACTATTCGCCAGTAGAAATATAAATAACATAAACGCAAATATTTACAAAAAAAAAAAAAATAGAATTGTTGCACGAACCTCGTCTCAATGTTATGCAAGACACGTGCTCGTAATATTTATTGAGTCGAGAATAAAAACGCATACGAAAAAAAAGTACCATGGCCATATTTCAAGAGGGTCTCTCACAATTCAAAAATTTTAAAACCGATTTTTTTATTTTCATCACTTTTAAAAAATTTTTTTTTTTTTTATAATAATTTTCTTCTTTACAATTTATTGCAGTATTTTTTTTTTAACGAAATACTTAATTTTACGTTTTCAATCACTTTTTGAGTTTTCGTTCATTAATTTTCGATAATACAGGCCTCGGATCAAAAAAAAATTTTTTTTTAATAATTGAAACCGACCATTTTTCATTTTAAAGTAGAATATTTTTATTTTTAAAGATATTAAAGTAGAATATTGTCAAAAATTTATATAAAGAAATTTAAAAGATGTTTTAAAAATATTTTTAAATAATTTTTGAAAGAAAATATTTTTAAAATTACATACAATTAAAAAATGTCTAAAAAATTGAAATTTGGTAAAATTTAAAAAAAAATAATTGAAATTTGGTAAAATTTAAAAAAAATAATTGAAATTTGGTAAAATCATTGAAAAATAATTGAATTTTAAAAAAATATTAAAAAAAAAGAAATTTATAAAATGTTTAAACTATTTGAATTTTCAAAGTAATTTTTTCAATTCTGAAAGTAATTTTCCAAATTTCGAAATTATTTGAATTTTGAAAGTTTTTAAACTATTTGAATTTTTAAATTAAATTTTTAGTTTTTTATCTTAATTTTTCAATTTTCAAATTTATGTTTAAAAATTTTTTAACTACTTGAATTTTTAAAGTAATTTTTCAGTTTTTTAAGAACTTTTTTAATTTTGAAAGTTTAAATTTGAAATTTTTTAAACTATTTGAATTTTTACAATAATTTCTTTATTTTTCATTGTAATTTTTCAATTCTCAAAGTAATAAAAAAAATTTTTAAACTTATTCAATTTTAAAAGTAATTTTTCAGTCTTTTATAGTTGTTTTTCAATTATGAAAGTAATTTTCAAAATTTCAAAACTATTTGAATTTTCAAAAGTAATTTTTTTAGCTTTTTAAGGTAATTTTTCAATTCTTA